TATATGCGAGACGCCCGCCTCGTCACCTGGCTTGCACACGACTTCATGTGCGGTTCGACATGACAAGTGCCTTGCCGAGAATTTCCCCTCTGTAGTTAGACTTTACTTTTTTCTTCTGGCCCGCTCCTGTGACCCGCCGCCATGTCGTCCAGTTGAGACGCTGACGGGCGCTGCATCGTGACAGCGGCAGCCTTGCTACTATTTGCTGTTTCCTCCTCTCTTTCCTTTCGCAATTTGGCGGTGTCGAGTTGCTTCTTCTTGAAGCACTCGCCGCATCCACTAAGCCCGCAGTGCATGACATAAGTCGCTTTGGTCAATCGAAGCAGATGCAGGGGAGGATAAAAGAGGAAAGAAAAATCAAGCATCACGGATACTGACTCAGACCATACATCTGCTCTCTCGGCCACCCAGCATTCAATATCACAAGTCTTCCTTTGTTCTACGAGGTGCATTTCCACTAATGACTCCGTATCACCGGTGGTGGGCGCTTCCAATCTGTTTTGCCCGCCTCCTCCTCATTGCAAAGATAAGATCCATAATACTTGAGGGTACCGTAGCTTTTTTGCATCGTGATGAGGGGGCACCTAGGAGAAAATTTGCTTCTTTCGTTTACGAAACGACGAAGGACAATCTCTTGCCTCCCGCGATATGCCCGAGTGTGAGAAGCGTGCTGGGACGCCCCTCGAGATGCAGACCCTCCCGGAGAATCTGAAAACTCGTTCTGCGGGTGGCTCGCGATTTTCGGACGAGGAACCGAGCTTTGCCATGGTAGTGCCGGGATGAGCTAGATGTCAACTTTTAGACCGCGGGCCAAGGGAAGGGCACAGCTTACCCAAAGCACAAGGTGCACGGCGACAGAGGATATCATCGAAACCCCCTCTCAGTGTTTGTCTCACACAATGCGCCGCCATGCGACAATGTCCCTACAAGTGTACCAAAGAAGCTCCAAAGAAGGTCAAGCTGTGTAATAGTGAGCTTTCCCGTCTCAGCCAAGCGCGGGGTCGCGGCGGAGCTATTCTCCACAGGTTGCAGTTCCCCTTACTCTCGCTCGACCAATATTATTGTTCTTAAGCTCCGACTCCAAAGTCCGTCTAGTCTCGAGTTTATTCAGAGCCTTGGTTTCCTTAACTGGGCGCTCGAGGTATGCAAGTCCTCAATATGCTCCAAGGCTATTGACGGCTAATGTGGAGATGAGGATCACATCTAATTTAACATCACCTCTGGCGACCGAATAAGGGCACACACATGCTAGAGTTGACGTCGTGCTGCCCAAATGAAACTCGTCTTCCTCACAAACTGAACGGTACATAAAGCACGAAACCGCACTCTATGATAATATGATATTGACTCTGTCAAACTGACCAAAATCGAGGGCGATTCAGTGTCGTAGGGCTCTCAGAGCAAGGAGACGCAATCCCAGGCATGGGGATCAATAGGAAGAAAAAAATCAATAAGACTATTTATTCATAGCTAGCAACCAAGAGGGGATGAACAGACATGGGCAGCTCACGCTGCTTTTTTCAGCTGGGCTTCTCCCGCATGGATCGACTAAACCGAACTAGGTATTGGCTCGACCAATCTCGGTTCTCTGGTGCCCTGGCGTGGCCCGGCAGTCAAGAAGGGTGGTGGCCCCGGCGCCACCGCCGATCGGGACCCTGCACGCCTGGTGCCGAGACGGGGATCACCATGCCAGCCGGATCCTATGAAATCAAGGGGTAGAGCTTTTCTTTGGTTTGGTCTTTTGTCCCTATTGTGCCATTACGAAACAGCCCGTCGGTTTAGGTTCGGCGGAACAGATCCGCCTTGATTTGAGTGGAAAGTATCCCACCACCCTGTGCCCTCATATTTAAAATGTTGCAACATTGCTTCGCGGTGCCCTGTACCTGTGTAGCTGGGCTTGACGAGAGTTGGTCATCGGTGCGTCGTGATGGGAATTTCCTGCTTCGTCACACCGATATTTCCGTGATGCCAACGCACGTCTCACAGCTCTTATATGCGTCCGGTCCAAGAATAATACTCGGGTTCCTGCGAGCCTGGGGCCCAGTGCGTGATGCAAGCTTATTTCGACAGATTTTATAAAAATTTCTCTCAGGAGCACCTGTTCACTTGGTATGCCGCAAAGGTAGGTCCCAAACGAGGATCGTCTCCCCATTTCCACCCGCCGGAGATAAATTAGACAAGGTAGTCAAGCCCTAACAACCTTGTCCGAGGATATATTGTTGTCAATAATGCGGGATGTCACGGTGCACGAGCTTCCCCTCCAGATCATTTACCAAAAAAAGAAAGAAAAAAATTTACGCTGTAAGCCCTGTCGAATAGGGTTATCCGACATCCTGGGACCACCCTCCTCCGGTTGCTGGCGACGCAAGTAATCCCTGGGACGACAACACACAAACGTAAGCATGGAGAGAGGTACACTGAAAATAGTTTGAAAGGGTATTAGTCCGCCGGCGCGCATCCCTAGAGTTCGGACTACGACAACTATTTCCAAGGGAGTAAGATGTTTGCCCTTTATTAGTACAGAGGACGTGGCAGCCGAACCTACGGCCGCGGGCTTCTAGCCATCTTCGGCTCAGATGCCATCGTCCTTCACACGCGACTGCGTAATCCCTGGGTGATCTAAAATGTCCCTGGGTTTCAGCCCCGACATAGCGAGATGAGAAGGTTGACGGAGTGTATATGGTAATAGACCCTTGAAGGACATGGTGAAGTGGCATGAGATGTACAACCTAGTTTGTACAAGCCAAGCATGGATGCAGAATGAACTGATCTCAACCAATGGCGGGACCTCAATATTACAAGATGAGGAAACCGCATTCCCGCCATGTTCATAGCTCGAAGCTGGGTCCCGCCGGTTTCTCTCACGGTGCTCTCGGCACCCCATATTCTAACCAAGCAGAGACAAGCTTCACATCAAGAGGTCCAAGATATTTGCGGGGCCAGCTGTACTACTTCATAAGGAGTGGGTCAAGAGAGTGAGCCCTCCATGTTGGGAAGTCGGGCGTCAACTGAGTCTGCGTGTCTGGCGTCTTAGTTCCTCCCAGGGGGCGATGCAAATAATGCCGGGTTGTGCTTAGATTGGACTCCTATCTGATCGCACTCAGGTCATTCCACCATCCTCTATTCCGTAGTTGTTGGGGCTCGTTGTACGGAAGGGGAGATCTGAACGAATTCCATGCAAGACCTTACCTGAAGTAGGCAGCTGTCGGCAAGACCGGCTTTGAGCGCGTGGAAGCGAAGAATGCAGAATTGAGCCCAGTCAATATTGACACTGGGAGAGTGAGAGTGAGCCTTCTCCAAGACCAGCAGATACGCTGCAGTATACCACTTGAATGCAGACTATGCAATCTCTGCCCATGGGACTAATGCACCGTCTCAGCCCTGTACATGCGACTGGCGTTCTCATGAGCGAACAGAACATGCTAGGTTCAGGCATGTGGGTATTCATCATGCATTCGGGGGTTACTTCGTAGTTGGATCAATCCCTATCGGAGCTCTGCCCATAATGTAACATAACTGAATTCAACGTAGAGACCACCTTTGCAATGACAGCCACACCCTTCTGTTATCATGGACGGTTATCCTTCGAAGGAAGAAAATATCAACACTCATCCCAAATGACACTTCCGTGCGAAGCACATATCAGATTGTGGGAACCGGAGGCTCAGGACCCCTGAACAGAGAGGGACAGGGATCAAAGGAAAGCTAGCGGCCTTGCCGATCAACGGCAACTTCGAAGTATATCCCGTCTCAGCGTAGTGATAATAATGCACGGTACTTGCTTCCGTCACGTAAAAGGCCATCGAGCGGGTCGGTGTATCAATAGTCTCTTGCTTTTCCTCGTTAAGCTTCATACCTGTACCTGCTACTAAGAGAAATTGGCAGGAAGGAACTAAGAGCAACAAGGGAGAAGAGTCTTCCCCATACCAGCGACACACTCGTACTTCGTACCTCGTCGCTCTCATCTCCCCTCTCCGCAGAGTTGAAGAACATCCTAGACCTCAGCGTGGGATGGTATCATTAATCTCCTCAGATGCAATCCTTGATCAGGCCCAGCTAAGGTCATAGATTCGATAGTTGTTCACATGGTTGATTGATGGTGAGTTCATCTTCCATATGCCCCAGCATCCCCTGCTCTCCTTGCGCAACCCAACCTGGCCGGAGAGGACAGAGTTCAACGTCATTCCAAGCGGTTTGATGGCCTGTTCTAAGTCGTCAGCTCGGGAAGGGGCAAGGGCAAATCGACAAATGACTGTCTCGGCCGTTCCTACCGCGACTTTCCCAGATAGCTCTTGGACCCCTGCGATCGGTCATTTCCCTCCCTCCTGCCTTCCTTCTTTTGGCCGATCAGGTCCTCCCGGTGGCGCCTGCTGCCGAATTGTTCGGAAATCCAGCTTCATGTATAAGCGGTTCCTTCTCAATTTGACTCGACTCTCGCTCACCTGCTCTCCCTGTAAACTCCCGGCACAGTATTAGATCCACTCAGACGGCACTCGACTCATTCACCTTGTTCGGGCTCGCCACACAATAACTGCACCAACTGCGCTACATTGGCCCTCGAGGACTCGCGTACAAGGCTGCTAAGTCCTCCGACCCCATCAGTTTGGGCAGTGTGCGTGCGCTTTGCTTTACCATCAAATCCATCGCGGCTTCGATTGCCTTCGACAGCAAGGCTTCACCCAGCGACGTTGTGGCAGTTTTCAAGTGACAAGCTTGAAATCGGACAGCGATATTAACTTCACCTTTTCCCCCTTCCTAACTCTCGGCGGTGCGGAATACCATATCTTGCCACGGTTCTAGTACAGGTGCTTTGGAGGGTTTGCAGGCGCTTGACGTTTGTGCAGTAGCACGAAGCTCGGGATACTGCATTATTCGCGCAGCTGACTCTCGTTCCTCCGATCACCATCTGCGAGAGAATATCCCGAATCTAGTCGTTCTGTGATTACCTCTCGCCGGTCACATCTAAGCCAAGTAACTCGAGATTGCGGAACATCTTCACTATGTTTGATGTGATTTGGACGGATCCTGACCGGCAGCTCGTGGGTGAGCATCGAGCGAAGAAAGAGACGGCCCGCGAGCAGCAAAAAGCCAGAGATAAGTTGGAGGGAAAACGGTCCTCGCCGCCTACTCGAGGCTCGACGTCGTCGGGGGAAAAGTCGTACGGATTCTTCGGATCTAGAAGCTTGAAGAAGGCGGCAGGTCCCCGAAGAGCGAAGCGACCATCGACCCCGACATCCTATGCAGACCGAACTCCGACGGCCGACGATGGCCAACGACGGCATGCGCGGCACCAATGGAATCTCAATACCGCACCCAGCATGCCGACATTGAGGCCATCTTCCAATCACTCGAGTGAAGCTGCGTTTTCTCAGTGTGATCCCTTTTTCGAGAATGGGGATGCCTCCTATCCGTCTTCTTCCCGGGGTAAGTCTCACGATTATCTTGCGCGTTGACCGCAGCTCACTGAAATCAGGCCTTACAGATTCGGTGGCTTCGAAATGGACTGATCAAACTGGCATGTCGACCCTTTCTGCATCTGCGACTTCGGTTGCTGAGTCTATCAAATCGACAAAATCTTCCGTTGTCCAAACTCTTGGGCCGTCGTCTTTCATCACAGTGAGTACGGAAGTGACAGTGAGCCCGCGAACTGAGACGGATATCAGCCACTTGATGTCCGAAGTCTCGATATCGTCAGATGGTAGAGAGGACGTGTCGAGCCCCCCGATGTCACCTAAGTCGATGTAAGTCCCCAATCCCACATGGATCTCATTCCGGTATTAATGGAACGCAATCACAGGACATTCACTCCCGAGGAATATGACTCACCCATCAGTTTGGTGCGATGTTCTCAAACTCCCATGCAGCCACTGTCGCCAACGTGGGCATCGGCCTTCAAGCCGAATAACCCCGAGGCGTGGCGACCCCCGGAAGAGTGGAATTACAACCCTCCGGATGCGGAGCCCACGAGGCCTAAACGACTGAAGCGAACCGAGCCTCGGGAAGTCGTGCATGAGGAAGAAGCCATTTCACTCGACTTGCATGGCATAGGACGGGAGATTGAGATGATGGCAGCGGCCGACCCTATCATCATTCTGCAACGTCTCTGTGAGGCATGGGGAAATTCCAGTGATATCGGCTTGTACAAGGAGGTCGAAATGGAGAAGAAGAGGTGGATGTTGTTTGCCCTTCACAACATGGATCCCACAGTCGACACATCCCGTCCAAGTACACAACAAATTCCAATGGAAAGGGTCCAGAAGGTCCTCGTGCTACATGAGACGCAAGGTGAGCGTTGAGATGGCACTAATACTGGTGGGCGGTTCGCTGACATGAGTAGCGGTTGCGTCGTATCTCGCGGCCATATACCGGACGAAACAGGTGTACCACATGTCACAGTCGCCGCTCTCCCACCGACTTTTCCCCAATGTGCATCCCCTCTCGATTCCGACGGTCTCTGCGTCCAACTTTCCGGTTGCACCTCAGTTATTCGGGGCAGTGCATTCCCTGTCTCTCCCAAGTCTAGTTTCCTCTCACGATATACCTACGATGCTAAAGAGCATCCATCGGTGTCTAGTTCCAGGAGGAACGTTGCACATAACGTTGATCGACCCAATGCCTGTGGCATCTTCACTCGGGCCTCGCATGAGGGCCTGGCTAGAGGAACACCTCCTCCTCAACCTCGAGAGGAATTTCCGTTGCGTGAATCCCGGAAAGCTATTTCCGATATGGCTAGCCGATTGCGGTCTCCGGGCAGAAGGTAGTACCATCACCACGGCAAAGTTCTCCGCGGTTCCTCGGGAACTCAGCCAGGAGCAAAGAGGTCTGAGTGGCCAGCCCCTCCCAAATGATAAGGACCTCAAGACAGAGCTCCGAGGAGTCGTTGGCCGGATGCTCTGGAAGGAGGTCTGGGGTTCGTATATTGAGGTGGATACGTGGTGGTGGGATGAGCCTGATTGTGTGGAAGAGTGCATCAAGTCTGGTACTCATTGGGAGTACAGCTTGATCGAGGCCGTCAAGCTAACGTAGAGGGTTGAGTTCCCCGAAATTATTGCCTCGAGAGACCGGTGAGTTACGAGCGGACAACTGTTTCGACAGTAAGGTGTGCTTTGCACGCTCAGTCTCGAGTCACACCAGAAAGTATGGCGAGACTGGAAGTGGAGTTAGTCTCGACCCGGATCGGCGTCATTCTACTTCGTCCTTGACATTTTCAATTTGCAAAATACGCAATTTTAAAGGAGAAGGTTCCTAGAGGAGGAGAGAGGTCTTTTCAGGCCAAGCTTATGCTGTCCAAAAAATGCACCAATGTTCCTATGTTCAAAGTGTGCGTTCCACTCTAGCATTTCAATGTTTTCCTTTGTCCAGTCTGCGATAAATCCAACTATTGAACGAATGTTGGCTGTGCCATACTCAAGGAAGCAGCGTAAGGCTTCTCACAATAGACAATGGATCAGAGCTTTACTCTCATCAATGTCCCATTTTCCAGGAATCACCCACCGCCATTTTGAGATCCTGTTGATCAAGACATCAGAGGGGGAAAAGGGGCACTATTCACCTGTTCATATCCCTCAGCTGTGGCATCAGGAATGCAAAACGGAGCACATCTCTCTAGCAAGGGACAGAGCATACTGCCCATCTTAGTGTACATTACACTACTTTGGAGACTATTTCATACTTCGTAGTGTACTATACAATACTTGTAGAGTACACTAGACTTAATGTCTCCACGGAGGGAGATCAACATTCGTCATCCGGGGAAAGACACCCAGAAAAGCCGCTGATCACGGCAGCACGGCACCAGAAACGGGGCTGCCGGGGCCGCTACGGTGATCACAGCACACGACCCAGCAATAGCGTCGGCGATCACCACTCGAAATGGGAGCCGTTGATCAGAAGCTTCCCCAAACGCCTACTGGTAAGCCCAGCCGAGGGAGCACGAGTGTGGAGATGTGAGGCTAGCAAGGCAAACAGCAATCTCTGTGTAGTGTAGTGTACCGCTACCTTGTAAGCTGAGATCATCACGCGGAAGATTCCCACTTGCGATGTGACGATGTTGGACCGCGAAGCTGTGATAACGGCCCTATTGTAACTACTTTCCTAAACTAGTTGATAACTATGGGGCATCAAGAACAGAAAAAAAAAATTTGAGAAAAGGTCTTCATATCCGGGCTGCTTACTTCGTACGTTCTTCGGGCCATTCTTTTCGTTTTCATTTTCATGTGCCGTCCATCCACCGTCCATCCACCCTCCTTCCCCCCAAATGGAACGCATCTAGATCTCGATAATCTCACACTGCCCTTGTCCAACGGCTCAATTTATCTCTGCCCCCCCTACGTGAAATAAACGTGGCCAGCTAAGCGAAAAGGGGAAATTCGACGCATCGGCAAGCGTCTGAAGGATTCCCCTTCCCCTTCTACGACGCTGCATAGCGCCGCTATCACTTCTACCACACCCTACACTAAAAACCCTGGGTCGGATCAATGGAAATGCACGTGGGAACGGTTCCGGAAATCTAGATCGCCTGATTTTTGGGCGGAGATAGTATGATGAGTGTTGGTTAGTGGATTTGGGGGGGGGGGGTGTTCTCCTCTTCTGGCTAACTTCGTAAATCGTTGGTGCGTACGAAGTAGCAGGTTCCAACCGTTTCCGAGGATTTAAGTGTTGCGTTATTTCCCGTTTGAAATTACTCTAGGCTTCTAGGCTTCCAGGTTTCTCCAATTCTCCAAGGAAAAAGGGGTGTTGGGGTTCTTGATCATCCATTGATGTGTCACGTCGTTGATGCCTCCACGACTCACTTACCTTCGTCCTTAGACCGAGAATGGCTGGCCCACAAAGACGAGAATTTGTCCTTCCCGCCCCCCTTTAGAGAAAAGCGAAGAAAAAACCTGGGACGCGATTCCTGTCAATTGGGTCTTCCCGTGCCGTTTCCCGCCCTCTCCCTCTTCTTTTTTTGCGGCTCTTCCTTTCTTTTTTTCTTCTTCTGGTTGGTGCCATTCTCCCCATTATTACACGACAGGAACGAGGCATGAAATTTGCGCAACGGGTTGGGGGCTGGCTGTGCCGTGTCTATTTATTTCAATTCGGTCGGGCGGCTGTTGTGATCGGGAAACATGGGAGAGCTGAGTTGGCCTGATCTGGAAAAGGCGTCTCTGCGCACGGAACATTCACGGACAGTTTCTTGCATCTGGAAGTAATATTTTGGAAGGAAGACCTCAGCTTATGCTCGTGGGGGGCTCGAGGGTATAAACCTCGTCATCGTAATACTTCATGTTCGTCCATCCCGCAGCCACACAGCATTTGGGAATCCGACATGGAAGCGGAAAAGAATCGCCCAGACATGAACGTGTCTTACCATGTTCAGCGTTGCTTTTCCTTTGCCCCAGACAAGAAACACCAAGACCCAAGCCTGTTGCAGTGTCACAGGGAGGGCGTCCTCTTTCCCCACCTTCTCCATGAGCTTACTCAAACTTCGTCCTCTTAATATGTTCGATAAGAAGAATTATGAGACAAGGATCGAGGACATTGGAAGCTCGCCGATGCTACGGAGTACTTCATCTTACTCATGCAACCTCGACTTGACAGCAGCTTCTCACCCTGTACTTCGTACAAGCATATGAATTGGACTGGACAGGACGTCCCCTGTAAATATGTAATAAGCTAGCATTAGACCATCACTGGTGTCAACATTTTTCCCGCACCCCAGAACCAAGACAAAAGACCCATGCTCATTCCAAAATCGATCAAATCGCTCTGATCAATTCATGATTGATGTGCGCAAGCCACCACGCGAAAAAGAAAAAAACAGGGCGTCGCCGATCCCTTCCCAATCTCTCTCTTCGAACTTCATCAAAGGGAAAAAGATCTCTCTGTGTACCGATCTACGGCAATGCAGCGCAAATCGCTCTCTCGGAACTCCCGTCCCGGCCCGCGTGGGATTTTTTTTTTTTTCTTCTTTTTTTGTTTAACGATTGACACGCCACTTCAAACGTCCCGCTCATCATTCAACAGGGCCAACAGGAATCCCCCAGTGCACTGCTCTAAATATCTTTACACGTCCACTGAAACCCATAATAAGGGGTCCTTCTCCAAGCTCCGCAATCAATCTCTCGAAATTGCTGTCGTCCACAACTTTGCAGGACAACTACAAGACCCAGAGAGACGGAAATTACCTGCGGAGTAGCCTAGTATTCGCTGTTGGTTGCAACATATCAATCATTGAGGCTCCCCTTTCGCGCTTGAAGCTGACGATGCGACGTACTACGAAGTATTGATCTAGTGTAATATCTTGTACTTCGCAGTGTAATTAGTGTACGAAGTACATAGGCTTAAGCGTTAGCCCCAGACGCCAGCCATCACGCCAGACGTTTGAAGTGGCTCACTGCTTTTAGTGTCTGCGGTTAGTCCCTACGCCAGAAGGAAAAAAAAAAAAAACATTAGCTACCACCTTCGAAGCTAAATAGCACAAAACGTAAGATAGTCAAGTGAAGTTGTAGTGTATTTAATTTGAACGTTGATGCCATCGCCGTCTACACTAGAATCCTCCGAGAAAAAAAAAAAACTCAAAAAGCCAAGCTTTTCCAATCCCACCTAGTCCAGAAAGGAAACCGCCCTTCCTTCGCCCCAGGCAAGACATTCAAAGCCCCCCCGTGGGGACCCGTACAGGAACCAACGACCTGGCGAGATTCTTTACCCCAAGATTTTGATCTCGTTCGAATCCTACCGTTTCCTTCGTACTCCGTTCCCCACTCTCCTCGCACCCTTGTAAAAAATGGGGTTTTTTTCCCACCACCCCGCCCTTTTGCTCGAAGTGGTAACCATCGCCGACGAGTAAAAACAGACGACATTCTCCAAAGTACTACGCTACACTACCAAGGTCGTCGTATATGTACGAAGTAGTTTGCTATTGTTCTCGCTAGGCGTGAAGGAGCCTGATGGCCCCATACTATACCTGTGTACCCAAGCAACGAAGCATCGCGAACCGTCCTCTCAAGCGACTTGCATCTAGCCTAGGAGTATTCCAAGCAAAGACTACGCAATAAATCCACGTACTACTGCCTACGAAGGTTAGGAAACAATCCAACGGCGAACGCAAGCCCAATCGGAATCCCTTGTCATCCTGCTACTAAAATAATAAAACGAGCACCACTTATTCCTTCGTAATTCCTCCGGACGCTTGGCATTCTATTTATCGTTTCAAAAGACATGCCATGTGCGCGAAATCCTTGCCGAGACACATGGTTCCCCAGCCATTCCTGAGATCACTTCGATGTAACCGTCTGTGCGGACCAACGGAGCGCTCCAGACCTCCAATGTGAGAATCATGTGTCCTGGGCCATGCATGTTAGATCGCCATCTGGCTTCCATAGTCATCTCGAAGTAAAAGACAAAGAGTTAGAGTATTGAGTCTTATTTATATATTTATATATACACTACAGGGATAATGGCCACATAGTAGTAGGGGCCGGGTATATGGTACTAGAGAGTGCTATCCATACAGAGACAGCGAGTCGGACGGTGAAAAGGTGCAGGCAGGAAACAGAAAGGAAAATAAAGAGAAATATACACACGAGAACCTCCAATAGAGTACCAGCCTTAATGAAGGCATCACAAAACCTGCCCTGGTTTCCCCAAATCCGCAAAAAGCCAGTGAGCCAAAGATTAGTCGCTATCGCGCCCGCCTCCAACTCCAATGAACCATTCCGGTAAGAGTCCGACCCAGGGCCCATCGTTACGGGCAAGAGAGTAGAAAAACCTAGGCCAAAAAAAAAAAAAAGTGAAAAAGAAGAAAAGTGGAAAATATTGCTCGGTGACGTATCGAAGGTTGTAGGATGGAAAAAATATATAGGGGAAAATGCGAATCAAAAGCTGTATGGCAAGCGGGAGTCGCCGTAGCAGAAGAGACTCCGCCTAAAAAATGGCCAGACAAGATAACATCATCCTCATCGGCCCTCGTAATCTGCCGTAAAACTCGTGTGGACCGCTTCATAAAAAAAAATTTTTTTTTTCATCTTCCCATTTTCAGTTCCCACTTGTCCCACTCACTAGTGAGATCGCAAGTCGTTCGAGTTCGGCCTACTAATTTGGAGCTCCGTCATACTCTCGCTTTCGTATTTCTTCGTTCCGGTACGTCGAGAAAAGTCCGATCGAAGGGCGATATTCTCATTCGACTTTGGTGCGGGCAAGAGACCCAGCTCTCGGAAGTACGTCTTGCATCCGGTCATGGAGGTGGTGATGTAGATAACACAGTTCCACAATCCCTGGAGCGGAAGGACGAACGCCGCAGCATACTCGAGTCCAAGAATCGAGTGGCCATTATTGAGAACGGAATAGACTCGGTTGGCGCTAGACGGGATCCACGTAATCAGGATGGCTGCGAAGAACAGAATAGCGCACTTCGTGTAAGACCAGGCCGCGTTGTTCGCTTCGTAGTTCTTCCGTCGTTGAAGTGCAGAGAGCGTGTTTTTGGTGTTGGTGGAAGGTCCGCTCTGCACATGCATGGTAGTTGTTGACGTCGGCGGGACGGGGGCCGCAGCCTGATTCTCAACATCGGCGGAAATGGTGACCGAGTACGCCGCACCGCTCGGTGCCTGTCCCTGTTGAGAGTTCGTAACACTCGAGTCTCGGCGATGACGACCGGCGACCACAGCAGATGGTGGCATGTTAGATCCCTGGCCACGATCAACTACCTCAGTAGTAACAAAAACTTCCGTCGTTTTGGACGTCGAGTACGGGTCGGTGTCGCTGTCGGGAACGCTAATGTTGTAAAGCATTTTTCTTTTTTCGTAAATCGTTCGTCCGGCGCGTACGTAGATGAGCATGGTCAGAAAGAGCACCAACCTATACGAGGAGAGTAACATCACAATGGTTAGTTTTTGACCTTTATTGTTCCGTACTCAAGTGAGGCTCTTCTTACCAGACCGGACCATAAAAGGTGGCGATTCGGAAGGTTTGCCATTCGGGAGTCACCCAGCACCATAGTGTCGCATCTCCGTACATCCGGGATCCGCCCTTGTCCTTGATGAAAATGAAGACGAAGGCGGGGACCAAAGGGACGCCATAGTTGAAGACGAGATACGGAATTTCCATCTTGCGAAGCTTGCGTGCGTCAAACTTTTGGTAAAAGGTGAGGTAGACATTAATAGCCATGGCCAGAGTCCAAAGACAATCAGCAGGCATGAACCTAGAGGTTCACCAGTCAATAAATGTATCGTCACTTTGAAACTATGTCTTCATCATCCGGACTCACATTTGGATGAGGAAGGCTTGAAGCTGGCACCCGGCACTGTTAGGGCTCTTAGTAAACGATAGCGCCATGAGAGTGGCTACATTCGTCATGAGGTTGCCGAAGGATGCGTAAAACACGAGGCGGTTGATGGGTTTCCGGAAGGCGTGTGAGGTCAGGAAGGTGACTATGACGAAGATCGACGCAAGCAGAGAGGGCACTGAGCTGACTCTCTCGAGAATGGAAATTATATGAATCGATTCCTTGCTGAGCATGTACGGCTCGTGTGTGCTGCTCCTCGCCATCACTTGAGCCCCAAAGGGCGTGGCTGGCGATGTGTCCGCCAGAGACATTGTTGTTGTAGTTCCCTCCTATGTTGATGCGGTTGTTGCGAGGAGGCGTAGCCGGCTGAAGTCGAAAGTGGAGGTTTAGGTTGGATGGGAGGAAGAGAGTTTATAAAAACCCACCTCGCTGGATCGTCGGTGGACTAATGAGCGTGCAGAGAGGAGTGTTTAAAAGAATGAAGACGATTGAGTGTGTGGACTTGTCGAGGGATCAATAGGCGTGGTATAAGACAGTCGGAGCACTAGTACTAGTAATAGTAGTGGTACGGAGCCTGCCCCACCACCATTCCACCAAGCAAGACGACGTCAAATACTGAGTACAAGCGTTGCCCCTTGCCTGGGGGGGTTCGTATACTTCGTGTACGAAGTACTATGTTGTAGTGCCAGAAGCACAAAAGTGACACGGCACCCTCCTCTCGAGTCAACGCCAAGGAGAGGCGGGTGGTGCGGTAGCGTATGTACTTGGGCGAAGTAGTGTACACTGATGCGGGACTGGCGCGTGGAAGGAGGCAAGGGTGAGAGGCCCTGGTCAGATATTCTGCTGCAGATCTGGTCAAGGGACTCGAGCCTGCGGGGACACCTGGACTGCCAAGAGTACAAAGGGTAGGGATCAACGATGTTGGAGAGGATTGCAATTACCAGATCCGGATCAAATGAGGAATGAATGGGACGGGCGACCATTAAAGTATGCGGACATGGCAGACAAACGCCCGCCAGGACGAGGTGGGAAAAGCCAAGATGGTGGGCAGAGGCAAAACAAGCCGATCTGAATAACCGGGTTGGAATGTTTGAAGAGAGCGGCACAAGGAAAAGGAAAAATAGACGGACGATACGCAATTCAATCGAGGACGGTGAGGGGAGAGGACGAGGAAGCAAGGCAACAAAAATCTTGCCGAGTACTTCGGAGATGTGATTCAGGACGATGAGCCGATCTCCAGGGTTGTTTGAGTCTGGGGGAGAGAAAGTCTCCTACCGGCTAAGGATGGGTGGGTGACTTTACTCCGCACATCTCGAGTGCGGAGAAGTGTAGATAGTCTGGTTCACTGGGGTAGGGCGTTTCTGCATCCAGGTCGAGGAGGGTATAGCGTGTGGTGACGACGGTGACGCTGAATGCGATGCGACAATGGAGGAGAACTCCGGTTCTTCAGGCCGGTCAAACCACATGGCGAGACCGCCCAATGTCGAAAGGAAGGATTCCTCGCTGGCGAGGGACTCGCATGGTTCTGGCGGAACTAGTAAGAGGTATCCTCCGAAGGAGCTGGAGCTGCACATTAGCGCTTGGCAAATTGTATGACCAGATCACAGACACCATCAAGACTCATAAACTACCTCGAACTTCGTGGTGAACTGGCTGGCATCCTTCGTACCAGGCTAACAAACACTTGCAGGAGCGCCACGGAGGCAAAATCGAGGATGTGGGGCAGCTTACAACATCAACCACGTTCTTGCCTCGTTCTTGCCTCGAGACTTTGGCCAGGACGACAAGAACGACAAGAACGAGAGTTTGACTTGGACCAATGTCAAGAAGGGGAATCCTAGTCACCTACACCTTCCTAGTCTTCCTGCCATGCAGACCACATGTCCGTGTGTGTGGGTCCCCCGGTCTCCATTAATCCGGATTAGGAGGGAGCGGGCAAGCGGGCGGAGACAGATTTGAAACCCCTGTCGAAGAAAAACGTTTGTTGTGCCAGGGGTGTCCCTCCCCCAGCAATTAGCCACCGACTTTTTGTCTTTTTTATCTTTTCTGCACTTGGTTGGGCCTTTTTCCCTTCCCGCTGCGCTGCAAGGACGGACTCGGTTAAGAATGGGCATGGACAGCCCAACTTCTTGTTCATCTGTTTTTTCCGAGGATACAGTCGATGATTGGGTCATATCGATCCGTGGACGTCACAACGAGGACGTATTGACTGTTACCCCTCATAGCAGGCAGTGTTATATGCCCGCATCAGACATCAATGCCTAGCTGGGGTTTGGCGGTCTACTACCGTGCCCTCGTATGACAACTAGTTATATTGTATGGATTGTCGACACTAGGAGGTGAAGGCGTTGGGTCTACCGCTGAAGTCCGTAGGAGCCACCTTTAGAAAAATCCGATACTTAGCAAGCAGTCGTTCGATATCCTGCAACTAGCTCGTCTTAGTGAAGTCGCACAAGTACTAGATCTTCATGCCAGTGAAGGGCTTGGAAATCAAAGTTAACAGTGCTTTTATTGCAAATCACCAAATCACCCAACTCCAAAAAGTTAGCGGCCGCTGCGCCGTGAATAGATGACCATTCCCATACCATGGGCCGCGGACCTGCACTAAATTGCTCAAGACACTGATTCGAGAGTAGCTTAGCTCCAAAGTCTAGACCACGAGTTTCGTTACTGTCACGATAGACACTTCGGTGTCGAAGACTTCAATTTTGGTTTCTCCCTCGAAAGGAGGGCTGCTAATTACCTCACCCTCACGCCTAGCTCACACCGAGACCTAAGCCTATCCAATATCCTTTCCCCCGTTTTTTTGAGCATTGTCCAACCTCACATCAGTCACTGCGCCCATGCGTTCGAGCCAACATTAGCCCCAAAGTCCCCACGAATACTGATTCGCCAATACCCATCCATCGCCTTATTTGGTCACTCAGAAATCGTCTCTTTAAACCACCACTCCGCTTCTTGTCCTTGCTTGGCAAACTGAGAACTGCGGCAGCCAAGTATGCCAATGATACGCTGGCCTGGGGACCCCGTACTCCCCCAGCTCGGGGTACGGGAACATCGAATCAGTCGGATTTTACGCTAACAATTCTCCTCCTTTAGTTTCCCTCCCCGCCCCAGGTAAGGGTCTTCGCCGACTGTGGGGGAGCCGCACAACTGCTCGTGATCGCCCGATGATGAGCATCGGCGACATCTGGGGAAGGAGAGCAAGCCACGCGGGGATCTATCTTTCCCCTCCCATAGCTTTTTTAGCGCGTACAATCCAAAATCCAAAATCCAAAATCCAAAATCCAGCGCATTCAATTGAGGCTGCATCGGCGATAGGATGACTTCACATTTATTAATAATTGACGTCGAAAGAAGTGTACGAAAAGTTAACAACACTTGAAACCTGGGGTGATCCACAATTTCCCATATCTCACATGCAAGCACGCGACAGCCACTTACAACCGAAGATTGCAATCATCAATGTGCGCTTTAGGAGCTGATAAGGGAATGGACACCAAAGTCTTTACATCAAATATTATCATGTGCAACGCTTGTGATAATACCTCAGTAGACTCTCCAGTCCTTTCGCAAGCCGACGGCACCCGCAGGATCTTGTGATTGGATTTTAATTGTAGCCCCCCTGCGCCTGCGTCGGTGCGCACACCAATTCCCTCGACAACCCACGTGTGGTAGGCGTGGTGGATCGGACTAATGGCTTGAAGGAAGGCCTCGAAGTCGGCTAGAAGAGACAAAGAAGGAGTCACCCTGCGCTCATTATTTGCTTCAGTCCAATTTTAAGCTTTACAGCGCATCGGAGCCGCTTGCTCTTTGCAGCGAATACTACTTCGTGTCTTCCGAGAGGTTATGCTTTGGAACCAGGCATCAACCTTGTTTAACGGCCCCCTTCCTCCACGGAGCCCGAAGTAATATTGTTATTGTTGCAGTATTGCATAAATGCGCCTTTCCGTGAAAGCCAAATCGATAGTTTCTGGGGCCGAGCACCGACGCGACGAACGACGTCCCAGAAATCAGGAACCAAACCCCAGACCCGTCTTGCTTTGGCATGAAGCGCAGCATTGGAGATGGAGCCCTTTAATATTGCGACGCACTATCGCTACCACAGAGTGTTGGTTCCGACAACCGGTTTCTGGTCAGCTCCTCTCCCCACATCGTGCGTAGTATTTAATACTATCTTATATAGTTTTCTATTACACGGACGTCGTGCTTTGTCGGATGGGGAATGTTGCTTTCTTTTCTTGTACGAGCGTGCAAGAGCCGCACAATGATCGGTCACCATTCTGTTGTCCTTCCACATTCCGCTTCATGCTTCATAACACAGGACGACGCAGAGATTGATAATTGAACGAAGATTAAGCCGCAAGAAAGTGCTCTGCTGAGCGCGTGTTCCGCCAATTCTTCCGCAAGAGTACGAAGTAAAAGCGAGGGATAAGTACAAGCAGATTATTATCAGCATGGGGTAGCCACACCCAAAGAGAGCCGAGTTTCCCCCAACCTCCTCCACAATCTTGGACGACTATTTCAGGGCTCCTCTCGTGCGCAACAGTGAGATGCAACCCACCTTGTCCCAGGTTTCCGACCGGTTTGCCAGCCATGATGGATGCACTCCTTAAATGATACAGATACCAGCAGCACTGCCTAGCAGAATGTTTCATAGCGAGAAAGGAATGCGAGGGCCATCTTGTCCGGCCCCGGAGTCGAATCCCGTCGGTTCATTGGACCATCTTCTGATATCAGCCGTAAATTGGACCCGAGGAATGTCTCGGCTCGCAGCACCCAACAACCATTGACCGGCTTCATATGAATGGTCCCCACACCTACCAAAGGGAGCGCTTTGGACATCGCCAAGCTGCCTCAATATATTAGTTAACATGCAGCAGAAGAGAGGCGAGGTTCCCCAGGAACCACCACCACCTTTTCGAAGTATACACGGGCGCCTTCGTATGCTGAACGAACTGACTTGTACTTCTGGAGGACCTCCTCCTTTCAAACCCTTACCGTTTCGGTGATATTGGTGACGCCTCAAAACGAGCGGCGTTGCGTAACCCGGCACTGGCTTTCCTCGCCAGATTCCATTGCGGCTAGCTCGCTCATCTCGACGTTACTTAGGCAAAAACTTACTTAGGCGGATTGGAGTTTCGAGTCTGGGGATGATCAACGCCATCGACGTTTGTGCGCTTTTTTTGCCCTTTTCCGCCAGGAGCAAACGGATCGTTCACGGGAGGAGCAAGGTTTAGTGGCGTCGTCTAACCAACAGATTCACGTATCCTCCACCTCCAGCTCGAGGTGATGGTGTGGGAGCAAGCGGCAGAATGTTTTGTGCTGCCGAAAAGAGACAAAAGTTTGCTCGAGGCGCATCAATCAATGATGGCGGTGATGGTGATGATTCCCAAAGAGATATCGGTCATGCCGAATTCGCTTGGCTCCTGGCCCCCTTGATTCGAACCATTGCGCCCTGACCCTATTTCCTTTGTTCTTCATGGTTCGTCCCATTCCCTTGCACACTCTCCCCTGCACTGATTGAGGAATTCTCGGAGACTTGTCTATCAGCAAATGCCGACCGAAACCTGCAAGGCTGAATCGATGGTGTTGTGCCCCTGAAACAGATACGCAAATATACCAGAACGAGCCTGTCAAATACCTTCCATATTGATGAAAGATCAATGTAGCTGAACACTCTGACCTTCTGTTTTGGTAGTCACCTGAGGCGCCGGAGCGGCTTTTAGCCACACCAGAGCAAGAGTAAGTCGACTGCCCCTTGTCGCTACATCACAGGACATCACAGGACCTGCGTGCACCCCTATACAGTAAGGGAGAGCAGATAGGGAAGAAAGGGAGGAGGAACATTTTAGTAACATATTAAACTGAATACTTCGTACCCGAGTATTCTTCCCTGCAAACCACGCGACGAAGTACGCCATCGACGACAGGGTACGAAGGTAGATTATCACATCAACTTAATCTCCAATCCAGATCCTACGAAGTTCGGATTGCAGGGGGTGGAAGCAGCGCCACCTTCCTACTAGTTCTTCCGCTCCTCGACAGGGTAGTACTGTGCGAGACGGGGGACATGACAGGGCTTATCCAGAGTGAGGATGTGCGTTTCCAGCCTCTGATATTATCAAGGACGATCTTACTTGGTAGGATATACAAGTAGGTGGCCGAAAGAGTTATCTCGACTGGTCTCCATCGTGCAACGAAAAGAGAAACAGCCAATATCGCCTCTATTTCGGTGTTTGTACGGTCAATCAGTCGGGACTGCCGCTATTCTGAATAACCACAGATCAGCAGACAAAGCTATTGTCGGAGAACAATCGCCTTCAATGTAATATCTGCCCTTGCATATACTAGTGTATGTCGACGGTGGGAGACGATCGCTCATTTGTTCCAGCTTCTATTGTGCGTAGCCATGCACCAGAACAACTGAGACTGTCGACCTTGTGTTTGGTGGGAAGGCCTGACTAGATGCCGTCCTCTTTGTTGTTTCCAGATGTCTATGGATACCGACTTATCTCTCCTACAGGCTCGGCACATATGCCGCGTCCAACTTTACACCGGAGCCGGTCCTAAGTCACAGATCCAGGTGTCTGGCTCCTCAGTATGCATTGCGTGGGTGGGATATTGGACTCTCCTCCGACTGCATTGCCGGCAGAAGCTCTCCGGCTGGAGGCAAGACGCAACATTTCTCGTGTTTCCGTGTTTTGCCGTGCCGCTTGATGAAAACCTACCATTCTTTCTTCTCGTTTTTCCTCTAAATTTCGTTCTTGGCACACATATTGCACATTCCAGGCAGTTGGTGTTGCAGACGCATTTTGCCGATTCGGGCTTGTCGATACTGCCGGGACGGCGAACATCAACTTTGACTCGTGTCTTCTCCCCGTGAAGTGGGTGTGCTGCCAGTTGTTCCCAACGACAATAGCAACTCGGCATTATCTGCCGCCAAGCCATTCCAGGCAATTGATCGTCAGGAATCATTGATCAACAGAAGCTCCTTGCTTGCAACTGCCGGGTTTGCGGTCTCAATCGACGAGTTGGGGGTCGTCGCTCACATCACAAGGGCGATCCCTGGAATGTTCGCCTTCACAGCTGGAGGTGTAAAAATACTGGTATACGGACCAGCCAATGATCCGGGAGAGCAAGCCCCGTGTGGATGTTCAAAACAAAGCGGGAGATTTGCAAGCTAACTGGAACGAACGTACAAGTAGCTTGCTCCCAACCAGTGCTCGAGCCCGAGTGACGATGAATGTGGAATGTGCACAGATCCTGCAGTGGACTTCGTACACAGAGCGAAGCTGAGCGTCGTGGACTGAGGTAAACCGGACCGTCCGTATCAAATGCGTCAAGTACGAGAGCATTTCGTCTTGTAAACTTTTTCCGTACTTCGTACACTACAATCCTAAAACACTCGGTCCCTCACTTTGCTCACATTGCCCATCTTGTGCGATCTTACCTGCAACCCCCCTTACCTCTCCTCCATTCACACTCGACTTGACGTGAAGACGAAAACGGCATAGTGCTGTGCCGAGATTCCTGACGCCTTGACACATCCTTCCCACATAGTCCCTGCCAAGTCCGAGCGAAGTCGACGAACAACTGCACTACACTTAACTTCATCCACCAATACAAGAACGAAGTAGTGTAGAGTCTTAGGCCCAGCCTGAGTCTCGAGGGCAGTATTGCCTTGTGGTGTCTAGCCTGCGCTAGCCTGTTTTCATGCCTAACCCCGTGATATAAACTACACACCACGACAAGTAGCCTAGTTTACACCGGATTATAGAGTTCAGTGCCTGCCTTGGTTGTTCTAGCGCTGGCTTTTCTGGCTCCCGGCTCGGAAGGCGGAAATGGTTAGTGGAGGAGACTTTGGAGAAATGATATGGCGAAGAACCGACTAAGTTGGCGCAAAAAGAATCACTTGCCAAAACCGTTCCGTGAGGAGCTAACTAACTCCTCGAGCTAGAGTTGGTGCAGCTAGATCAGTATGGACCATATTGACCACGGAACTACCTAAATTCGAAGAACCGAAATTGATTTACACCGGCTTGAGAGCCACTTGTGACTTCTCGGACCATTCAAGCCTCATGTTCTAGTGTATTTCCTCTACCCGGCCCTGCTGTGGCTGCAACATACCGAGGTCCAGCACATGGTGATGGCTTCACTTAACCGAAGAGCTTCACGCCCTTGGAAATATCGACAGAGCCCACACGGTGCCTCAACAATCGCTCGGCACACTTCGATCCCAGTGGCTGCCTCTCTACCAGATACTACGCCCAGGGTTTGAGATTGCTTGGGAAACGTGGAGAAACCCCGCCCACCCCCATCTCCGCTCTCCTCTATTTCGTAGAGCTAACCGCGCAGGTGGGTGAGTGTCCCCGGACCGGGTTGAACATCCAGATGTGTTCGAGGGACCCTCAACTTGGACACTGCGGAGTTTTAGAAAAGGATCCTACTCGCAATTGCTACTCAGACCCCATCAATCGATGTCACCGAACTGATACCCGCATGCTGCGTCTTCTTCCTTCATATTGGAGGCCAGTGCACAACTGAATAACCGGCCATCGTCTGTACGTCGTAATCTATTATCAATAGTATGATCCTCTTGGCGTCATACGTCTTTGGAGCAAGCCGGTCAGGTTAGGGGGCTTCCCAGAGAAAAGAAAACTTTGATGCCATTCGTATGAGAGGAGGATGGGACAAGACCGAAGGAGAGTGCGGTGGATCTTGTCCTACCCGTGACTCCGCAACAGATGGTTTTCGAACTCGCTCGATTCTTTCCATTTAGATCTTCTTTTGGAGAGGTCTTGTGTGTCAGAACGTTTGTTTGCTCTCTCAGGCTTTAAATGTTGCCTTCGACAGAGAGTAAGGTTGTGTGATTCCAACCCTTTGATACTAGCAGGCCCACGCCATCCGAATACTCAGAATCAGTAATAAACTGACACCCAATAGGTGCTATTGTCAGCCCGGCCATTTGAAGATCGAAGATTGTTTTATGCCCTCTTCCCTTCCGATTATCGTCCTTTCTGCCTTCGAGACTGCGGTGTTGTCATATTCCTCCTCAACCATAAAGAGAAGTGCAGGGTATTGTCTGCATGTCAGAGACATGACTCTCATTCTGTTTGGCTAGCATTTCCGGGAAGCTGGCTCATATCCTCCGCTCTGTGACCCTTTGTCAACCGCAATGAGTCCGGCCGGACCACCACGTTAAGATCTACGAGCCATACATTGGAGTCAGGCCTAATTGCCATGGAACAGAGAAGATGATTCCTGTCGTCCTCGCCATTCCATGTTACCATCGAACAGGTAGGCAGCGTTGACTACTTGTGCAACCAAAGAGCTTCGGCGGTCGACAAAGCCGCAAAGAGAGAAACTGGTTTAGGCGTCCAGGGGTAGTATATGAAGATAGAGATGCCCGTAAGAGTGTAGATGCCGTAGGAAATGCGAGTGGAAGGAAGTAATAGATGAAATCTATACACATCAGCGATGGCGTTTCTCGAGCTACTTGCTCCCCAACAGTACCCAGCTATAACACATCTCAACGGTTCTCTGTCGGAAAGGCTCTTTAAGCAACCCATCGACCGGGACTGGCTCCCCGCAACGACCATGGCGAAATCCAAGAAACGCCAGAGAAAGCGTTCCAACAGAGCAAAGAGAGGCTCCCCATACCCTTCCAATACGCAAAAGTCGAAACCAGGACAACCTAGCAGAAACCAAAAGTCATCACCGCCCCGTAAGCGCCAACGCGGACGTGACACTTCCAGCGAAGACACCGACGGTGATACCAACATGCCCTCTTCAAGCCCCAACAGAAGCTCAACAACATCCCCTGTCACCCGCTCCCCTCAGCCGCCATCTCCGACGACATCATCATCATCATCATCATCGTCATCACAACACCGCGAAGACTCCGCCCCAAGAGACTGCCCAACCTGCGAACTGATGCAGTCCCGCGCAGCGTCCCTCAGAGATACCCTCGCGGCGCTGGCTACCGCCCAAGCCGGCGCAATCGACCTTTGGGCCGGCCCGTCAGTGGTCGCGGCTGACCAGCCACAGGCACCCGTCCAGGAGAAGAAGGCCGCGGACTCTATGGATTGGCAGCAGGACTGTGCTCTCCCCGTACGGATCGTGACGGATGTGCCTGAGTTGAGATGTTATCCGCGTGAGATTGTACGGTGGCCGGAGGTTCCGTCGAGCCTTTCTTAATTCGAAGGCTTTAGGGATAATAACAGAGAACTAAGTGTGAACAATATATGGGACCAGGACGAGGTTGGGTCATAGTTGGACTGGAGGTCTAGGGTGGGTGGTGTTAGAGGATAAGGTTACCTCGTTGCGCATATGGAACGGGCGGACAACTTTCTAGGAGCCTTCTCAATAAGTTAAACTGTGCTAGGCAATAGATTCTCATCGGCATGACACAAGACCTTAGTTCGTAGCGGTAGAATCGGTCAGCAAAGGACCTCCGAAGGCGCCTGTACAGCGTGAAGCGTCACAACCCTCCCATCGTCACCTACAATACGGTCAACGATGACGAGGACATCACTCTCTCTCCGCCGCGTCAGGCTCTTCAATGACCGCTCTGAACCGAGTCAAAGTGGTGTTCCACCCCGAATTCCTCAACTCCCCCAGCCGAAGAACTCGACCTGTAGGATTGCCAGCCGTCGATTAGGAGGGGTTCGGTTCTCGGGGGTATAGCCATAGAGGTGAGAATAGTCTCTCACAATCTGCCCAGAGTAAAGATGGGGGCGACTGGGCTATATGAAGCACGAGAGCAATAGGGCCTGGACAAAGAGATGAAAACTTCACTATGGCACAATTCGCAACCTCTGACATCTGCCAATCATCAGTTGAAGAGTACTATGGATGCCCTGGGAACCGTCAAGTATAAGTTTTACATCAGCAGTAGAGACCAACGATGCAACGAACGATGCGTAGAGGGAATCTACAACCAAAAAATGCAAGGAAATAGGACAGGCGATAAAAAGAGAAAAAAAAAAGAAAAAGCCAAAAGAGCCAATATCAGTTCACCCCAACGCCGTAGCCTGTAGTTCCAACCATGGTACCTCAACATTTTGCTCGACCTCCATTCTCAACCCGCACACCTCGAATCACGGATGTAAGCAACAAAACCCGGGAGCCATACGAGACCCGCTCACGTTGCCGACACCCGCGATGTGAGAGGCTATCCACTGACAGCTTAATAACGGAGATACTCAAACACGACCATGGCATGGCCACGCTCGTACGCCTCTGCATTGTTTGTATTAGTCTTGTTCGTCCAGCGACACCGTGTTCCGGGAGGGGTACTTACCGAGACTGATCTGCTCCTTGGGCTTGAACTTCAAAGCCCTCATCTCCTCAACAACTTGCGCGTACACCTGAGCGGGAGGCGCCGTGGAGTCGATACAGTTGGCCTTGATACTGAGGAGGACCTTTCCGCCGACCTTGAGGAAGCATCCAGCGTTCTCAGCGATGATACGGGCAGGATCGGGCTGGGCGACATCGCAGAAGATGACATCTACCATGCCGTCAACGAAGAGGCGGTAAGAAGCAGGCTTTCGGGCATCCTCAACGATGGGGTTGACGTTGTGGCGCTTTTGGCACATGGTAATAAGATCACGGCCACTGCGGCGAGAGAACTCGACAGCATAGACACGACCCGTAGGGCCGACAATATCCGAAACGTGCGAAACGGTGGTTCCTGACGCAGCACCGAGGTACAGGACCTTGCTTCCGGGCTGGATATAGAGCGTATCGATACCGGCAAGAATGGCAGCGGCGATCTTGGAACGGAAGGGGTTCCATAGGCGGTACTCGATCTTAGTCGTTGTGGTGGAGCCGTCCTCGTTGGTTTCTGTATCGTTGACCTCAACCTTCTTCTCGCCGTAGACGCTGACACCGGGGGCGAAGCTGCGGGTAGCGAGGTCGTCCTGCTTTCCTCGAGAGATGAACACACCGGGGTGACGATGCCGTTCCTAAGAGCCGCCGCTTGTTAGTGATAGTCGTGGGGGAATGACGACGAGACACTGGTAAGGATGATACGAACAATGATAGCCTTCTGGCCACCCTTCGTGCCGCCAGGCTTGCCTCCCCTAGCACCACCGCGGGCGCCGCCTCGACCCCGCGGACCACCCCTTCCACCGGGGCCACCACGTCCACCGCCACCTCGTCCGCCACGGAATCCACCGGCACCACCGCCTCCTATTCAGTCTCGATGTTAGATACACCATAATCTAATAGAACTAGGCATCTACAGTGGCAGAGCCCAGGGTGGGCCATGGACCTGAAATCTGAAAGGGCAGTCAAAGATGATCACATACCTCTGCCACCACGGGGAGCACCACCACCTCGACCGCCGCCTCCACGAGCGCCAGCACGTCCTCCTCTAAATCCCGGGGCCATGTTTGAATATGCACAAAAGATCACTAGGCTTCAGGGTATCGCAAATTTCAAGCCTGCCGAAAAGAGATCTCCAAGACGAGGAAATCGGCGAAGCTTCAGAGACTGCTGAGATACTGTGACAAAAAAACAACGGTTCGCTGCTAAATTCTCAAGTTGAGTAAAGCTGAACGAGGACGACGAGCCGGTTCCACAACCAGTGTTGTAACTGGAAAATTCGAGGGGATCTCGAAAAGATTAAAGATGGCTGGAGGTCACTTTCTGGGGCGAGTCCCTAGAAATTTTTTTTTTTTTTTTTTTTCTTTTCGTAGCTCCCTTCACCTTGGAAAATTTTCGGCCTGCTTTGAAGGGCTGGACTGTAACTGCACTGCATGCAGGGGGGGACCTTGCAGGCAATTGAGGCCCCTGATTGGTAGAACATTATAGTTCACCCGATGAATTTCCGCTCATGGTTCTGGGTCGTAAATCACGTGCCAGTCCAAGCTATACAGACGACCTTCATCTTGCCTTACATCTCATCAGCTCTTGGCCGGTGACATGAGATGAAAACAGTTCAACACATTCAATAGTATTTCATTTTCCTGCAAAGCTAGATTGCCGAAGGGAGCCTATTAGGAATCTTTGGAAACTCGCCGTCATTAACTGTCGGCGCGTTGGTGACAAGGTTCATATACTCGGAGTCAAGAAGCCGGGCTTCTTGACTCGTCTGTCGTCGTCTCTAAGACCTCGGTGGGGGAGAGTAACCGGTCCCGCTCCGCATGTGGGCGTGATGGGTGGACAAACGATAGAAGCCTTGAAGGTAACGCCGAATAGCCAACTAAAAAATCTACACGGAGGGACGTGAAGGCGATATTTCAAATCCGTAAGCGAGCGGGCTCCTAGCAATACACCAACATTGGGAAATTGACTACCAGTCAGGCACGCAAGATTATTCGCATCACAGGACATAGACCATAAACACCAGAGTAGTTTAGCACAATGTGCTCGGTACTGACTCCGAAATGAAATCCTTACCTCAATTGTTCCTCAAAAGAGCCTTCAAGATAAGATCTTAGATCTGACTCGTGGAGAATCACGAGAATCCCCAATCACTGAGAAGTGGGGACAGTATCACGATGGTGGGGTCGTGGAAGTGACGACAGAGGAATCGAGTTCCCTCTGAGACCTAAACTAGTTTACGTGAGCCCAAGACCGGCATTGGGGTCACTGTATGCGGTTGATGCCAGCTGGCGGAGGACAACAGCTACCCCACGTGATATTTGGAGTCCAAGACTCGGGACCAGGAGATCAAGCAAACCACTCTTATTTTGAAGCACAGAGTGAAATCTGATGAAATTACTCTCAAATATTGGAATTAAGAAACATATTTGAATCGCAACCCAATAATTATTGACGAGAACCCTATCGGTGAAAACTTACGAGGAAGAAACAAAACTGTGTCATTGCGTTTGCATCTCTCTGATAAATTCTTAGCAGGCCTTTCTTTTGCGTGGGGCAAATTTCTTTCCCAAGGTCCTTCCCAAAGGGGTCACAACCCTAAGCCCTTCGCCTTAGCCAATCAAATAACACGTCCTTGCCATCCCCAACATCGAGAAGTATCCTAGGAACATCGTCAATTTTTCGAATTTCTTCATACATCCAACCAGACTTTCGACACAGCAGCAATCGACTCCATCACCAAACGTCAAGATGGTAAGTGTCCCTAATTTGAATGAGGAGGATTATCCAGTACCTATGTCGATTATTTTTTTCCTCGTCAACGTGGATTACCCGTCCTGCGACCATATTTCGACGAAATTTTCGATGGCATTCAAGACGACAGCCATGATCACGGAAAGGCTGACTTTGGGCATATAGGTTCGATACGCAGCCCACGAGATCCAGCCCGCCAAGTCGGCCCGCGCCCGCGGCTCCTACCTCCGCGTCTCCTTCAAGAACACCAGGGAAACTGCCCAGGCCATCAACGGATGGAAGTTGCAGCGTGCTGTTGCTTTCCTTGAGAACGTCGTCGAGAAGAAGGAGGCTGTTCCTTTCCGCCGATTCTGCGGCAGCATTGGCCGAACTGCGCAAGGTAAATATTTGCTTTCGGAAGCCCGGTTCTACTTCGCAAAACAAATGCTGTCAAAAGTGTTATGCCGAGTTTTGAATGCCGAAGACTCGAAATGTTTGGGCTTCGGGATGAGGGTCGGGTTGGTACTCTCTAATGGATCTTACGCTGACCGGCTCTCCCCCAATGCAGGAAAGCAGTTCGGTGTCACCCGTGCCCGATGGCCCGTTAAGTCCGCCCAGTTCCTTCTCGGCCTCCTAAAGAACGCCGAATCCAACGCCGACGCCAAGGGTCTCGACTCCAGCAACTTGGTCGTCAAGCACATCCAGGTCAACCAGGCCCCCAAGCAGCGAAGGCGCACCTACCGCGCTCACGGTCGTGTACGTTGATGATGTCCCCCTGCCGAGCGCAGCTGTGGGCGGATCTATCGTGGTATTTTGTGTGCTAATTCTGATATCTGTCTAGATCAACCCCTACATGTCGAGCCCCTGCCATATCGAACTCATCCTCACCGAGGGCGACGAGGCCGTTGAGAAGTCGGATGCTGTTGTTGCGCACGGAGAGAGGCTCAACTCGAGGCAGCGTGGTGTCCGCGTCCGAAAGGCGCTCACCGCGGCGTAGGGAAAAAATAGGGTGTTTGAAAAGTGAGGGTTGGCGTGACTAGAGATTGGCCACGGCTTTTTATTTTGTTACTGGTGTACGGTTGAGCATGGCATTCAGGGAAACGGCTTCCTCGCAAAAACCTCAATAAAATGTTGATATGACCACCAAGCTGGCATGGCCAGTTCGTGAGTGAGTCGGGTATTTTTCCGGCGATGGGTGTTGTTTTCTTACCGGTGTCGTATGTCCGTCCAACAACACGATGGCGAACGCTAAACAAGGGCGCTGGGAGGATCAGTCTAGATTCGCGTCTCGATATCTCAACATAATATCCATTGGTTGTTTCAGATCGAGAATGAGTTATGTCTTCATGTCCAAGCTCCTTTCTGATGTGGAATCTCAGGACAATACTGCGGATACGTTTCAGAGCCGAGATTTCTAGGCCATTCCGTCTTTGTATCGAGATACCCGAGTGCCATCTTGGTTTCGACAGGAGGGTAATTTGCTGGCATACTCATTCTATCCAGTAAGTTGTGTTGCTGATTGACATCGAAGTCTCGCATTGACCTACGATCCTCAGTACCCTCCGGCTTGTTTGTTTATATTGTTCCCGTCTAAAGATGTCCATTCCCTTCAAGACGCAAGCACGTCATATGAATACTCCAAGAGTTGTCTGAAATGTCGACAAGTCAACTCTAGGGACTATTAACTCAAGAATGTAACATGGGGAGTGTGTTGTGGCTGGTCCCATTGACCGGGCAAGAAGAGGGAGGGGAGGATAACCAGCAAGCAGATTTAACTCTCACACCAAACAACCCTCACTTGTGTCACTTATGTTAGTTCATGGTTATAATGGAATAATGGAACTTGTTCACGGCCTTCTGAGGAAGGTTCGGATCTTTACGACTCCAGGTGGCCACTTCCATCAGAGCTCTCCAGCCAAAATAGGAAAGAAAAGCACCTTACAGCAGATATCTGATCTGCTCTTTCTTCCTCCACCGAGAATCTCTCAGTCATGGCTCCTCTGGCTCTCTGCTCTGGCCTTGCCTATTGCTTTCTGCTTCTTCTTCAATGTATCCATTTTCATTACATTCGTATTCCACCCATCCATTCTCATCATCAATCGTCACCAGTGTTAGGAATATCCTTAATTCAGTTGAATATTGGATTGTTTCTTTCTATCCTTTTTGCCTGCTAAAGAGCAGATTTATCTTTTCAATCCTTCAGGGACCTGCAGGATTTGAAGTCTGTGGACGCCCGACAATTCGTTCTTCGAGGTAATGAACCTACTATCCTATCCTTCTCAGGTCCCTGGCAGCTAGCAGGTGGAATGCTACATACACCTCTAGTCCTTGGTCTGGATCTCATTGATGCTAACTTCTTTTTCTCTTGTCTATTACAGCATTTCCCACATCACATCAAGTGAACCAGGAGTATCCATCGTCCTCATGCTCATCTGTAGCTGTAGCAGATCAGATGTTGAATTTTTTTAAAGCTGCACACCCCCGAGCCCCCAACACTCCCCAAGCTTTTGATGGAAAGGGCAAGGGTAAGATTGAGATGCCAGGTAAGGTTTCTATCTCTTCGTGTGGTCCCATTTTCTATTCGGTCTACCTAAGTTAGCCATCTTAATGGATATCCGCACAGCCTCCTCTATACTGTCACTCTAGATAGACTAACTGAGGAGCTGCAGGATACTTTTCTGTTTCGTGGCCCTCTGATGAGGTTCCCATTGAAGTATTCAACCAAATCATCCAGTACTTAACTCTCGATGACCTCAAGAGCCTCCGTCTCGTCAACCGGGAGTTCGAAAAGAAAACTGCCTCGAACTTCTTTCATACATTTACCCTTTATCCCTGTGACCCAAAGAGTCAGCCTTTCCTAGACAAGGCTTCAGACTTATTTGAGAGGTCTGGCCCTTCCTTTTATCGTCTTGCATTTTCTCTGGACTTGTATGAGAACATGCTTGACCCCCCGCCACCTAAAACGATCAAGGACACCCGCTACCCTCAAATCGAACGCCTCGAGCAGATGATGGGAAGGACCAGTGTCTTTACTCAATGTTTGTCCAACCTCCACGGGCTAGACGAGCTCATAGTATTCTGCGACTCCGGTTTAGGGCGACTTATGGGACCTGAAAGAAGTTGGATAGTTTTTTGCACCCCGGCAGTCGATCGTTTTCCTCACCTTCACTGTCGCCCAGTGGGCCTCCCGACCAGGAGTGAACGGCCAGCGCCTCGCCCGACCCCCATTCAAACGTTGCCTCTGACTTCTTTCTGGGACAGGCCCCCCGATTCTAGCATAAGCGTCCGGGGTGCTCTCCAAGCCTGGGGATTCCCCAGGTTTAGTCTCCTCGATCAACCGCGCAGCACCATTGTCCCCGCATCCTTGTCAAACCTGCAAAAAGAGGTGTTACTCGAATTTGGATTGGTTCAGGAAGCATTTCTTCGCTCTCTAAGCTCTGCTATTGTTAAGATCCGGCAACGGGATGGGGGTGGTTTCCGTAACCTGTCGATTTTGAGGCTCGCAAAGATATCCAGCGGCCATTTGAGACTCCTCTGTGATGATAGCTTTTGGGGGAGCTTACCGCAGTTGGACACCGTGCACCTCGGAGTGGTGCCAGAATGGAGACGCATGTCCCTCACGGAGCAGGCCGGTGTGAATGAGGAGCAGGCCACGCCATCTACGTCAGCGGATACCGTGTTCGAGTTGCTTAGCGTTATCTCTAAGCAGAAGAGGATCTCCGTTCTGTTCTTCGAGTGGCTCTGTGGGGGTGAGTCCGGCCCCGGCAGCCAACGAAACCGGTTTATCCTGCCCGCACCCTTCACGCGGCATGCGGAACAGCATTTAGATCCCAGGATCACATTTACCTCCGGCGCTCTTATCGAGTTACCATACATCCGATACCTTTCCCTGAAAAACTGCTGGTCTACTCCCCATACTTTCCTTTATGTCATTCAAGCCATGGCACGTCAGAGCTTGGCCGATTTGAAGCTTGAGAGCGTCTCTCTCACGGGACTGCCCCACTGGAAGCCACCCGACTTGCCTGTGGCTGAAAGAGAAATAGGCCAACATCATAGATCCTCTCCGTTCTGGAATTTGGGACAACCAATCCAGAACTTTGGGTTCCAGGAGCCGGTCGACCAAGATCCTCCGCGGGATGAGGCTTTGGTCAGGCCGAATCTCCTCACGTGGTCCGGTATAATTAACGTCCTCAGTGCTGGTCGTCGAAACCCAGCCTGGATTCCTTGGCCAAATCCGCCCAGTGACGAGATGGACCCGTCCGTTAAGTATCTCCCCTATACTGAAGACCTTCCTACTGTGCAGAGAATGGAGTTGGTATCGTGCGGATATGCGGCTCTCGATAATGAGCTCGTGGGCATACTTCCCGGCTCCGAAACCCTTCTCATGACTTACTGGTGGAGCTCTAGTGATTACCACTTGGTTCATCCTCACTTCACCGAGGTACTATCGGGAGAGGAGCACAAGTACGAGGACATGCAAAACAATGCGGACGATCTCCTGGGCTACATTTTCCCAGTCATCCACCCCAGAGAAATACGGATCCTAAAGCGAGGTTTCGGCCTCCAGGTCGATGGGGAGTACACCCCCTCTAAAGCCCGTTTAGCCATGTTAAACGGTACTTCCGTGCCTAGATACCATCGCTTCGGCGGCGTGATCTCCAAGCGACATTCGTGAGAGAACAAGATAGCCATCCGTCACCATGGGCATACGCCCATTTCCTTCCCAAGAATTGTTGCAGGGCAAGTAATCCTCATGTTCTTTCGAATTCCTCTGGGGCAATTGAGGCCTACTAAGGATGGCCTTTACATTTAATTGATCCCAAAAGAGAGTCGGGTTGTGGGATGGGGAGAGGAAAAGAGAGAGGAAAAGAGAGAGGAAAAGAGAAAGGTGCCAGGCCGGAGGCTGCTATTCGGAATAGGAGATTTCTCGCCCATGTGCGCGGTTTCATTTCACGGAATGGGGAAAACGTAACGCCCACGTTTTCTTTTGCCCTCTATAAGATACTAATGCCGTAAAGGTTCATCAAATTCGTGTCATGCTACCTGTATTCAAGCTGTGTAGGTGTGTCTCATGCCAAAATTACTATACATTGCGGTCTACTTCCAAGACGGTGGTGATAGCCCATCAATGTTGAAGAAGCCAAGAAAATTAAATGGCCCATTTCGTGGGTAAAAATTTAAGTAAGAGTACCGGTGGATTCAAGTTTGACCAAATCCTCTCCTACGGCCCACATTCCTAATATTATCGGGCCAGATGGCAAGCGCTCGATCAATGATTCTTCCTGGTCCCGGATTTTAGAGCTTTGAGTCCGGCTTCGCGGCTTCGGCACCCTCAGGTGCACTAGCAGGCTCAAGAGCCTGCTCATGTTCGGCTGCTGGTTCGGCAGGCGCCGCAGCAGCAGGTGCCTCGGCCTCGGCCTCTGCAGGCTCCGACGTGGCAGCGCGTTCGGTGATCCAGTCGGTGACGTCCTTGAAGAAGTCAAACTTACACGGGTCGGCGTGCAGCTGATGAGCACAGCCATCATACACCTTAAACGTGGCGTCCTCCACGTGCGCTTTCTGCGCGTCGAACCAGTGCTGGCTCGATTCGAAGGCCGATGTCTGGTCCTTCGTTCCGTGGGCTAGCCACACGCTCTTGACGACGGGGAGGAGGTTATATTTGCCCGAGGAGAGGTCGAGAGTGCGGTCGAGGAGACCGGAGAGGCCCTCGAGGGTTCCGGTGTCGTGGCAGAGCTTGTCCTCGGCGAGACTCTTCTGGACGGCCGGGTCGTGAGCGAGCTTCTCGGGCGCGATGCGATGCATCATGGTGAACCTCGGGAAGATCTTCCCCACAGCGCGTCCGAGGACGATTTTAATCTTCGAAGGTTCCTCTCCAGCCGCGAAGCCCAAGAACGGGGCCTCAACCAACCATCCACGGACCTTGGCCACTACATCCTCGTGCTCGGGAGAAGACGCCAGGGCGAGTGCCTCGCCGCCTCCCATAGACGAGCCGAAGACGAAGACGGGCTCCTCGGAGGGGAGCTTGGAGGAGATGAAGGCGGCGATGTCGGCGAGGACTTGCGCGGTCGGGCCAGTGAGACCCTTGTCGGAGGGCTTGGCGACGCTTTTACCCCATCCGCGCTGGTCGAAGGCGAATGTCTGGATGGAGTGGGCGGAGAGGTGGCGGAAGAGTTCTTCGTAGCGGCCGACGTGGTCGCTGAAGCCGTGGATGAAGATGAGTTTGGCTTTGATGGGGCCGGAGGGCTACACGACAGCTGGCTTAGCGGGGGGAGGCGGTGATTTAAGAGTCGAATGCGACACGATATGGCATGACAGAAGGGGGCCCTTGAGAGAAGTAGCGACGAGTCTTACCGAAAATGTCTTTGTGTAGAGGCTCACGTCGCCGATTTTGAATGTTCCCTCGACCTCGGTTGCCATTGTCGCTGGTGATGGAGCTGAAGCTTCGATGAGAGTAAAGTAATAATAGTGCGAGTGTTGACTGGAGATGGAAACACACAGGAATAGCCAAAAACTACCAATCTCTACAAATTTGCACAACAACACAAACGATATCCGCAAATGCGTCGAGAAAAGCTTCCTATTTTTAAGAGGACTCTTTGGATTGTCTCACTTGGGGAATGATCCGTTACTGATGAGGAGGTTGAGGGTGGAGAGCTATGGACAATAAAGGACGAAATCGAGCTTGGATCCGGCCTCCGTGCGTTGACATGTGATTGATGGACCTTGCCGCTTTAAGTTGTGGACTTGAGCGATGAAGATTGCCTGTCAAATCCCCTGTCCCATTTCCACGCCTACTTCGTACATCTCCTGTAGGTGTTTAACGAACTCTCTATTCAAGATTGAAATCTATCAGCCGGGCCCCCCCAGTCGCCTTTTACCTATCATTGATGATGATACACGTGGAACTCTAGAAAAATAAAAAAATAAAAATAAAAATAAATAGTTTCCCGAGGAAATGCTGGGGCCTAGTATGTCGCCTCCCTCGGCCCACCGGTCCAAATCCCCTCATGCCTTCGATGCCGTCGAATGCTTCCCCGAGGGAAACTAAATGGACCCGAGGTCGCGATCCTCGTTGTTGAGTGGAGTTATTGTAAAAGAAAAAGGATATCGGCTTGAAAAGCCCTGAAGCGAATAAGGACACGGTGGAAGTTGTAGTAGTAAAGCGAACGAAACATGTCAATGAGACAAGCGGTGGCTAGCCAGATCGGGTTCCGGCGATCTTGGATCTCTGTCCATGACGTAGCTCGCGGACTGTTTGGCCGCTAGCCCATCACCTTTGCTTCTCCTCGCTGGTCGAGCCTGACTGTGACGACTGGCTCTGTAGCGCTGCTTCCGCCTCCGGCTCCTCTTCAAGCTGGGCCTCCGCCTCCGCTTCCTCGAGATCTTGTTCGATCACGTCATCCTCAGTGATGCGAGCGACCGATTCGTGGTCGCGATTCTCGGTCGGCTCGCCGCCGCTCATCTGCCATTCCATAAGCTTGCTGAAGGCACTCTCTGGGTCGGCCGATAGATCGGCGTAGCTTCCGATTTCCGCTACTTTGCCCTCACTAGAGAGCACGATGATCTGGTCCGACCGCTTAATAGTAGAAAGACGATGCGCAATGGAAATGGTCGTGTTCCGGCCCTTGAGCAGGGAGACGAGAGCTGCATTGACGAGTGTTTCCGATTCGGCATCTAGCGCCGACGTGGCTTCGTCGAGGATCAGGATATCTGGGTTCTTGATGAGCGCCCGCGCAATGGCGATGCGCTGCTTTTGTCCGCCAGACAGCTGGCTTCCCCTAGCTCCAACCTGGGTCTCCAACCCATCCGGAAGGTCGCTGATGAAGGTACAGTTGGCTTTTCGAGCTGCCATGATAATCTCGAACCTCGATGCGTCGGGTTTGGCGTAGGCAATGTTCTCCGCGATGGTGCCCGAGAATAGTACTGGCTCCTGCGATACCACGCCAATGCGTCGCCGAAGGGACCGTATGTTCATTTTCGACACATCTACGTCGTTTATGGTGATCGAACCGCCCGTAGGGTTGTAAAATCGAAGCAAAAGAGATGCCACCGTCGACTTGCCGCCTCCAGATGGGCCGACCACGCAAACGTTGCTGCCCGAAGGGATTTCGAAACTGATGCCGTTGAAAATCGATACCGCCGGTCGGGTGGGATATGCAAAGTGAACGTCGTTAAATTTGATAGTCCCCCGCGCAGACGGGACCTTGAGGCCTATCGTTTGCGGTATCGTCGGCTTCCGGTCTTGGAGTTCGAAAAGACGGCTGGCAGCACCGACTCCCTTCATGAGCTCCGAGAAGAACTGAGTCAGGTTGCTCACGCTGCCACCAGCAAACGCAGTGTACATCATAAATGACGTGAGATGACCGACCGAAAGTGCACCGCTATGCACCAGGTTACCGCCGACCACGAGCATTGCGAGAATCGCCATGTTGCCTACCCAGCCCGTCGTGGCAAAGAATGTCGCATAGATCTTGGATTCCCTGAGGCCGAGGCTGAAGATCTTCTTCACCTGCTTGTTGTACCTTGCAACTTCCTGGATTTCGCCAACGAATGCCTGACTCGTGCGGACATTGCCCAATCGTTCCTCGCCAATCTTGGATAGCGTTCCGACATTCTTCTGAATCGCTCGGCTTACGTTTCGAATCGCTTTGCCGTAGATCCATCCGCCAAAGGCAACCGGGGGCCCGATAACCAAGAGAACTGCAGAAAGCTGAGGGCTTAACCAGACCATAGCGGAAAAGGCGGCAATCCCAGACAAGAGAGCTCGGAGTCCGTCGCTCACGTTCTGAGTAATCGATTTTGCCACGATAACGCAGTCGGCTCCGAGTCGTGAGATTAAATCTCCCACCCGGTTGGCGTCGTAAAACTCGGCATCCTGGACATACGTGCGTCGGTAAAGCTGCGACCTCAATCTGGCTACGACGCGCTCGCCAATGATGCGCAGTAGTATAATTCTCGCAAAATTAGCAGCAGCACCGAGGGTCAAAAGGCCCCCGAGGCCGAAAAAAAACTGAGTCAACGTAAAGCCAAACAGTCGCGGGTTCTCCTCAGTACTCTTGGTGACTAGATCAAGAACCTGCCCAACAATGTAGGGAATAGAGAGGGTGACGCATGATGAGACTGCGAGGAAGCCGACGGCGATGGCAAGAAGCTTTATCTCCGGTCGAGCGATTCCAAGCAGCCGCACTATTTCATTCGGAGCGGGCTTCCCTGGAGTTTTGCCCTCCTTCGACAGTCTCGCGCTGAGGTTAACGTGCGCGGCTTTAGCGGCCCTTTCACTCTTGGTGAATGCGTACTCGTGCTGTTCCTCCGTGTCTTCCTCGGCATTCGGAAATGGTTCTCGCGTGGCGTTTTCGGTTTTGTGGTTTGGTGACCGGGCATTCGTAACTTCGTCTCTCGATTTAAACTGAACTCGACAGGTTGAAAATAGTCTCTCGGAAAGCCGAGGTATCGGTGCGGGAGCTCGGAGACCAACATGGAAGAGTCTCGCCCCGGTTGGCGCGCTAGTTTGTGTGCGGGTAACGGATTGGCATTGATCGAGAGCTCTCGGGTCTGAGCTAAAACTTCTGCGGTTAGGGAGCCATTTGATGTTGTTGCTGAGGCTCGGTGCCTCAAGTGTTGCGGCCGGCCGAGTCAATCGTAAGAGTGGAGTGCCCGCTGTAATCTGTTGAGCTGTTCCCGAGGGGACCCAGGGAAGCACCCGGGATAGAGGTCTGAAAGCCATGCTGCTAGGACGTATTGTAGAAATGTAGCTCGACTTTCATGGGAAGAACATAAAAGCGCCTATTAACGGTGAGTGGCACCGTCACGAAGGCGCTCCCATATTCTCATTTGCTTTTTAGTCTTGGAGCTTCGAGGATATGCGCGCTGCAGAATTGGGAAGGGAAAGGAAGTATTCGGGGCGCCGGATTAAATTTTGAAAAAATGCCGTCATCGGAGATTCTGTCATGGAGAAGAGATGAGTTAATGCCGGGAACTTGAGATCCGCCTGGGAATGCACGTGACTACTAACTTTGTCCTGAGTGGGCCTCACCAAAACTGGTCTTGCAGGCTGTTACACAGTACAAGCGGGACAGACAAGGGAGACTCAAAATTGACGTATGACGGGGTAGTAATAGTACGAAGTACTTGGCTAGCTAGGTCTGAGAAAGGGAGCAAAGGCCTTCACGAGTTGATAGAGAGAGGCAGCAAAGATGTGATACAGACACGGCTATTTCAAGTTTTCCGCACTACCATTGATTCGCTCTCACCCAGCTGTATTGGAGAGGCTGCAGATATCCCCGTACATTCCCCGCCCAAGACCATGGAATGAATGGTTCACTTTCCAGTCTACTTCATGGGCCGGCGTTGTCTTTGCGCAACATTTCCGCCACATCCGCGTCGATCTCCTCGTCGCCACCGAGATCGGGGAAGTCATCGCCATCTAGCCTCCTTCGCTTATTCGAGCCATTAGTTGCCAACGGCAGAGACTGATACTGAGATGCGAGATGCGAAAGCATCTCGATGCCGGGAGCCACGCCGTGCTGGAATCCAGGGCCTTGGTGGGCCGACGGGGACGCGAAATCCGACGCACCTTCGGGGAGCTCGGGTTCGTCTTTGACTGAGGGCGGTGTAAGAGCTTCCACTTCTGGTCGGTCAGGCTCGGGTGGAGTATGTGAGGCAGGACGGTCACCGGCAGGAGATATCCCAGAGTCTCCAGAGGTGCTGAGACCCCGCATGATGCTTGTTTCCACCTCCTGCTTCTTTTGCTCGATTTCCCTTTTACGTCCTCCCAGCTCCTGGAGTTGCTTCTCCTCGGACGCAAGCGTAGCCTTGCTGGCGTCGAGGAGCTTTTCCAACTCTTCGATGAGGCCCTTTCTAGCCTTAACCGATTCCGCGACAGCGCCTTCGGCGGACGCTAGAACCTTCAGCAACCCATTAAGTCGTGCCGCATAGACTGGCGCCGAAGGAGGCGGTGCAGACGGATCGGTAAGTTTGAGATAGTCTTGGTTTGCCGTGGCAAACGCCGTCTTGGCTGGCGATTGGTGCTTCACGCTGCCCTGGTAGTGAGTGACCAGATTGCTTAGCTCGGATGGAACAACTGCTGCCACAGACGCAGCTGAACCAAATGGAGACGGACCGCCAAAAGCGTTTGCACCCTTCAGCTTATCCAAGTCTACAATCACGGTTAGTGGAGGAGTGAAGACAAAGACGCTCGGGACAAAAACCGGCAAACAAACCTGCGATTCTGGCATCTATGGCCTCCTGAATTGCATCTTCGAAAACGCGGCGATCCCTCCAAACGTCGATAACTCTCTTAATCTTGCCTTGGACCTCGCTCGGGGCCCCCTTGTAAGCTATGGCAATAGCCTCTGGAAGGACAGGAGAAAAGGCCTCGATGAAGTCCATTTTATTCCTAATCTTAGATTGCTGTGCAAGTTCTACAATAGACCAATGTCAGCTGTTTTGTATTCATCAGAGCCGCGTAGGATAAAGGCATAGTTCGAGATCTGGCAAGGACCTGGACGTTTCCTTGCATAAAACAAAAAAAAAAAAAAAAAAAAGCATACTTACCATTGGCCAGGTAGACCAGACTCAACCTTTTTGTGCTTGAGGAAGACTTCAAGCGATTGAACCATAGCTCGACAGTGCGGGTCGCATGTCTCCTACATCACTTGTGAGCAGGCTGTCATCAGCTGCTATTGAGGTAGGCTAATGGGTTCCTTACCGGTGGAATAGAATCCATTGTGCAGAAGAAGATATGCTATCGTGGCTCTCATTGACGGCACTGAGCTTAGCTAGCACAGCATCATCATTGTATGCCATGGTCAAGGAGGTCTAATCTTAGGACTCAGGGAGCTGTAGATCGAAATGTATGCTTGGTCTGAAATGTAATTGAGAGAAATGCTGCGAGCTTGTTCCTTGGATCTTGGTCGAGCTGGTTGGTTGATGTGGAGACTGAAAATTATCAATCTCTCAAATGCTCTTCTGAGGCTCAGCTGCACCTTCCAAGAAGCTGTTGATAGGACTTGGGTCCTGCAGAGTAGCTCTTCACTTGTAGTAGCTGCTTTCCAATGTCAGAAGCTATTTAGTTGTTCTTAGAAGCGAAATCATATATGACATAAGGCTTTGGTGCAGTTTTATGTATGGAATTGCTGGATAATCATCAAACAAACACTTCTCAGGAATAGCCTCTCAAGGGAAGAATGAACGACAGAGTCTATATTTGAAGCTCTGATAATAATAATCGAAGACCAGATCACCTTTGTAGCCCCGGTTACCAAAGCAAAGCTCCCCAAAAAGCCAGCAGCTGCAGAGACAATCCAGTCAGCAAATAGCAGAACCGGAAAGCTGCTGTGGTGGAGCCTATACTGTGTGAGGTAGTGTAACACTGTAAACAAGTACAAAGCTACTGAGTCCTTTCTCCTTATCACGTGCAACACATTTCGTTCAGTGGTCATCAATCATTCTTCAGGGAACACTGCAGAGCAGAGTCTGGACCTTGGTACGTACCTTCCAGATCAAAGAGTAATATTTGGACCCCCCCTGTACAAGGCACCTGTAAGGTCGCTAAGGATAATGAAGGAGCAGCCACCTATGGGGGAAGCAGCATCATCGCAACATTCCAACATTTGCTACCTACCTGGTCTGAACCTTCCTCAATATCATCCCCTAATCCTCCCCTAACCTACCACTGCCCCTCCCTGAATATCTCCAGGTTGAAGAAACGTCTTCCATTTTTGGGCCCAGCCGTTTTCTATTTTCGATAGTGTTTACCAGACTTGATCACCCCCAAAAGCCAAAGTCATCTCAACCGGTACAAACGATACGATCAAGATGGCTGACAGATTCCCATCCCTCGAGGAGTTCGATTCTGGCGGTTCGTCGACTCAAATATCTTATATCCGCAGTTGTTCGAAGACCGTGCTTCCTAACATACTATTTGGCAGTTCAAACCGACATCAGGGCCGCCGTTGAAGACCCCTCCGCCGACGACTTCCTTGCTCGAGAGAAGGCTCTGCTCGGCGATGATGCCGACTTGTTTACGACAACCCAAGATGCTGCAGCCGTTTCAGGCGATGTAGGCGGCGACCTTCTTGGCGGAGAGGATAATGCGCAGTCGACATTCGAGTCACAGTTCCCCGACATCACGACTGTGCAGCAGGTTAGACCCCTAGCGGCTACCAGAGCTTAATGTCTGATTATCCTAACTAACCCGTGATGGATCAGGTTGGCCCGTCCGTAACTTACAATTCCGGCTTTGCCGCCTATGCCGAGGAGAAAGATGAGGATGAACCCGAAGTTGTCAAGGAGTGGAGGGAGCGACGTAACGCCGCCATCACCAAACGCGCCGAGCAGTTTGCGGCCCAGCGAGAGGAGACCATAACAGAGGCCAGGCAGAATATCGATGACTTCTACGACCATTACAACACCAAGAAGGAGAAGGGCATTGCGCAGACACGCAGGGAGGCTGAGCAGTTCCTTGCTAATCGCGAAGATACCGTGTCGGGCGGTACCAGCTGGGACCGTATTGCGAAGCTTGTCGATATCAGCGGCAAGGGTGTCAAGGGTGGAGCCGCCGGCTCTGGAAAGGAGAGGTTCCGTGAGCTGTTGGTTAGTCTACGGAAAGATGAGAAGGCTCCCGGAGCTAGTGGCATCTAGATCTTATGCGAAGGAGGCCGTGTCCACGGCCGATTGACATAGTCTTCTTACCTTGTCACGAATGGGCAGACTGCCGGTCCCCGGCGTTCTACCCAATGGACAACTGTATTTTAGAAAAAGGATGATGATTCCCGACCCTCCCAGATGGGTTAGGAGGCGGCATTTGATATGATCGGCGTACACAAGCAGTCCAGGAATTCCAATCGATTCACATGACCAAATGGAGCCGTAACACATGGATAATATATTGCGGGACCAACGGATCCCCAAAATATGGTAATCTATTGAGTATATTGAACAGTACCTCACGCATCTACTCGTCCTCAAGGCGGCCCTTGTGCATCTATGACTAATAATGCATTGTCTCTAAGTCAAGAAGAGCACTTATTTGTTGCTGAACCAGGTGTTGTATCCGGCAACCTTTCGGCCCATAGCGTACATGGTCGCTAGGCACACAGCTCGTCAACAAACTACATTCTTTTGACGGTCGAGGGACAGATACTCACCTCCGACAGTGCCCCATAGGAGGACGAGATAAGGGGTCATGTACCATCGGCTTCTGGGGTTCTATAATGCAGCAAGTTAGTCACGCCATGGCCCAATTGACGTGCTATGAAGGCTAGATTCGGGGGGTCGAGGGGGTCAATGAGGTCGGAGACGGTGGGTGGGAATTGGCTCACGATCTTCCAGATTCGGTTGTGCTGCGCGTACGCCGTCTGGTACACGCGCTGCAGCTCGGTCACGTTGTTCTTGCGATTGACGAAGCTATAAAAAGGAAGAAAGGCTGTCAGCAGGCGAGCGATGTGGTCGACCCGTGAAAGGTCATGAAGGGCTCGATAGCCGAGGGCCAAAACCTCGCAACGGTGAATTGAACTCGGGGCGGATTCGTTGACGACGAGGCGGCAGCTGTCCCAGCGCTACGGAAACTTTGCGTACCTCATTTTGAATAATTGATCCTGGAGAATCTAAGGGTCGGGATCTCTTGTTCCAACAAGTCGAGGGTTGATGGTGAGGTCTTTGGGTGGAATGTTTGAACTTTTATTGGGTCACAGCATTGGTGTATTTGAAGAGTCTCTCAAGATCAGACCACGCAGAGTCCGAGTGGGTACCGGGAGTGATGACTCAGCAACCCGAACGACTTTGGACCGCGGAGGTTCATGGATGGTTGAATTGACGTGACAATCTTACGAAGTTGAGCGTCTCCATCACGCTGATTGGCGCTATTCGACGATCCATGCTAAGGCTGTGGACTCTTAAGGATTGAGGATTCGAACTCGAGGTTTCGATAACAGCTCGTGGGCTTGAACAATCCAGAAGTTTTGATTTGATCATAGTGATTTTTGATATAAAGACCTCATTACCCTATTTCTAGATATCTTCAGGATGAGTTCGGGCGTTGAGGTCAAGAGTGTTGCATGTGTCGATGCACATCACTCCATAACGTGACCTATTAGTGACCCGATGAAGACGCAAAATGTAATCTAAAAATATGTAGTCGAAAATGTGTACGAGCTGTTGTTTTGCCTCCGAATCCATAGGTGATCATTATGTCTCTAATAAAAAGTAATACAAGGCCTTTGCCAACCGCATACATCCATCGAACGCCAGGAACTGTAGTGCTACCGAAGCCGAAGATTTGAAAAAAAATACATCATACAATCCCGATGCTGTGAGGCATTCAATATCAAGTGAAGGGTCCCCATTCTAAATGGGCACTACCTCGCCTCTCCGTTATCTGCAGGCGGCGGTGGTGGGGGTTCGCCATGCCGCTTTGGTTTTACCATGAGTAAGATAAACAGGCCGGCAACAATTATTATGAGTAAAAGGATAATCTTCCGCTTCGTTGTTTTCTTCTGATACCCCGCGGCAACTGTGAGCTCCTTCTCCGCATCTTTGAGATCTGTCGCCATACGCTCAACATTATAGTCAATTCTATCCAGCATCGTGCCCTGGTCGATAATCATCGTTTGGAGATCGCGGAATAGGTCTGAGAGCTCGATAATGCCCTGCGCAATGTCCTCGATCTCCCGCTCGCGCTGGAGAATAACGGCGTCGTTGGAGTGGAGCATCTTTTGCCGTGAGGTAGTTTGCAATGTCGATTGAGAATAAGATTTATCTGCATCGGACTCTAGGAGAGAAGGATCGTTATAATGAGATGAGGACAGGGGCGTTGATGCGCGATCGGAAGGGCCCGGTGACACCATGCCACTGATACCACGAAGCTCTGTTCAGCAAGGTTAGATTAATTTTGTCATGAAACCAAATACTGAAACGAAAGGGTAAAATGATACTCTTCAGATAGGCGCTTTGTTTCTTCCGGAAGCCAGCGCTAGCTTCCTGAACCCTTGTTGCCAGTGATATCTGTATATTCTTTGCCATCATCTCCTCAGCTCGGGTTAACGTCCCTTGTTGCTTAGATTCTCGGACCATCTGCTCAACTCGCTGGATAAGGTTGTGGCATTGGTGGAACCCCTTCGTTATCTCCTGAGTGAGCCTCTCGATTTCGCCCTCCTCTGCCTTCTTCGTCTCATCGTCGTTGAAGGCTGGTAGGATGTGTTTCTGGTGCAGTCGTTCCAGGTGTTGACTCTTTTTTGCTACGCTCGCCAATATCTCCGTGATGTCATCTCCTATATCTGCCCACCTCGGTGGTAGGAGGTCCATCTCAATCACCGCATCGCCGTCATCTTCAAAAGCACCAGCAGAGAGTAAACCTCTCCGGTCTTCTGATGAATAGCTCGTACCAGGGAAGTTATCACCAAGGGTATTGTTAATCGCGATCCCCGGCCCGTATTTTATGCGCTTCTTCGGATGATGGGCGTATGACTGGCGGTAAGATATATAGCTATTAAAAAAAAAGTGAATTAGGAGGGCTCTCACCAGAAGAGATGGATTCGGGAAGCCTACAGATTGGTGCGGTCTCGCCACATGGCGGACACAAATGATCGTTCCGAAGGGTTGGATAGACGGGAAAGTGCTTGGATTCCCAGGGAAAACTGGAAATGGTCGCTGCCGTCCACTCCGGGGCGAGGGAGGGAGCCAACTCCGGGTAGGCGATGCGACTCTTGGAAGGATCCGGTTGGTAGTTGAAGTAGGTTTCGGTCGGTACGGCGGTAGTCCGGGCATGAAGTAGACGCTAGCTACGCGGGACTCGAGCGCATATTCAAAAGAAATATCGATGGGGTCGACGAACAGCCGGGCAGATTAACCAGGGGAGAAGCTTCTGCACCTCGAGCCGCTTCGAGCTCGCGCTGGCTTGGAGTGTATCCTCAAGCCTCACAAGCGCGAGAGGCTGTGACGGGAATAAGTATCCTAGATAATGACGTCTCGGTAACGAGGTGTGGCCGGCTCTAATTGTCTTCAGGTTTGATATTGAGGCGGTCCGGGTCTTGCTTTGTGCGATGGCTCACGCTGAGCTTTGCGATTTGAATTGTTGGCTTGAAGGGAAGTGGATTCGAGGTCCGATTAATCGGGAGGCATCCATCAATTAAGGACAGCTCTCGTTACCTCTAGGTTTTCGGTGTATATGTACAATGCAAGCCAGAACAAAGACTCTTCGGTAAATGAATGAAACAACGTACTAGTACTTTGCAGATTACATGTAATTTTCTTGGCACGCCAAGGAGAGACACCTGGGCGCCTTTAATATCACATGACCTTCTGAAGTCGCTAATAGGAGCACTGTTGCCTGCTCATTTTCTGCCGTGTTCATCAGTATAATTGCCTCTAGAATTGATTGATTGACATGCTAGAATGATTGATCAATTGAGGGTTCCAGTGGAAGATGGTGTACATTCCTCAACCTGCATTGTACCCGGAGAGAGAACCGGGGCCTCCTGAGGCTCCAGGGATCCAGCGAAGGTTTACTTCGTACCGAGCTCTTCATTGATCTTTTTTTGGACTGTACCCATTGCTGGCTGGCGGACAGACCAGGCTCTAGGAAGCTGGACCCCCCAACCCCACCAAATAAAACACTTTGACGCGAGTTGAGTTGATCGACTAGCACTTCCCCCCGCCCTCGTCACCCCTCCGTCTCCCCCCGCAAGCTACACTGTCGAAGTGCTTAACTTTGGCACATTCCCTCCCATAAGGAATCGCGAACCTTTCGAGATCTACACCTCTCCTATCGACGGCGATATCCCCCGAATTTTATCTTGAAACCCTTTGCCGATTTTCTTTTGCGTCTCTACAATGGTTAGTTCGCCTTCTCGGGCTGAATGTGCTCCATGTCGCGAGATTCCCTCACGACTGAGCAGAAACTCCTTTTCAACTCTTACTTAGCCCGCCGACAGGGCTAGGAGTCAAGACCGCCGGGCGCATTATCTCTTCGTTCTCACGCTAACTGACCGTTCGTTTATCGTCGAGTAGGCTGATTCTCTTACCGAGGAACAAGTTTCCGAGTTCAAGGAGGCTTTCTCCCTCTTCGTAAGTGCCGACTCTAGACTTCCGGCGATGGACTATTCACTAACAACGCTGTGTGCGCAGGACAAGGATGGCGATGGTGGGTTAAAGATCTACCCTCCCCCAGCCCTCTAATACGCTTTGATCGGCTTCATTATAGAGTCTCGTCGCCGAATCGGTTTTCTTTCGATTGCTCTTCTAATACGACGACCAGGTCAAATCACGACGAAGGAGCTCGGCACTGTCATGCGCTCCCTCGGCCAGAACCCCTCGGAGTCGGAGCTTCAGGACATGATCAACGAGGTCGACGCCGACAACAACGGAACCATCGACTTCCCCGGTATGCAGCAGCCAAGATGGATCTAATACAGGAAACCAGGAGCTGACTGTTGCCGCAGAGTTCTTGACGATGATGGCGAGGAAAATGAAGGACACCGATTCGGAAGAAGAGATCCGTGAGGCGTTCAAGGTAGGATTGCCGCTGCACTTCTTGCTTCCATCCCGCATCTCTGTCGACTAATAGACATAGGTTTTCGACCGTGATAACAATGGCTTCATCTCGGCTGCCGAACTTCGTCATGTTATGACTTCAATCGGCGAAAAGCTAACCGACGATGAGGTCGACGAGATGATTCGTGAGGCTGACCAAGACGGCGATGGAAGGATTGACTGTTCGTATATCCCTTTCCCAGCCTGGTCTGTCGGCTGTTGTCTCTAACGATTTGATTATTCTAGACAATGAGTTCGTCCAGCTCATGATGCAAAAGTAGTGTCCCACCATCTCCTACGGTTACCTACCTACGCCGACCCCCCCCCCCTCTTAGGAGGGAGCTTCAGCTCATTGAATGTTGGATGACGAGATGCGACTACCGTCAGAGGGGCACGCTTCATTAGTCTGTTGTCAACACTTAGAAAAGTTATTCCCCCGCCCTCGAGCATCCGTTTATTGAGATTCCCCGAGCGATAAATTGATTCTCGAGAGTGCACATATTCTTGTTTCCAGTCTCTATGTCCATTGTTTTGGCTGGTCCCCATGGTTGGTCTCTATAGGTGCTTGCTTCTTTGCGGTCACCTTCTGGCTTCGCTCATAATAGTCAGACAGCATATTGCTATATTGTCTTGTGAATTTAGTCAATTGCCTTCTACTAGCTTGAGAAGCGAAATTCGAGTTGCCACTGTATCTAAGTCATTTTCGCCTTGAGTCCACGTCAGCCTGCTCCCATCAAATCCTTGAAAGGAGCGGGGTAATCAGAGGGAGGGGGGATTTGCAATCAAACTGAGCAACAGGCGTAGCCAGCTGTCGGACTCTGATCCAATTGGTCGTTAGAGAGAGAGAGCAAAGATAAGAGCTTCATAAGGGGAAGTGTGTTGTCATTGGCACTTCTATCCGAGGATCATTACAACCGAAGCTGGCGATTGTCTGCGGTTTATGTATAAGCTGAGAAGGTATGTTTGTTTACCGAAACCAAGGTCCCTCATGCCGGGTCTCAGCCCTATAAGGCACCATCGACGCATATCATATTCCAGACCTGAATAGCTCGCAGAGGTTGTGAATATAGTGTGTGCTCAGCCACAACAACTTCTCCTTGGCAGTCTCCGAGGTTCCTCCTACCTTGCGTTCCTGGGACCACCCCACCATCTCCCGATGCCAGCTTGAAGAGGCCCTGAAATCTAACCTCCTTCTTCTGTTTTCCAACCCTCCAGCTCGCTGCAGAGATTTTGTATGCGAAGTAGTAGGACCTGCTCCTGCTGCGTTGGAGCTCTATCTCATCTCCTTAACTCTTACATATAGTAGAAGTGCATCCAGCGAAGACAAAGATCACGTAATTAAGTCCGGACAATGGACTCCGCCGAGGTCTACCCTTTCTGCATCTTGTCGAAATGGTCACCTAGCAATGGGCGGCTCATGACGACAGCCAGAGTAGCCGTGGGAAGTTTATGAGTGTCACAGAAATATAAAACTATTCCACGGCAATTATTCCACAACGCAAAGGATTGATCGAGGACTGCAGTTAGCAAGAACCAAGCTTCATTTTCTACTGCCAAATGGCATCAAATGAACATCGACAGTACGAAGTATAATATGAGTGCGCGAGATCGGCTGTTGGCTTGATCTCGTTTGAAGCTGTTGAACAATGGAATTGGTTGTCATAAAGGGGACCACGATCTAGCCACGTGACAAATTTTAGGGGAATGCTCTCCAGTTGAGATGCAATTAAGCGTACTTGTACCTTTGACCTTGACTTTGGAGACACCCAATCCCAATGCCCCACTCATCGTTGATAGGCACCTACTCATTGAGGCCAGTCAAGCCCCCTATCACCACCAAGCTGACGATAGAGTCGATCCGGGAGAACGATCTATCTTACGGTGTCTATGCTAAACTGCATCCCACCCAGTTTTTTCCGGTTCCAGATTTCCGTGGTATTAGTTGGTAATTCCGGCCACCATGGCTTCTTGTACGCGGCCCCCAAGCTTCTTGCTTCGCCCCTCATCACAGCGTGGCTGACCTCACCGACCCGTGTAGTGAAGCAGTTCATCAGAAACGTCAGGGCTGCCAAAACGATTGCCGACGAGCGGGCTGTTATCCAGAAAGAAAGCGCGGCGATCCGAGCGAGTTTCCGAGAGGAGAGCCATGACCACAACGTCCGGTAAGGCCGGCTATCCGCCGAAGTTCTTCGCGCCCGCGCTGAGATTGTTGTCCTTGTTCTAGCCGAAATAATGTTGCGAAGCTACTATACCTCTTCACCCTTGGTGAAAGGACCCATTTCGGTCAGATAGAATGCCTCAAGCTTCTCGCATCTCCTCGCTTCGCCGATAAACGACTCGGTCACCTGGCAACCAGTCTCCTCCTTGACGAGAACCAGGAGGTGCTCACCCTAGTCACGAATTCGTTGAAGAAGTGAGTCGACTCGTTCTCTCCTTCTCTCTCCGTATACCCGTTTTAATAGCCTCTCCTAACGATGATACAGCGATCTTTCTCACTCGAATCAGTACATCGTCGGCCTTGCCCTATGTACGCTCGGTAACATCGCGTCTGTCGAGATGTCCCGGGACCTCTTCCCCGAGATCGAAAGCTTGATATCTACTTCCAACCCTTATATTCGGAGGAAGGCGGCCCTGTGTGCTATGCGTATATGTCGCAAAGTGCCCGACCTCCAGGAACACTTCCTCGAAAAGGCAACCCACCTGCTATCCGACCGGAACCACGGCGTCTTGCTCTGCGGCTTAACCCTGGCGACTAGTCTCTGTGAGGCTGATGAAGAAGAAGGCGGCGAAGAGGGTATCGTTGAAAAGTTCCGGCCGTTTGTTCCTGTATTGGTAAAGACTCTCAAAGGTCTTGCGACTTCTGGGTACGCTCCGGAGCACGACGTAACAGGCATCACCGACCCCTTTCTTCAAGTCAAGATTCTTCGTCTTCTCCGAATCCTTGCTATCGGGGATAGCGAAGTGAGCGAACAGATAAACGATATCTTAGCCCAGGTTGCCACGAATACCGACTCTTCAAAGAATGTCGGTAATTCGATCTTATACGAGTCGGTTCGGACAATTCTCGATATTGAAGCCGACTCTGGCTTGCGAGTTCTCGGCGTCAATATTCTTGGAAAGTTCTTATCCAACAGGGACAACAACATTCGATATGTCGCTTTGAACACCCTAATCAAAGTAGTCGGAATCGAACCTAACGCCGTTCAGAGACACCGGAACACCATTCTAGAGTGTCTGAGGGATCCGGACATTAGCATTCGGAGGCGTGCCCTGGAACTAAGCTTCACTTTGATCAATGAGTCGAATGTTAGGGTTCTGATTCGGGAATTGCTGGCATTCTTGGAGGTTGCCGATAATGAATTCAAGCCGACAATGACGAGTCAGATTGGTATTGCCGCCGACAAGTTCGCTCCCAACAAGCGCTGGCACGTCGACACTATGCTCAGGGTGTTGACTCTCGCCGGTAATTATGTTAAGGAGCCAATCCTATCATCCTTCATTCGCCTTATCGCCACTACGCCTGAACTGCAAACATACGCTGTCCAAAAGCTCTACGCAAGTTTGAAGAAGGATATTACTCAAGAGTCTCTGACGCAGGCCGCCGCATGGTGTATAGGCGAGTTTGGCGATTCGCTGCTCCGAGGCGGGCAGTACGAGGATGAAGAGCTCGTCCAGAACGTCGAGGAGCGTGAGATCATCGACCTGTTCTCAACGATATTGAATAGCAGCTACGCGACACAGGTCACCACCGAATATATTGTCACGGCCCTGATGAAACTTACGACTCGGTTCTCGGATGCTGCTCAAGTGGAAAGAATCCGGCGCATACTCCAGAGTAACCAAACAAGTCTGGACGTGGAGGTCCAGCAGCGGGCGGTTGAGTATGGCAATCTCTTTGGTTATGACGATATCCGGAGAGGAGTCTTAGAGAAGATGCCCCCTCCTCAGATTAAGGAGGAATCAAGAGTGCTCGGGGCCGCAACTACTACGAAGAAGTCCAGCAAAGCAAGCAACAGAAAGTCCAAGGTTGTGAAACCCACGGAGCAAGACCTCTTGTTTGACTTGATGGATCAGCCACCCGCTGCCGCCGCTCCTAGTTCTCAGTCCAATATGGATCTATTAGCAGATATATTAGGAGGCTCGACTCCAGCTCCAACAACCTCTGCCAGCCCTCCACCACAACAGTCGAATGTGGCCTCCATCATGGATCTTTTCTCAACCCCAAGTCCGACCCAACCCCAGGGCTATCCGCCTCCCGCACAAGCCCCGGCCGCTGCCAACGTTGGCGTCCGGTCATCTCTATCACCCACAGGGACGCCAGCACCCCAGGCCGTCTCATCGCCGCCGGCACCAGCCAGCCATGCCTGCTACAACTCCAACGGGCTTGAGATTACGCTTCAACTCCAGCGCAACTCTGAGGGTATAATACAAGCTATGGCGAGGTTCCGAAATACCTCACCTTCCTCTCCGCTCTCCAATGTCGGTCTCCAAGCCGCCGTTCCGAAGTCGCAGAAGCTTCAACTTCTGGGCATCTCGAGCCCTGATATCGCGCCTGGCACGGAGGCGACCCAGTTAATGAGGGTTGCGGGCTGTAAAGGAGTAAGCCACCCCCTCTCCCTTCTCTCTCTCTTCCCACATCCAAAACCTCCAGCCGTCTAGATGGACACCTTGTACTAACATCAATTGTTCCCAAAGCCCCTTAGGTTGCGGCTGAGAATCGGGTATTCCCATCCCTCTGCAGGTCAAGTTATGGACCAGGTCAATTGGTCTGAACCGTTGTAATCCGACAACACCGCGGTGCTCGGGTGAGAAACTGGTGAAGAATGCATCGAATAAAGCCGATGGTTGGGATGCAACACATTCGAAGAAGTAAATATCTACGAGAATTCAGGCATGGTTCTAGGCTTGAAATAGAAAAGAAGGAAAGGAAGAAAAAGGAGCAGCTTCTTGTCACATTTGTTTAGTGGGCCGCGAGCCATTTCGTACGCGGAAGGGGTCGACATTGTGCTGTCGGCGTATCTAGTCATTTGTGCTGGGGAAGTAAGTATCGGAGTAAGTCAACGCGACAGAGAGTTATGTTAAAACTAGATCTATTACGTCCCCTTCCATCTTACATTCCGTTATTATTTATCCATCTGTGCGGTTGGCAGGGGCATTGATCAGCCAGCCGACACCAGACACCAACGTTCCCATCGCAGCATCCCTCAGCTGATCTCTCTTTCGTGTTCTATGATCGTCCTTGTGAGTCGGCTCGGGTTCCGGTTCTTGCCCCCCACTACTGGAGCCTAGACTCGATAGGACGCTCAGGTTTCTTTGAGCGACGCGGGCTGTCGCGCGTGACAAGTCGAAGAGAGACATAGGCACATCATCAGCCTCACGAGAAGTACTCGCAGATGGCGGCACGGCCCGTGATTCGGTGGTGCCGGGCGTAAAGGCGCCGGGGATGCCCGGCGAATGCAAATCTCCCGCCGCATCCCAAGCAGCTTCCTTCGCAGCCTCCTCCTTAATGGCAGAATCGAGCTGCTCTTCACAGCGCCGAAACGTTTTAAGGATTTCGTGGAGTTGCGACGAGGGCGCGATGCGCAGAGCGGTGGCGAGACATTCGACACGCTGTTCAAGATGGCGGATGTCTAGGTTCCCGCTCGCTGTGCCGAGGTGGGTTGGCTGGATCGTTTGAGCGGTCCGAATGTATTGCCCTGCTTGGAGTGCTGCCCTCCATGACCAATCATCAAGTGGCGCAGGGGACTTGCCAGCTAGGTCTGAGGTAGTAGGTAGTTGAGCCGTCGTAGCCAGACGGCTTGCGACGTATGAATAGGCAGTTTCGAAGTCGTCCTCTCGTAGCGCCGCTTCAATACACATTGATGTCACCCGCTTCTCGCTCATGAACAGTAATGTGCTCTGCTGATCATCCGTGTCGGATTTCCGCGTCTTGCTTGCGTACAGCCCGGCACGAACCATGTTGGCGCCAACTTCCAAGAAGTCTTGAATTTTGGTGTAGCTCTTCGGGTTTTGTTCCAACACCTTCGCAATGATAGAGATGGGATCCGAGTGGACTCTGAGCACGACGGGGCTGAACGGCTCACCCTGCTTCAAGACCAGACGGTAATGGCTTAGCGCGTGTGTTGCTTTCAATAATGAGTCTATTTGTTTGAAGGCTGGTGAAGCTTTTCCTAAAGTCTTAGGGAAAGCGCGGATACTAGCATAATGTGAGTATTCTTTACAGGGCCAAGTAGAAGACGTCGAGGCTTACATGTCATCGCATCTCTTCAGTCCGCCCCGCGTTCTGTTCGGGTTCGATGCATTGTCAAACGCGTTCATGGCAGCCGTGACGACAGTGTCTCTAAGAACAGCCGGGTCGAGCAAGCTGTGCCCAGGCTTCTCATAGATAGTTTGAGCAAGTCCATATCCTATTCCATACTCCATGTTAGCGTAACGGAACAAATGCCCCCACTAAGGGATAGGAGAAGGAAGTGCCATACGCGTAGCCACAAGAAGCGCCTTCAAGAATTCGGTCTCGAGAAACTGCCAACCGACAGCTCCGAAAACGCCGAGACCAGCTTGGGGAGGTGCGGGACCCGTCTCGGCAGCACTCCAAGACCACAACCAGAAGAGCTCGTCTCTAGCAACAAGCCAATATCTATCATCGTTATTTTGAGACGCACGGCGGGCAACAGCGTTTATAAACTTCACTGCCTCGGATTTTTGCTCCCTCGCATCCCGGAGGAAGACTAGATCACCCGCTCTTCGCACTGAGCAGGAAAGGCCTGCGCTGGATAGGAGAAAAGCACTGCTAGTCAGCGCACTGAGTCGCCGGACGGAGGCCAGATTTGGGTTCGTGATCGGATTGGATTCCTCCAACGAATTATTGCGCATATGTGACACAAACTTGGTGGCAGCTGGGTCCCTGGAGTCAACGTCGGTGAAATCAAGAGCGACAATTGCGGATGTTTCCAGAGGGTTAGGCTCTTTAACACCAAGGATAGATGCTATACGACAGGCAATGTTGTGGACGCCAGATATCGCATCTACGGTTGGTTCATTGATCAGATAGGCGGCGGCTAGTGCAGCGCGCAAATAGCGCCGTTGCAGGTATTGTTGCTGCGTTTCGGACCAACTAGATTCATCGTAATCGCCAAAATCGGAGTCAATAGGCCCTTGCCACTGCCGAATAACTTCAACCGCGAGGCGCCAATTCTTGGATGCTTGTTGGGTGAGCCACTCGAGAACCGCTTCAAGGCTCGGGAAGGGTGGCAAGCCATCTAACTCTGTCCCATCTGGGGGCAACGTCGTCCATTTGGTTGGGTCCTGGAGCCAAGGGCCAACCATACCCCTCATGTCTCTTCCAACAAGATGAAGATTCTCCCGCACTTCGGTCTGAGACAGTAGAAATGACAGCGCAGCATCATCTGGTAACGTCCGAAATTGATCGAGGGTATAAGGAACGCAATCGTGAGGGTAGTATTGAACATTCCTCCGCAAGAGAGGTAGCAGAACTGATACCATCCATGACCGCAGGGAGGGCGTGCTATGAAGGAAAGGAACAAGTAGGGCGGGAAGTTGGTTTAGCAGTCCAGCGACAGCATCAACCCGATGAGCCCTACGGAGGAGAAAGAGTGATAGGGAGTCATCCTTCGCATCTACAGGCGCTTCCGGCCATGCCAAGGGAAGTAAATGGAGCTTCCGGACCTGTTTGGAAGCTTCGTTCTCGGTCAAGGCATCAACAGCGGTCGAATCGATGTCGATAGGATCGTAGCCGGCGAAGTCGCCTGAAGCGAGCTCTTGTAAGAAGGGGACGTAGGTATGAGATGGTATGGTTTCGGGAAAATAAGTGAGGAGGATGCGAAGGACTAGGTCCTTTTGTAAAACATTGCCGTGTCTAGAGACAAGGTAGGAGAGGCTATCGATGTCGGCGCGAGTTGCAAGATGCGCAGCCAGAAGGACAACCTTGGTGGGAGAGAGAGTAGCGGCGGTCATCGTTGGACTCGCGAGAACATGGCGACTTGTTGGCGTTTCTACACTCAGAGTCGAGGTACTATCTAGTGACAGGAATTGGGCGTTTGTGGCGGGGCGCGGGGTTGGTGGCGGTGGTGATGGGAAGATGCTAGTTATCGAAACGAGCTTGCGAGGTCCGCCGTTTCTCGAATCGTCGTCATAGAGATTGACCATTTGATGACAACTGAGCTCGATTTGAAGTATCAATGTATTGATGGTACCATCCTGTCTTGCCCTTATTCAAGTTTATTACCACGTATACCTCTGGTTCTGCGCTTGACTATTCATAAATTTTAGTATCCTCTGTTAGTGTCATGCAAGTCTACGGCTGGCAAGGCAGGCCAGCTGGCGTTCATCACAGGCACTTGGGAAGTGGACCCACTGCGCTGCAGACACCGAATCAATTTGACCTTGAGCCTGGACAATCGGAACCTCATGACTGGCTCCCAAATTGCCGCTTTCTGAACATCGATTCAACAAACATCGAAGAACCCGAAGGGCCATACCAGGACAACGCGAAAAGCCACACAGAACGGCCACGCACGACGCCAATCGGCCCTTGAAACCGACCTAAAAGTCTCTCGTCTTCCAATTGACTCCATTTCCACACATAATGGCGTCCGGCTACGGCTACAGCGGTGGTAAGGATTAAAGGACCAAATCAACCAGTCTTATGAGCGTCGGACTAACAGCGAGATACGAACGACTCTCTCAGGACCCGGCCGCTGCTTCCCCTTCTGGCAGGAAGTCCTCGCATGCTATGTCGTCAACTCCACTCCGGAAGACCGATCCGGCGCCCAGAAGTGCGGCCTAGCTTTGGAAGACTACTACGAATGCCTCCACCACAAGAAAGAGGTAGGGGATGTTGGCGCCTCTTCGGGCGGCTTGGTCCATGTTTCCTATAGTACCGCCAAATTCAGAAGGATACTTACTGACAATTACTTAGGCTGCCCGCGTACGTGCGCTACAAGACGCCTACCGAAAGGCTGAAGCGGCGAGCCCTCGAGACAACGCGCCAACGGCTGGCGAAATACGCAGCCTGGGTCTAATAGGAAGAGATGAAGTGTCGAAAAAGGTGTTGGAGTCATAACCCCGAACCGATGATGGCCGGACATAAACCTGGGAACTATTTCGAAGTATCGGGATAGATAGAAATTGGTTGAGACCAAAGTGCTGAGACTCTGCAATGATGGGTCTGCGTGTACAAGTATATGATGCGTACGGACATACCGGCCGATATACAATATATTGATAAGCCTCGTCCCGAAGGTCGGCATAGAACCCGCCTCTGCCGTGTAATTGATGCGCGTCTTAGCCTGCTCTCATGGTATGGCAATTGCGGTCGGCTTCCAAGACTTGGTGGTGTTGGCCGAGCAATTCCAGCCTCCTTTGTTGCCCAAGTTACCACCTGTCCCCTTTGCTTTATTTTTCTTGTTCCTGTACCCTAATGAATCCTTTTGATTTACGGTACTAGGTTGTCGTGGACTGCTCAGCAAGGACTGCACCTGTGGCTTTCGTCGCCCTTTCCTCTTTCCAGACCCAGCAACTCTTGTGGTTGGACATGCTCTCACGATGGAGGCTCACTTTTTGCTGCACGGTCTCGCTCATTTGCTGCGAAGACGCACCTTGGACTATCTTCTTTGGTCACCTTGCTGAGCAATACCCATACTCACCAAAGATGTTTACTGTTTATACTCCCCATCCCAACTCACTTCGATATCATTGCCCACAAGGGAAGGACTCGAGACTCAACCTCGGCGCCAGCTAGACCCTAGCACATAGGGTCGTCTCGGCACTTTGTGTCTCATCCTTTTACTAAGACTTATCTGGGAAGTCTATGCTGAACCTGATCAAAATGCCTTGCTTCCGTGGACTTGACATTTCCATCGGTACGGATTCAGGGCCTATCCGACTGCCTGAGTTCCCGCATCCAGATTCCTGCTCTGTGACGCTTGTTGATCCCGAGCCATCTGCCTCCGTTCTGGGACCGCCGGACAATTCGACATTGCCACTCCTAAAGGGCATGAACATTTTCAGAAAGAAAAGAGTGGACCCTAGGATTTCCGTCTACGTGCCTTCACTCCCAGGTAAGAGGATCCACCCTCCCTCCATACCACGTTGTTCCACGTTTCTGTTTGCTAAAGGATGGGGAGGCATGCGATTCTGGGTTCAATATTCCGTCCTCCATGTCCCCAGCACTGGTTCTCACCTCTACTTCAAGATGTTTTTGAATGAGAAAAATGTGACCAACTGGGGGATCAACCTGAATCAACGCACTGTAGGTGCTGTTACTAGGGTCCGTTACAAGTCAGATCCGGAATGGTGCTATATAAACGAAGGTGGGCATAGCATCGAGGCCAGAACCCTCCGTTTTCCTCCCGACCAAAGATTCACGTCGGTTGCCCGTGATGAAGATTGCATCGAGATCCAAGTCTTTCGGGCAAGTGGGCGTCGCCGAAAAGTGCCAGAAGTGAACTCGAACTGGCCGGAGGGTCTTTCAGAGAGAGGGTCGGTTTCTCTTGTTTCCCTTTCTTGCTCTCTCTTTTCCCCCTGTGAACCGCTGGTTAGCTAGTTAAAGGCCATTTCGCTGACATGAATCATTTGATTTCTCAGTTTGCTGGCCGACAGGTGTCTTGAAGTTCCAGAGGAGGCGGGTTTGTTTGACTGGAGCCTTCTCGATCGCAAGGACTCGCCATACGCCACCTTTAGGTTCTACTACCAGCCATGGGAAGCCCTCTCGAAACTCGGAATTATCTCACAGCCCAACGGAACGGGTCTTACGGGACGGGCGGAAGTCTTGCCTGGTTCTACACTGGCAAGTGATCCGTCAGATACATCAGTAAGCACCTTTGCACAGGACCCGAAACGGGGCACTAGGTGCGGGCATGGCGATACTTGCGCATCTTGTGGCATCGGCGTTGATTCTGGATGGGACGTAGGCCAGGCCCTGACAACCTCCCGTGCGGTGACAAGGCCCCCGGAACTGCTCGAGAGTAGCCCTGGTTCAGCTCGCAAGCCACAGCCAAGCAAACAAATGCGGGATGGATTTCTCGACGGAAGTAATCGCAGGCCTTTACCTGCGTTGCCGATTCTACGTCACCGAGCCGCCGCCATGTGTGATCGTTCGGAGCACACAAGCCCCTCCTCGTCAGTGGGTGAAGTTCGTGAATCCAACACGACCTACGAGTCACAAACGATAGAGATGGTATCGAACATTCAAAAGGGGAAGCAAACACACCCGTCGTCATCATCTGGCCCTACACGATTCAAGCATTCTGCCTTGGCAAGGACGCAACCCTCGGCCGCGGGCGCTGCTGTATCCTCTTCGGCAGCTCAAGGAAGAGATTACACTCCAGCAAGGGACCGGAAACAGAAGACCATGAGAAGCCTGTTTTTCTCCGCTCAGAGAAAAGGGGAGCCGGAGACAGCTCCCGCGGGAAATACTGCGGGTCAGGGGGCAACTGGATTATCACAGCTTCCTGGGGTGGAAGGCCCTGGAGCTGTCGAATGTGAGCCTGGAGAAAGAGTTGAGCACGGAACGCGAACAAAGCAAATGTGTCTAATTAACGGCAAACCAGAGTTCTCCTCTTTGCCAAGGGGCCTCCTTGGCCCGGATCTGACTCGAATACCTTTGACGGGCCCGAGTGCGGACCTCATGAAGCGGCTCCGCAGTGAAGACCCATTCAGGGGATCATGAGAGCATTGGCTACATATCAAAGAAACGGACTTAAGGCATATACATCGCCCGTCAAAAGTAGACGCCGAGGGTAAGACTACGTGGCACACAAGCAAGAGACTGAGTGGATTTGAACTCGAGATCAAAAATCGAATCGGGAAGGGGTGCCCAGACATAGAATGCTTTCAAAATGAAAAGATTATTTGTTTACCACCGAGGAAATAAAGCTTGAAATATTAGACCATGGGCGATTCAAATTTATGCCCTATGAACACTGCCATCATCCACCACCGCCACTAAGACGGTCAACTAGTATGTAGGTAACGTAGTTACGTATACCTCGCTGGGAGTAGGACTACCACTCATCCACTGGCGACAATCGCTTTGGCTTTAGATTGTTCAATTGGTTCTGGTCCAGAATCGGGCGGGGTGGCAGGAGAGCAAAGTCGGCCCATTCCCCACAAGGCTACGAAGGAGATATAACATACTGAATGAGCAGCATGGAACGATGAGGTTGGCGTAGAGAAAGAGAAGCGAAGGTTAGGTTACGTGCCCAGAGAGAGGGTCGATGTCATAAATTGGCAGCAGCAGTGCCTGCGCGTTGGCGGACGAGTCATTATCAGCAGAGTCAAGAGGCGTTCCTCTCTCAGACCGGCCGCAATGAAAAGATGAACGATACGTGAACAAGATGGTGATGGAGGCAATTGGTACGACTGAGCCAACTTGCCATGTTTGCACTTGTAGTGCGTAGATCTGCCGTCAATGATTCGCAAAGCAGGGGTAGGGTTGAATGATGCTGGCATGAGCAACTCTGAATAACACCAGAGACACACGCAACCTGTGAATATATACTAGCCTAGACAATCGTCAGCAGGGGTGGCTTTGCAAAGACATTCCGTTACCTCCAATCGATTCGATTCAGTAGGACTTCAGAAAGCACAGGACTTGTCAACGGTAGCATAGCAGGGCTCGCGAAAAAAAAAGAGCTCCCCGGTCCCCGGGTGGGAACTGAGCAGATGACGCAGCGTTATGCGATGTGGTCCGTTCAGTTTGGTTTTGATATCTGAATGGGCGGTACGATTACGACGAGGTGACCAAGTGTGTCGAGAAGAGTTTTCAATTAGAGTGGGACGAAGTAATCATCGCTGTCCATAATCAAGGTGAATCTGTACGGGCGTAGGCGCGTCGAAGCAAAGTGGACAGAGAGGCCGTGCCTGCAGACGAGTCGAGAAAACGGAAGCACTGCATTAACTGGATCAAAAAGCCGGATTGTAGCGAAAACTGTCGACCATAAACGTGCCGGACACATGAGGTCCACCGACGTGGGTCATGACTGTCAGCCCATGAAGGCGCCGGTGTACTGGCGTACGGTTGATATGTCTGCGAAAAGCTACGAACAAGGCGCGGCGTCTCGGTAATGGAAGACCGTCAACATCTAGGTCCTCAAAATCCACATGTCGCCCATCCGAGTCTGTTCTATGCTGCCGTGCGGTTGACAAGACGAAATAAAATACTCCTGGACGAGAGCGTCGAGATTCCCTTTGTTTTTTGTGACCAGTTTACCATCCCTAACAGTCGCATTTAACTCCAAGTCGAACGTCCGTCGTGCTGCGTTGGAAATAGAGGAGGATCAAAGAAATGTGAAAGAAAGGAACAAAAAGAAAAAATGAGAATAAACCGCAAACGAAACCCAGTAACCATCGAGCATACTGAATGAACGGTTGATCAAGCGAAAGACGCTCAGGAGCCTGCGTAATTAAATTGCGGCTCGGCATGGTTCAGCCGGGCCGCGGTCTCACGACACTTTGCTCTCTGCATTAGCGGTGTCGACAGGATGCAACAGGAGTGGCTCGAAAAACAAACCTTATTTCGGGATGATGGGTTGAACATCCTAGAAGTTCTCTCTTCCATCTCCACGAGGGGCGGAGTCCCCGTAGCCAGCTGCACCAGAGGGAGCGTCTCGAGGACGGGCGCCCTCGCGTTCACTCGGGCGGTCATATCGTTCCCGGTCGTAGCCACCAGCTGCACGGCGGTCGTCCCCACCACCACCTCGGGGACCGTACCTGTCCCGGTCATCACGACCTCCATATCGGTCGACGCGGCCATAGCCGTCATCTCGCTCGCGGCGATCATAGGTGCGCTCATCACGGTATCCACGCTCTTGTGCCCTGTCATGACCACGCTCATGGCCGCGGTCGTATCCACCGCGATCCTCGCGATATCCACGGTCATAGCCACGATCATCCTGTCGCCTGTCGTAGCCACGGTATCGGTATGGGTCATCTCGCCCATACGATCCATATCCACCTCGGCGACGATCATCGTATCGATCATGGAATCGACCTCCACGGGGATCTAAAGTGGGTTGTTAGAAACCACAGCCAAAGCCAGACGGATAGGGGAATATGATTTAGGGGGGAGCAAGGCGCGTCGACACATGGAAGACGGGAGAGAATGTACGTACCTCTCTTGGGTGGGCCAAAATATTTGCCAGGCGTAGGGGTCCTGGGCCGGGCGCGGCGTGCTTTCTCGATGCTCAGGTTGCGACCCTCAAAGGGCTCACCCTGAAGGCCCTCCTTCGCAGCGTCGGCCTGCTCGCTTGTTGCCATCTTGACAAATCCGAAGCCGCGGGATTCCTTGGTGTGAGGGTCTCGCATGATTTGACACTTCTCTACTTCACCATACTTCTCGAAGAGGCGAGTGACTTCGAGCTCCGTCAGCTTTGGATGGATGCCAGTGACAAAGAGATTCGATCCCGGGTTGACAGCGCCATCATCTGCATCCTTGGGACCCCTTTCTTCCTTTGAAGCCCTGCGCGAGATGTTAATCATTGTCCAGCGAGTTCCAAGAGAAGGAGGTTTGACGAACGAGTCATTATTGGCAGCGGGCGAGGCCGAACGGCGGTTACCGCCATCGTTATCGTCGCGCCTCGGTGAAGGGCTTCGACGGTCTAATTCGTAGCGAGGCGCTTCCTCTGCAATAGGAAAAAGAATTAGTCCACCACGTGTGCACAGCCACTAGAACGGACCAGAGGGTGAGTTAGCCTACCATCATAGCCTCCGTTGGCCTCATAATCCATAGCAGTTGTCGCCATTGTGTAGTGTTGAAGCTGTGGACCTAGACTGAAACAAAGGGGTAGTTGTCGGATGATGCGATGAATGGAGTCCTAATGTTGTAATCTGAAGATATTGATGTGATGGAATAGAACAGGTTTGAAAAAAAGGGCGAATTACAAAACCCAGGTTGGGGTGTTAGAAGTTAAGGGACGACACTGAATTGCTCCAGTGAACAAAGAGAAGAAATGAAAGGGGAAGAAATGGTAGATGGTGATACAAAGGGAAGCTGGTTGTAAAAATCTGAGGGTAAAGGTCAAGACTGAGTGCTCACTGCTCTGAGGACCCGTGACGCGATGGAGGGAGAGGGTAAGGGGAAAAATGATCCTTCAGGGATATTTTGCGAAGGAGTCAGGCTTAACACTATTTCTCAGGTGGTGCACCTTCCCCAGTCTCTTTCCTGCAGGAATCATCAGCTGTAAGCCTAGGTTTCGGACTAATGTCGGTTAATACTTCTGGGACAGGGCGATGAGGAAGTTGTACCATTACTTTCAAAGTATTAGCTGGAGGAATTGCTGAACGAACTTGTCAAAATTATAATTTTGAGTGACAAGTACTTGGAGATAACTAACTACATAAGCTCATGAATTCATCAACCAAAGAATAAGAAAGGCAGAGGAGACAACTAAGTCTCTTAAGTGAAGTATGAATTTATCATGAGGAACAAAGGCACACCATAGGTTACCATACATCCTCAGGGTTCACGAAGTGAGTCTCTCCATCATCCCTCACATGCTGCCTATTCCTATCTCGCTTCATTGCCTTCCTCATATCATAGGCATCCTCACTAGAGGCAGCCGGGTCTGAAGCATGATCCCCATAATAGTCCTTCACAACCCTATAAACACTGTATCCCATTCCCTTATAAAATGAGATAGCCTTGTGATTGCTCTTGCGAACAAAGAGATCGACAAACCAGGCATCATTGGCATCGGCGACAGCTTCGAGTTGCTCTGTCAGTATCTTGCCTATCCCTTGTCGCCGCGCTTCCGGGGCAACTGTAAGCGCAGTGATGTGTGCATGCCACGGGAGATAGTGTTCATGGGACTTGTAATAATCAGGAGACGATTCGAGTTTGCCCATGACTGGTCTTTAGAGTTAGTTCAATCTACTCTGCCGGGCTGGGGAGTGGTTGAGGTGCATGTCGGAAAACTAACTGTACCCGATAATATTCCCATCAGCGTCCTCACAGACTTGGAAGAGAGAAGGCCATTTTGCGTGATACTGAAGGTAGAACCCAAGTTCATACGTTTCAGTAAGCGGGTCTAAATTACATTTTGATAGATTATTGACATCCTCGAGGCGAAATCGGCGAAAGGTTGCCATAGCTTTCGTCGATATGGGGAGATTGGACGGAAAGGGACAAGAACGAGACGGGATAATGAGAAAATAAAGAGAGAGGGGGGTCGCTCAATGATTGTGTACTTCGTAATGAGGGAAATCGCTCGAGAAGATGCGCAAATTTGTATGAAGCTGGCTGGAATTTGCGTGAAGAACAAGCCTCTGTAACAAAGTTGAGCAGGGTCTGGTTTCGACCAGGACTCAGCGTGGGTCGCAAGGAACAGGTCTTGCTTATTTGATGGATCAAATCTATTGATGTATTTGAGCACGACTAGTAACAGTGGATAATGATAACAGGACTAGGAGGTAGCCTGATCAGTGATATTGTCCACGATAGAGTCTGGGACTCTTGTAACCAGCATCAACGTGAGATCGGAGTGCACCTCCAACCAGTGCAGCAATGCTTTGGATTAATCGCCGGAAATGGTGTGCTATGTTCGCTATCAGGTGTGCGTGAATCAATTGACCCGATCTTGATAATTCCAGGGCAATTGACATCAAGAATGTCGATGATTCAGGAATTCTCAAGAGCCATTGTTGGTACTTCTTAGTGAAAATGCAGCCGCCTGGTTGCGGCAAGTTGCGACGCTGAGACTGTCAAATGCGCAACGGGTCCCCAGCATTAATCAAATCAGTCAGGTTGCTGGCTTGATCAATCGGCCCTGGACAACTTGACTTTGTCGCCTGAAGGACATTGATTTGGCGGTGGTGCGGTCAAAGGTAATAATAGCATTGAATTTATTGTTGCTCTTTGGTTTGCCCCTTCTTATGAAGTAGTCATCAAAGTTACATCATTTAATCAATCCCAAGGCAGGACTAGGTCGTTTCAACCACTCCTTGAGGTTTCTCCTCCCACTCTCGACGCCTATCGCGATTCATTTGTTACCTCCTCCGCCGCTCCCTTATCGTACGACGAAATATACGACAGACTAGGTCTATTCGAGGAAAAGGGGAAGAAAAAAGAAAAAAGAAAAAAGAAAAAAAGAATCTGCAGTTGCTCTTGCATCGCCGCCATCACGACTGTCTTGCCAGGGACCCGCTGCAGCGGAGCGCCTTGGATTACTTTTGACAATGGATCGTTTCCCCCAAACACCACGTCATTCGCGAAACACATCGCTCATCGAAATGAGTCCGAGGGACTCTCCAAGCGATCGACGTCAGTCACGATCTTCGATCGAGCCATCTACGCCCCTAAGAAGTAGCTTCAACCAACCAGACTCCCTCGACATTGGCGTGTTTGCTAGCGGAGGTGTCGGTGGTGAGTCGGGCTTGGGCAACCTCGCGGACGAGCTGGCCGATGCATTTTCGGATTCGGGGGACGAGGGCGACTACTACGATGACGGGGAGGCCGGCATAACATTCTCTGTCCACGAGCACGAGGAGGATGTACACCCAGAGGATATCCGAGACAGCGGAGTCGATGTGGTTGACTCTATGCCAGACAAAGCGAGTATGAACTTGGGGCTCCCCTTGCCGTATCGGAGGGGACACCGCCGGGCAGGAAGCGAGTACGATGGGAGTGAATATGGATCCGAGTCGGACCTTGACTCACCGGGGATGCCAACGAGCCTAGTGTCTAAAATCAGCGCCGTGGAAGCTCTTGCCCGCAGAGGTACGGAGACAACGGGCGGCCCCTCTGATGGTGTATTCCAGCGTGTCACCGATGGGCTGAGGGACCTCGGCCCTCAGACGGGCGTGGAGAGTAGCGCAACGAGGTTCGTACTTGATTCCTGACGCCGTCTTGTAACAGTTGCATAGCTAACATCGTGATGCCCCAGGTTGATCACCGCCCATTCCGCTCTTACTACTCACCTTACGCATCAAACGCGGCAACTTCAAACCCTAGCCTTTCCGCTACTTTCGCCCTTCGTCGCCCCGCCAGACCCGGAAACAATCGACTCTCTCTTGCCCTTACTTATATCCCTATCTGAGGACATGCCCCGGCCCTCGACTGCCGCATTCAATTCGCTGACCGCGCTTCATTCATTGACCTCGGACCTGATAAATACACTAAATTACCTATCCGACACCTTGCATATGTCCCGTCAAACAACAACTACCGCCACGCGTCGACTAAAAAGCGCGAAGGAGTTGGTCGCTGAGATGCGACGAGAGGATGAGCTTCGCGAAGAGGGAGAGCAGTGGATCCAGCGAGGGAATTGGAGTCAACGCCTAGAGAACAGGGAATGCGCGACCGTCTGCGGTGAGGTCGTGGGTGGGTTCGAGGAGGTTTGTAACGGCTGGCGAGCGAGGCTGCTGGCACAAGCGGAATCTGCTCAGGCTTAACCCCGCTGACTGGCGCTTTCTAAAACTTTCTTTCTAGAGAGGGGACCCTGACCCTTATCTTCAATTCATACCAGAGAACAGGACTGTAGGAGCCAAGATTTGAACTTGGTAATTGGGCGTTATTTTGCATGGATACGGGGCGCAATGATAGGGATGTCGGTTGATTGCAATCTAGAAGAATCTTTTCTTTCCCTTCATTGTTCCAACTAGGGCGCTTAATCATCTTGCATCATCAGCGAGTATGGTTCTATAGTGTTGTTTCTTCCTCTTCCTGTCTCTTCTTTTCTTTTTCTTTTTGGTACCCTTCACCTTGCAGACTGAATAGATTACACTGTGGCTGCATCCAAAGTAAACTTCGAGGTACATGCATCAATGCTCGAAATCATGGTCTTGCCTGCTCTATTTACCTGTGTATATCAAGAGGAATATATGTTCCCTTGAAGTATAAATTACTTCGGATGAAATGTGAAGTATGCAACTACATAGGTATAGCAGGAGCAAAACAATGCACCTTAACAGTTGAAATGTTGACATCAGTGCAACTGGTGGGAAGCCCTCTTCCCCACCCCTCTGCATCAATAATAGCCAGTACGAAGTACTTAGAATTTGCACTCTAAATCAAGTAAACTAATGTTCAGGTTGAAGCAGGTCGGGCAAGATCAAAGAGATCAGGCGAGTTGTGGAGGTGACAGACGCCCCATCACGCTCTTCAGTGTTAGTTCAGTGTTGTTTTTATGTTTTGATGGTGAGACGTGGCTAGCGCCTATTTCAGAGGTCGCGTTCCTGGGCTCGTGTGTCGCGTCGCTCCTTCCGTGTCAGATGGACATGAACTCCGAGCCAACCATGCGGAGAACTGAGTTTGGGGGGCTGGTGGGGAAGCTCATGTTGGAACATTACTGGCCTGGCCACTGACGGCAAAAGCATTTGACTTGTTCTCATTCAAACTCAAGTTGATTTCAATGTTGGCAATCAATAACAATTTGAATTAAAGGATGGCCATGAATGGAAGATATCGAGACGAGTACGAAGTACAAAAACTAAGAATTGCGGGTGCTTGGTCGAGGGTATTTCGTAGTTTAGGGAGCGAAAGGGGGCAAATCCTGGCATACGATTCTTTCTCGTCAGTGAGCTAAACGAAATGTCGAGAAGCAGTGGGACTAAGAAACGTGTCTGCTGGTTTGGCGTGCGACTGGGATTCGTTCGGCCCAGTCATCGCGTCCATGCCTGAAAAACAAAGCGGCGGGAGCAGGGACACAACAAACCGGATTGATAGGTGGTGACTGAACAGAAAGTGCTGGCGCTGATACCAATCCGGCATTTTTTTGAGCCTACTTGGCGCGTACCCAGGCATGTATGGCTGGGTCTTGCAAACAACAGCGCTAACAATTATAAACAATGGGCAAGAAGAGGCGTCGTCACGTACTAAAATCATAATACCGCGTGTCTAAACCTGAGGCGTGCGTCTTCTCATTGTGCGGCAACGGTCACGTCTCCAGGAGTACACACTAAACCTTGCAAAGTACACGGGCTGCCAAGCAATCCGTGAATGAGTTCCTCGCCCGACAATTGAAGCTAACGAGCAAACTTGACCTAAGGTCTAAAGTACCAGGAGCTTAGTCAGAGGCGGGCTGTTGTCCCGGCCAGCAACTGACTGCTCCATCCCCCAATCGCATTGCTCCCCCGAACCTCACTCCAACTTATCGACATCCTCACATCGACGCCTTCTCCCACCTCCCACTCTACCTCCAGCCCCGTACCGGCGTCATTGACGACGTAACATGTCCCGGAAAATTACGCTGTTTTCCAAATTATCTTGACCTTGTCCAGCGACGCAAACCTACCGCGAAATCCTGCAATACGAAATCGACGCCGCCCATCGTCCTCCCAGCCCCTTTACCGAAAGCCTGACAAGTAAATTATGTACTAGCGTCGGCGTCCTAGTCAGAAATCGCGGGCCCGAGGCGAACCAAGTTGGCCTCTGAATCGTGCGAATTGCTCCTCCCGGGTTCTGACTTGGATCGCCAGAGGACTCTCAAGCTTGCCTTCAACTCGACCCAAATCTCCGTCAAACTCCTAACCGAACCGAGACATCGACACGACATTGACCTGCCTCTTTTGTTCAGTATTCTCTCTTTATCATATCTAGAAATGACTTTGCAACCCGGATCCTCAGCGAGTGCACTACCAGGCACCAAACGCCCGGTTGATGTCCGGACACCATCCGCAACACCCTCCCGGGGTCCAAGCCCTCCACCCCAAACAGATCGCGGTCGCTTAGAGGCGAGGCATAGCCTCGATAATTCCAATCAGAGGAAACAGCGACAAAGGAGGAGCGACTCTACTCGGTCAATACAGTTTGATACCGATGCTGTCGATAACGCCTTGTTAAGAGAGATCCATCGCCAGCAAAGAGAAAGCACGCCGGGGGTCAGCCCCCACCGCAAACGGCAGAGGCTGAACGGTGACAGGTGTGTCCATTTTGAAAATTATCTATCCCTCCCCAATACGTCTATTGCTGACCAGTATGGGACGCCCCAGATTTATACCCACGAGATCCGGCCAAGACTTGCAAGCCAGTTTCAGTCTCCTCCACGAGGACGGGTCTCCAGCCACTCCCCCGAGGCAAAAGAAGCGCACACCGCATGGAGAGCTCCATTTTCAGAAGAGTAAGCCCGGGCCGCTATCTTATCCCTTCGTTCCTGCGGACTGACTTTCTGTAGCTGAGGAAGCGAATCGAACATTCTCTAAACTGCTCCGCGCCGAACTGTTCGAAGGAACTATACCCCAGGAAAATCCTCAGGCGATATCTCCCGATCATGTATCTAATGGGCCGAGCAACACCCATGATCCGGCAAGATCACACACTCCACCTAATAACCCCTCCGCTTCTTCTCTTCCTTCTTCTCTCACCCCCTCAACCCCCCACAAAAACCTCTTCTCATACATGTCCCCACGCCATCACGGGAACCTTGGGGGACACCCGACGCCCTCCAAGACGCCGCAAAGCCGCCATGGCCCAAATCTAGACACCCGTTCCGAGTTGTACAGCCTGTCCCCGGTTCGGTTCGGTAGCCAACAAATGCTTCTCAGTCCCCGGAAGCAACCGAGGGCCGTGAGCAAAGTTCCTTACAAAGTTCTGGACGCCCCGGAGCTTGCAGATGATTTTTATCTCAACCTAGTGGACTGGGGAAGCGCTAATGTTCTAGGGGTCGGGCTTGGATCCAGCGTTTATATGTGGAACGCGCAAACCAGTCGCGTTAATAAGCTGTGCACACTCGAGGATGATACTGTGACTAGCGTCTCGTGGATACAAAAAGGAACGCATATAGCCATTGGCACTGGGAAAGGCCTGGTGCAGATTTGGGACGCCGAAAAGACGAGACGACTCCGGACGATGACTGGCCATACGGCGCGGGTAGGATCACTCGCCTGGAACACGCACATCCTCACCTCGGGCTCCCGTGACCGTCTCATTTACCACCGCGACGTCCGCGCTCCAGATCAGTGGCTTAAAAAGTTGGTTGGTCACAAACAGGAAGTGTGTGGGCTCAAGTGGAACTGTGAAGACGGCCAACTTGCTAGTGGCGGTAACGACAACAAGCTCATGGTGTGGGATAAACTATCCGAGACCCCCCTTTGGAAGTTCTCGGACCACACGGCGGCCGTTAAAGCGATCGCTTGGTCGCCCCATCAACGTGGTCTCCTTGCCTCTGGCGGTGGAACAGCGGATAGGAGGATAATATTTCACGACACGGTTCGAGGGAGTGTCATCAACGAGGTAGATACCGGGAGCCAGGTGTGCAATATCGCTTGGTCTAAAAATTCGAACGAGATCGTGTCGACGCACGGATACAGCCAAAACCAGATCGTCGTCTGGAAATATCCTTCAATGACCCAGGTTGCCAGTCTTACTGGTCACACATACCGTGTCCTGTACCTGGCAATGAGTCCCGATGGGAGAGTCGTTGTTACGGGGGCTGGTGACGAAACCCTAAGGTTCTGGTCCATATTTGGACGTCGACCCGGCGCAAGGGACGACGCCGATCATGGAAGTGGCCGACTCGCCGACTGGGGCGTGATCCGGTAACCGTTTTCCCTGATCTAGCTCGCGGCAGGCGTCTTAAAGCAGTTTTGCTTCGAGATCTCCATATACATACCCCTCTACATGCCTTTGCATATCGCACCTCGGAGCGTTTCACACGGATCCAACACACTATATCGTCTCCCAGAATTTATTCCGTGGGTGAATGAATTCACACGACTCTTCCTGCACTTACGATCTGATCTCTCTCTTGCTTCAAGGATACCCTTGACTGTGCATATATTTGGCTGGCGTGTTAGGGGTCAATTTCGGAACTTGCATTTTTGGTTTTGGGGGAGGTGGCTTTGCTTTTTGAGTTATTTTTCGCCCTTAGCACGGATATCCGCGGAGACGGTCAATGATTCCCTGTTTTGGTCGGATTGGATTTGGAGTCGGAAGGTATTTGGCGAGCGTTTCTAGCATCGTACTTGCATGTCCTTTCACACTGCTGGAGAGGGCCTGCGCAAAAACAGACATGATTCATACCCGTAGATGTATCTCCAATGCTGTCAGTACGAAGTAGGCGTGAAGTATCCCATCCCCAAGTTAATGCCGACTATATACTTTCTTTGGGATATGCAAAGTGGTTGTGACCTACTCCATGTTGATATATGGTGCGATGCAGTTATCCATTCTCTAGATATACACACCTTGGGGAGGCGGCGGAAATTCTCAAGTTCGCTCAAGAAAGCGCTTCAACACGACGAGGCTTCAGTACCGATCATAGTTACGCTACAGGTGTACACACACGGCAGAAAAGGTTCTCATAGAGTCTGATATGCTTCAATGAAGAATTGATTGCAGCCGTAAACTCTAACGCCTTTCCCGGGTATCAGCCCATAAAATCAAGTTACCTACTTATTGCACCCAAAGAGGCTCCCTTCCATACATCATATGAATTGAAAACGAGGGGCGTTCCAGAACAAACAGTCTCGCGTTGGGGGGGAGGAAATGTGAAGGAAACGAAATGACCACACATGTGCAGAAGGTCGCAAACTTGCTTTACCATTTAAATTTATCCAAAAAATTACCAACCGTGACAGCCTAGTTGGCTACCGCTTGAGATTTATGTGCCTTTCTCTCCCTCGTCTCTACGTCCACAGCGGGGCCTTCGGTGCCTGTCGTAGAGGCCTGGGGTAGAGATGCTCCATCGGTTAAAGAAGGCAAGGTTTCGATGGTCTCGTCAGGATCGCCCTGTTGAGGACGAGTAACCTCAAGATCATTGTCCGGGAGGAAGGGAGAGGGAGATCCATTTACAGGCTCCAAGGTAGGACTGGCTGCATCCAGCGGAAGAACAGGGTCAAGACTAGGAGCCAGTGATGGCGACGTGGCCAGTCCGTCGTTGCCGTTTTGCCACTTGCTGACCTCGGCCTTCATAGCTTCCAACTCTTTCTGAAACCGCTTTCCAAAAACGTCAATATAGTAAGTCGAGCCATTGTAAACACTCCACCCAAAAACGATTACAAGAAAAGCCGCTGAGGCATACTTGTAGTGGAACCATATTGGGCATGGAAGCATAGTGAGAACGGCATAACAGTACTGAATCAACATGAAAGCAGCCTCCTGTAGCTCTTCGGGTAGGGAAAGCACAATCCTCCCGATCCAGACCTTGGAGTAGGAGCGTCGCAACCAGGTGAATGAAGTGGGACGACCAGCAGCGATCTTTTCTCTGCGCCGAACTGTAATGAAGAAATAATACGACAGCTGCCACATGGCATAGGGAATAGAGCTCCAGGCGAGCATAGAAACGATGTTCCCATATGCGGCATGCGAGCCCACTTCCGCGTTTTTAATGGCGAAGATGGCAGGGAAGCGTATTTCCTGTTGCTCGGGCGGGTAGAGATGGACAATACAGTGAAGGGTCGCGCAGGGCATGACATGAATAAACAACGACGTGACCTTGTCGAAGCTGTGGAAGACGAGAGAATTGCGCCACATGATTATAGCAACCGCGTTATTACCAAAGGCGAGGCAGTAAACGGCTGTGAATAGTCTCTTGGAGCCAGGGAACACCCAGAGGCTAAGCATTAAGAGGAGGTTGACGAAATAGCAGAGGTCGGCTAGGAAGTAGTGGTAGCCTCGTCGCTTGTAGGTGAAGATCCGAATTGGCATGAAGTAGAGAAGTTGTGCTGTGTACCAAAGATGGAAGTACTCGGGATAGCCGCCGACTAGGAACCCACTAATAAAAATGTTCATCACACCGCAAATGAAAGAGATCTTCTCCCGGAGGGTGATAACCTTCGTGTCGTTCCAGCGCAGAGTAAGTTTATCGACGCTCTGTCGCATGCTTCTCCGGTATCTCTCTAGCTGCACTTCCGCCGGCGGAACACGACGCCTCCATTCTTCAACCATACGATCGCGTGCGACCTGGCCCCGAGATTTGAAGGCATCCCTCGACCGGCGAACCTTTTCCGTCTGGGCCGAAATACCTCTCTGGAGTTTCTCCAGCTGCAACGGCAGGGCGAAATTGTCGAGGAGATCGAGTACAGTGAGTCGATCAAGGGGTGGGAAGGGATCCAAGTCATCCTGGTATGAGCTGCTGCCTGAGAATGAGGGATTCCGAGAAAGCGCGGAGCCCTTTGACGTCGTCGAGCCGGGAATGTGTGGATCTTCAGGGGAGGAGCCGTTCTGACGCGAGTCTAGGAGCTCTCCTTCGCCCATAGTTTGAGGCGCGGGCCCGTCACGGTCGTGCCCAGGACCGGTCTCTGAGGGCTTCATGGTCAAAATATTATTTTCGAGTAGGGGCGTTTGCCAAGTCCGCGCTGGAAGAGAAGCTTTCCAGCCGCGATGCTGTACAGCGACAAGGTCCGAAGACGGATAGACTGTGAGATTTCGGGTCGAATGGGGAGGACGGGTGAGAAAGAGGGAAGAGCGCTTCGATCTCGCCTTCGTGAACGATGGGTCTGTTGGTCAGGGGTGGGCTCGCTTTATGACTTAGAAAACCACCTTCGGCCCTGGTTCGGGCCAGCCGGTGGACTTAGGAAGCTTGAGGAAGGAATAAGTGAACCTAAAATTGAGGGGGAAACGGTTAACGACCAATACTTGATGCGATTGGGGAGGAGGAGTGACGAACAGATAAATACATGACGGGAGACAGTAGGGGGAACTTGGAAGGAAACTTCCATGTTGTTCAGAGACAAAGACACAGCACAATGCAGCGGTCAAGGGTGTGTGTAAATGTCACTTGATTGATGTACGTCGTACATTGTCACAAGCCAAAGCTCAGAGCACGGAGCTGAGACTAGTTTTAGATACGATACGTCAACTACCTGTGTACAAGTATGTCGAATCGAAGCTACCTCCCTTGACCGAGAGCGAGCAGGTGGGCATCCTTTGAGCGATGGTTGGTCTGCTCCTGGTCCTGTCAAGAACCTCGTGACGTGCTGTTGTGGCAGCCTGAACATTTGAAGCTGTCGAATTAATGATCTACTTGTTTATTCTATTTGATATTTTCAAGCGCAATCCAAGGCAGTGAAGCGAATAAAGTGCACAGGCTGAAGAAAGTCGAAGTCAGTACAATTTGTACTTCAGTCATCAGTTGTTTCCTACCTGGCGGTGACTTCCCTGCCTTTGTACGAAGTACATAATTGCTGGAGAAGAGAGACAGGATGACGCACCTGCCGGCGGTTAGCCAGCAGCCGCACTCAGCTCAACAACGCATTTTCTGACAGCCGTCAACAGCCGTCATATACGACCTCGTTTTCCAAACAGAATTAACGCGAAGCCACCCAAGTTTCTAACTTTAAATCACGAGCGCGTATCATCAATCTTCCTCAATCCTTATTGTGTGCGCGATACCATAAGACCGTGACCCACCATCAACCTGGTGCTTAAGATGCAACGCGTCAACTCCATTTCTTTTCGCAACGCGCAACAATCCAGATATACCCGACGATCATAGATTCGTGTTGCGTCCTCTCGTCATCGGCACTAAGCTTTGCCTCATCGCATCGCGCACTGGGGCGCACGCCGACTTGTCGCCCCTCATCCCAATTCGCCATTATCTTTTTCCTCTCTTTTCTCCGCACTCGGCTCAATAGCAAACATGGGGAAACTTATTCGCCTCGAGCTCTTCAGTAAGTCTTCTGTCCTGCAGGTGATGGCTCTGTGCACTCGAGAACGTCGCTTCTTCTAACGCGGGCCATAGACTTCAAGTCCTACAAAGGACACCATACGTTACTATTCGGTGACTCGTATTTCACATCGATCATTGGACCCAATGGTTCTGGGAAATCCAATTCGTATGTATTACAGTTTTGCCTCCATTTGGGTGATGACGCGGTGTTGATGCTGACTTGGCTAGCATGGATGCAATCTCTTTTGTACTCGGCATTAAGTCTTCACACCTTCGATCCGCGCATCTGAAGGACTTGATTTATCGCGGCCGAGTGCTGAAGACATCGAAAATAAACGACGATGGCTCGGCCGATGCTCCAAATGGTAACGGCCATGTGAACGGTCACGGTGACAACGAAGACGGCGATTCTCGACGAGCTTCTCGAAATGATCCGAAGACTGCATGGGTCATGGCCGTTTACGAAGACGACGCGGGCGATGAGCAGAAGTGGAAGCGATCTATCACCTCTCAAGGATCTAGTGAATATCGCATCAACGATCGGGTTGTTACTGCCCAGCAATACAACGATGCGCTCGAGGCTGAGAATATTCTGATCAAAGCGCGCAACTTCCTTGTATTCCAGGGAGATGTAGAGGCCATCGCCGCTCAGTCACCACAGGATCTCACTCGCCTCATTGAACAGATTTCGGGCAGCCTTGAATATAAGGCTGAATATGAAAGGTTGGAGAGGGAATCAGAAGCTGCCGCTGAGAATTCAGCCTTTCACCTTCATCGCCGCCGCGGCATAAACTCGGAGATCAAGCAGTACCAAGAGCAAAAAAGGGAGGCCGAGAATTTCCAAAAGAAAACCGACGAGCGCGATGCGGCCATCGTCACCAAGACTCTCTGGAAGCTGTATCATTTCCAACGCAATATGGATGACTCCAGCTCCTTAATTCACGAGCATCAAGAAAACCTCAAGGAGTTTCGCCGCAATGTCGAGGTGTTCGAGAAGAAGTTAGAAACCGCGCGCAAAGAGCAGGCTGTCCTGGCACGAGAGGTATCCAAGGTTGAACGAAATATCAAGACCAAGGAGCGGGACATAGAGGATACCCGCAACGGCCTCGTTCCCATTAATGAAAAGATTGAGCAAAGCATGCGAGAGTCGAGCCAGCTGCGTGAGAGGATTGATACCTTGACGAAGGAGGAAAATGAGCAGGCTGAGCTGATCAAGAAGGTCAAGAGTGACTTAGTGAAGGTGGAAAAGGCCCAGGAGCATGATGAAAAGGAATATAGGGACCGGATGAAGAAGCAGGGCAAGGAGCTGAACGATGCAGACCGAAAGCAGTACAATTTGCTTCGAGCCCAAGTGATGGCCAAAACATCTGCGAATCAGACGAACCTGGATAATCTGCTGCGCCAGCAAAAATCGGACGAGGTCACGGTGAACACTTTCAAGGGCCGCTTGGACAGAGTTACGGCTACCCTCGAGAAGTTTGAACAAGAGCTCCAGGCTACCACAAGCCGCAAATCAGCCGCACAGGCGTCCGCTCAGCAGCTTGCCAAGGAGATAGAGGCCAAGAAGAAAGAGTTCAACCAGATCCAATCCGAGCGGGTACGAACGAATCAGAGACGCACCGAATTGGAAGAGCGCTTGGAGGACGTCGCAAGGAAACTGCGCGAGGCGGATGACGGCAGACGTCAAAACGACCGTGAAACCAGGCTGCGCGACATGGTTACGTCCCTGAAAAGAATCTATCCCGGAGTCAAAGGCCGCGTTGGCGACCTCTGTAAGCCGAAACAAAAAAGATTCGACGAGGCTGTTATCGTAGCACTCGGTCGCGACTTCGATTCAGTCATTGTGGATACGGAGAAGACGGGTGTCGCCTGTGTTCAGTATCTCAAGGACCAAAGGTTTCCGCCCATGACCTTCATTCCTCTGGACAACATTAAAGTCAGCGCTGTAAATACAGCCATCAAGGGCATCTCCGGGGCCAGGCTGACGATTGATACAATCGATTTTGACCCTCACCTCGAACGCGCAATGTCGTACGCCTGTGGAAGCTCTGTGGTTTGCGACAGTCTAGATATCGCGAAACGGATATGCTACGAGAGGAGGATACCAGTCAAGGCGGTCACCTTGGAAGGATTCGTTATACACAAGGCAGGCCTGATGACTGGTGGTCGTGGACCCGAGCATAAGGGCGGCAAGCGGAGGTTTGAGGAACATGATGTCCAACATCTGCAACGTCTCGCCGCACAATGCAAGGATGACCTCGAAAAGCTTCCCAAGGCAGACCGGCGCGGTAATACGGAGGAATCTCTGCAGATCGAACTCTCGGGCCTCGAGCAGAGGCTTGCCTACGCTAAGAGCGAACTCGCCGCCCTCGACAAGAATCTGGAGAGCACCAAGAAGTTGAGAGACAATGAAAGCAAGAAGCGTCGAGAAATCGAGCCCGAATTTACCCAGAAGCGCGAGGCGTTAGAGCGTATCGTTCAAACTGTGAACGAGTTCCAGGAGGCAATCTCGCAAGTGGAGGATAAGATCTTCGGCCCTTTTTGCAAGAAATTGGGGTATAGCAATATTCGAGAATACGAGGCCCAGCAAGGCAGCATGGAGCAAGAAATGGCCGAACAACGCAACGTCTACGAGGTTCAGAAACAAAGGCTGAAGAGTCGTCTGTCCTGGGAAGAATCGCGCTACAGCGAGTCTCAAGCTCGGATCGAACGGATGCAAGACCAGCTCCGCCGACTGCAAAAAGACGTTGGATCGTACAGGCAAGAGAAGAAGAGGATAGAGCGAGAGCTAAGCAGCGAGGAAGATGAACTCGCTGCGCTCCACGATGTATTGGAGGAACACAAGGTCAAACATGCCGACAAGAGTGAACACGTCGGACAAGCTCGCGCCGAAGTTCAAAAACGCAGCAAAGAAATCGAGACTAGGCAAAAGGAAATCAGCGCTCTCGAGACGGTTGTGCAGCAAAATAGCAATGGGAAATTCAACCTGTTGCGACGATGTAAGCTCGAGCAGATCCAGGTTCCACTGCTCGGCGGCTCGTTAGACGACCTTCCGAACGAAGACAACCTTCTTCATCAAGATCCGGATGCCATGGACATCGATGAGGAAGAAGACGAGGAAGCCGAGGACCGGGAAGTAATTCAGGCAGCAATGGATGACTACGGCATCGAACTCGACTTTGACAAGCTCGACGAGGAGCTAAAGGACGTAAGTTGAAGTGGAACGCATAATGTACAACAGCGTGGGAAGTTACTAATCGCTAATGATACATATATCCGCAGTCGGACGATGCCAACATTGAAGAGATCCTTGACGAGAAAATCGTTTCCCTCACGACAGAACTTGAGAAACTGAATCCAAACATGCGAGCCATTGACCGACTAGGGGACGTAGAGTCTCGGTTGAAGGACACGGAGCGAGACTTTGAAAAGGCGCGTCTGGCACAAAAGCGAGCACGCGATGCCTTCAACGAGATTAAGACGCGGCGGTTCGAACTCTTCAACAAGGCCTTTAGTCATATCCAGGAACAGATTTCGCATGTCTACAAGGACCTCACAAGATCCGAGGCTTATCCTCTCGGCGGACAGGCCTACCTCGACATCGAGGAAGATACTGACACTCCCTATCTCTCAGGCATCAAGTACCATGCAATGCCCCCTTTGAAACGGTTCAGAGATATGGAGCACCTTTCCGGTGGAGAAAAAACAATGGCTGCGCTTGCTCTCCTCTTCGCCATCCATAGCTATCAACCCAGTCCCTTCTTCGTGCTCGATGAGGTGGATGCAGCGCTGGATAACGCGAATGTGGAGAAGATCAAAAAGTACATCCGAGAACATTCTGGGCCGGGCATGCAGTTTGTGGTCATCAGTCTCAAGACCGGCCTGTTTCAAGACAGCGAGAGCTTGATCGGTGTTTACCGTGACCAAGATGTTAACAGTTCCAGAACACTGACTCTAGATGTAAGTTGTCGCGTTTCTATTATCAAGTCCTAAGTCCTCGCTAGACAGACTATGATGAAGTCAAGAGCCCCGCTAACCACCCCCACAGCTCCGCAAATACGCTTAAAGAAGGGAGAGAAATAGAAGGAATGGCTAGCGGCTATTGGGATGGCAGTGACAGCAAGGATATGCGACGACATGAATCGTGGGGGGGTTCAATGTGTATTTTTTAAAGGGCCGGTTCTCTTGGTGACTTTCTTTGTGTTTCTGAGCAGAGGGAGCTCGGTTAACTTGGAGTCGGTGGACAACTACTTCGTTCTCGATGTGTATTTATCAATTGATGTTGGCGATAATAATGAACTTGCCTGCTGCGCACCATGTTGATCAAATGCTTATTATGTGGTGGCAATACTAACAATTTGAAGGCTCTTCGTCAGTCGATATTGAAACTTTCATAAGCTTTGAGGATAAACATATATTACGTAAGTATTCTTATTAATTATTTTGGAGGACGTTTCTGTACAAAGAGAGCCAAAGGCTTTTTATTTCAAGCAATAATTGTTTTGTTAAATAGTTCAAGCTTCAGCTCTGAGAGTGACAGCCTGGTCGTCAGCCTTATACTAAGCACAAAGAATTCATCTCCCTTGTCTTTTTTTCTGTCAATGCGACACAGCCTCGGATACAGACCGCAGATTGCACTTTCTCAACACGACAAGAGAAAAATATCTTCACTAATTTCTCTCATCCCGCTTTAATATCAGCAAAACACCTCGGAGTCAATCCCTGCTCACAACCCCATATTTTCTCAATCAAGTTGTGGCCACTGAATTCCCACCAGAGCAGCTTGAAGTCAAAGCCAACACACAACACATCCATTGCAAGCTGCGAGGACAGCCAACCTGCAAGATGGATCTAGCCCAAACTCTTCTTAAAATGGTAATGCGAGCCTTTTATGACACAAGGCAGATTATTGCTGTGGATGCTGTCATCACTCATTCATGGTAAGTTCAATTTGCCTCCTTCAGGTTCCTTGTTTCTTCTGGTTAGTTAATATTTCTGGTCTGCTTTCTAGCTTGCGAGATGATGAACTTGCATACTTGGCATCGCTTAACACCAAGGATCTCCACAAACTTGTTGCCAAGTTAAAGGAGGAGCGCCTCGTCCACCAGTTCAACCGACCGGAGATGCGGGAAGGTCAGGTTCGGCCGGTTACGAGAATATACTATTACATTGACTACCGGCAGACGATCGACGCGATAAAATGGAGGGTTTACAATATCACAAAGGATATCCAAGGAACCACGGTGCCCGCCAGCGAAAAGAAGGAGTATTTTTGCAGCCGCTGCGGGTCGGAATGGACGCAAATGGAGGTTCTTGACAACTTTGGCCCCGAAGGCTTCATCTGCCATCGTTGCGGTAATCCTCTTACTCACGATCTTGATCGGAACTCGGCGGGCCACGAACAGTCTACGAGGCTAAATAATCAGTTCAAGTTCGTCACCGACCTTCTACAACAAATAGACCAGGTTCATATTCCAGATAATACTTTCGAAGTCGCGCTCGGCAACGCACGTCCGGTCATAAGAGACTCCAACCACCCCGGTATCAAATCTATACCGGTGGATGCCGCTGGGAATCGCCCCACGGCCGTCAAGGGCCTGGCAAACACGGGCCCGAAGTCGATGGCTGTCAGCATCTCCGCCGCCGACGGTCTCACGGAGGCAGAAAAGGCAGCGGAGATTGAGCGACGGGAGAAGATTGCGCAGCAAAACGCGCTGCCCGCCTGGATGTCGAACAGTACCATCACTGGAGAGTCTTTCTCGGGAGCGCCTACTCCAACCTTGCTGGCCAAGAGAGAGGATGCTGATGTCAAGACAGCTCTTCCAACGGTTCCTGCCTACGAAAGGGACCACAAGGACATCGACGATGTCTTTGCCAGACTCAAGGCGGAACAGGAGCAGAAAGAGCTGGAAGAGGAGGAATACGGCTCTGATGACGAAGATGAAGAGGATGAGGATGAAGACGAAGATTTTGAAGACGTGATGGGTACCGGTGCTAATTCGGCGGCCGGTACACCGTCGGTTATCGGTATCGGGGCTTCGCATGTAGTTCAGGTACCAGGAGGCGGAGGCGGAGGCGGAGACTTGGATGCAGAGAGGCCAGCAAAGAAGGTGAAAGTTGAATCGCCCGCCCAAGCAAATGGGGAGGAAGAGGAGAGCGATGAGGACCTGGAATTCGAGGATGTCTGAACAACAACGAAGAAAGGTAAAGAAAGAAAAGAAAAAACCGATACCGCCATGGGAAAGTCCTAGAATGCTGTCAACCGACGACGACTTCTTGCAAGCACACGAGTCTCTAATCAACCCCAAGATGCTGGACCGGTGGAGCTGGACCATGTAGTCTCGGACTCCAGATACACTAACCACTTACTACACTGCTTCGCAGAACAAGAGTGCAAAATAGGCCTGTCGCTCTTGCCGATTCTTGGGTCTAGACTGGTAGTTACTGTCTAACAGTTGCATTCCGGTACCCAAGCCTCTCGGTTCCTGGCGACAATTACTTCGTATACCAGCAGGCCAGGACGATACTAGAGTGTAAATAGAAACCTCACGGACCAATTTCTAATCTGATCCGAAGGATAAGACGGAGAGCATTGATACAGATATCAGCTTTCGACCATAGTTCCCAGATGCGGATGTATTCATTCAATATTGTTGTATTTGTCGGAGTTGATTAGTGAGCATCCGTGAGTTCAACCGTTGTCGGCGTTTTTACTTTCGCCATGGTTCAAATGTTGGATGCATGAAATCGATGATCATGCCGTCATCGCCGATACTATTGCTCTCAATCAACATGCTCGATGTCAACTCTAAAAAGCCGTCGTTTCTCTCTTTTTCTCTTTGTTCCAGGCTCCTGGAGGCTCCTGGAGGACAACTCGCGGTCTAGCGAACGTATCTACCATGGGCTTGGCTGACCCGACCTATGTTTAGGTCTTGCTGGCGACGAAGTCTGAAAGCCCTCCCGTCGTTTTCCGAGTCGTCTTCGCAGCATACTCACACGCCCTCGTCTCTTATCAAGGCAAAAATATTTAAATAAAAAGAAAAGAAGTAAAAATAACGCCCCCTGGAAAAAAGGGGGAAAAAAAGGAAGAAAGGAGAAAAGGAGGGGAAGGGAGAGAAAAGAAGAGGAAAATGCCTACAGAACTCCAATTCCCTGCTATTTTCGTGCTCCCGGTTCATCTCCAGCCCGATCGTCTCCACGAACTCGAGGAGAGGATACCGACAATTACATATAATATCAACGAAGCTGATGTTATTCTGGGAAATATTTCCAAGCCAGAGAGGGCCTTATTTGAGTTAAGGCGGCGGAAAGTCAGCTTTGAGCCAACGCAATCCCACTTAGATTCTACTGGGCCAGACCCAAAGAGACGAAAAGTATCTGAGGCGCAATCGGAACGACCGTCGAATCTGCTACAAATAGCGAGACTCGAGTGGCTCTCGGATTCTTTAGAGCAAAAGCGAGTGTTGCCTTTGGACGACTACCTCATTCTCGAAGTCACCAAGAAAACACCCGTTCCCGGCTCGAGGAGAACCCCGGTAGTTAGCAACTCCACAATTCCCGGTTCTGCGGCAGAACGTACGCCGGGATCAAGCCCGAGAAAGCGGCCTTTGCTCCTGCAGAAATCCACCTCTGATGATTCTTCTTTACCCCCGGTTCCGGACTTTCTTCACACAGCATATTCTTGCCAGCGTCCGACTCCGCTAGAGCCACCCAATTCCTCATTTATCGACCTCCTCAAGAAAATCAGGAAGCAGAGGATTCTAAATGGCGACCAAGTGGGAGTCAGAGCCTATTCCACGTCCATTGCTTCTCTCGCCGCTTACCCATATCCTCTACAAAGCCCCCACGGTAAGCACTCCCGTCGGAGGCAACAGGGGCAACCCCTGCTGAAGGGATATCATGGCCTGTCCGGAAACATAGTGTCTATGGCGGAATGGAAACATTATCCTCCCTGGATTGGGCACTAACAGGTGGTGATGTAGAGGTCACAAGACTTCCCGGCTGCGGCCGCAAGATTGCCGAGTTGTTCCAACAGTTCAAGGATACTGGAATGATCGACGAAGCAAATGAAATCGACACAGACCCACGGCTTTCTGTTCTTGTACTTTTTTATGATATCTGGGGCGTAGGCGACGTAACGGCCCGCGAATTCTATAACAAAGGTTGAGAGACCCTCCTCTCCCGGTTCCCCTGTCGGAACACCCCTTTACACAGTATAGAATCCCCATGCTTCAACCGGCTAACAAGAATCTTCGCAAGGTTGGAGGGATCTCGACGATGTTATTGAGTATGGGTGGAACACACTGACTCGCGTGCAACAGATAGGTGTCAAGTTCTATGATGAGCTCAAGATCAAAATTGGGAGACCTGAAGTTGAGTTCATTGCAAACACTATCCTCACCTATGCGAGGAGGGTGGACCCCGCGTTCGAGATGATGGTTGTGGGGGGGTATCGCCGGGGGCAGAAAGGAAGTGGTGATGTTGATGTAGTTCTCAGTCACCCAGACGAAGCACTCACTCGGCATTTCATTGGCCAGCTCGTGGTCATGCTTGAGAAAGGTGGATTTATTTCCCATACACTTAGCCTCTCCACTAGAAATAGCGACCGCGGGCAGGAACCGTTGCAATGGAAGGGGAGGGCAGCTAGAGGATCTCCCGGATTCGATACTTTGGATAAGGCCATGTTGGTTTGGAAGACGCCCAAGCAAGGCTTGCCCAAAGGTCGTGACGGTGGCAGTCATGCCCAGGAAGAACCCCTACATCGAAGAGTGGACATAATCATCAGCCCTTGGAAAACTGTTGGCTGCGCTATCCTCGGCTGGAGTGGCGGTACTACTTTTGAGCGAGATCTGAGGCGGTATTGCAAAATGGAGAAATCGCTCAAATTTGATAGCAGTGGCATCCGAAGCCGCATTGATGGGTCTTGGGTGGACTTGGAAGGTGGTGAACGCGGAAGAGCGCCGAACATGGAAACGGCAGAGAAGAGGGTTTTCGAGGGACTTGGTCTCACGTGGATAAGGCCAGAACAGCGGTGTACCGGGTAGATCACGAAGAGTGTCGAAAGCTGCGATCTAATATTGCCATGACGCATTATTTCGAGAGGGATGCATCTCCCCCAAATCGATAGCCTTTGAGACTAAAGGTAGTTTCGGGGGTTCGATGATCAAACTGCGCTCTCTCGACGAGTAGACATAGGTCAGTATATTCCGTCTCTAGCGGCACCGCGTTGCATTTTGCTGATCTCCCAGGTCTTGTAGTAAGAAACAAAGAGTGCAAGTTCTCTAGGATTCGAAAGATGCCGTCTAATGGCAACAATGGAATGGCGATTGCGGAATTTGACAAAACACGTCCGGGGGAGGTCAAAAAGGTAAACGGGCGCGTAGCATTGGCTGTCCAGATATATACTCTTTCGAAATGCAAGCATCGCGTGGCTCATTGGTGATATGCAGCGTGGTATCGTTCACGCCGCATCACTCATAGTGCCTAAGTGAGGTCCACCGTCGGGCAAGTAATATTAGATTTTCTTCCACTGGCAAATAGCTAGAGGCTATTTTTGCCAACCGTAGCATTGACACTAATGCGTCAGTGCTAACCACTGAAACGTTAGAGTCGCTAAGTTCGTCGTGTGGCGTCAAGTCCGATCTGATGCGGCAGATGTTAATAAGGGAGCGCGATTTCAACAAGATTCCCCTTGAGGGTGACGGATTTAAATCCTCAAATCCCAAGTGCGGGTTGAGTCTTCTCGCTCGAGAGGGCTTGACATGCCGGTTATAGGAGTCTGGGGCGAGGCGAACTGTTGATCGCTGGAAGCCTCGGCAAGGCTTTCGATGCCGTTGTTGCCTAGTAAAAAGTCCGCGAGGTATCGAAAAGCGCTAAATATCTCTTCACCGGTGGGGATGATGTATTCTCGCGGTAACAAGAAGCCGTAACTCCCCGTATCTCTCAGTCGGATCTGGTAGCTGTATCGCGCAAGTAACTCGTGGCTAAACCAGTCTATCGCAGAGCCGCCTCCCGTTTCGACACGGGCCGATTTGGCATCTCGCATAGATGTCCTAGACAGTGTCGAGCCTTCGCAGGCCGGCCTGACAGAATAAGTTTCCCCACTTGTGAGCCGAATGGCCTTTGCTAGCCCAGCGGCCAACTCCTCCATATTCTCCAAATTTGGCGGTTCCTCGGTGCAAGAGAATGAGTATGGAAAAAGAACTTGCTGAGAATAGGAATGGAGGTCGATCAATCCTATTACATCGGCGCCGTTGTCTATGTAACGCCGCACCCATGTAGTCAGTTGTTGGGCTTCGATCGCCTCTAATGCTTCATTCCCGCTGTAAAATTCCGAGCATGGATCTCCTGAATATTCCCATTTATACCCAAAAGCACGATCAAGGTCGATACCTCGACAGAACCGAAAAGTAGTGTGCTGCCTCGTTTTGCGCCACAGACGATCGACTTGCCATGTGTATTCAAACCCGTCTGGGTTTAGGGTCGGGATAACGACGAGATCGTATTGCTCCAAGAACTTCGTCACAATAGGGTCTTTGCGGTAGTGGGTGATAAACGACCAGGCAACGTAGTTCGCTGTTGTTGTCGAGATCCATTCCCTCGCGTGTAATCCTCCTGTAATTACTATGGTTTTTCGTGGTGAATCGACGTCAATAGCAGATCGAGCACCGATCCGCAGTGCAAGAATGTCCCGACCCTCATAAGAAGAGCCAATGCTTATTATATCTACAAGTGATGGGAAGAGCGCTTCCACGAGCCGTGCCCACCGGCGTATGACCTGCTTTACGTTAGTAGGTCCGAGGTAAAGACGAGGCCGGGACAGCCTGGAAGTGGGGGCTGGGGGATCTGACTGGCAAAGGCTGGTAGTTCTCGAAAAACACATTGTCTCCGTGAGTCGGCAACTGAGGGCCAAGGGTAGAGGATGTCTCTGGGAACATGTCTACGTATCCATCACTGAGATACTTAGGAGGGTATGTGCTCCGGACAAGAGACGCGAGGTCCGGGATAAGGGTGTAGTAAGACGTGTGTAGCGACTTTGGAATAAGACTAAGAAATGGCGCGACATCATCGCGGTGCATCCGTATGTCGACGTAGTTTGGGCCATATGACCATACGTCTTTGAACAATCTCTCCACGGCATCCGAAATGGCAGCTTCTTCGAGAGGATCGGTTATGTTGAAGCGCACGACCACCTCGCCACCATAAGCGGCCCAAATATTCCGTTCGACAGGCTTGGTGTCAACTCTCGCAGCAGGATTCCCAAATATGAACTCGACGAAGTAGTCGCGAAGCCGTCTCAGGGACGGGTTGGCATGGCTGCGGCCATCACGGGCAGCAGAAGCGAACTGCTTCGATGTTAATGTCGTTCTGAGCCTTCCCTCTTGGCCTCCGTTCGGCCGTTGCTCTGCGGCTAGAGCGCAAGCGAGGAGCGAGAGGAATCCTAATCGTGAGAACTTCATTTCGATGACGATGACAATGAGAAAATCGCGCGCATTCCTGGCGTAGCATTTAGCGCATTCGAAAAAACCAGCAATTATGATACCAGCCAGTTCAAGGGAAAGAGACTTGGATCGATGCGGCGGGTCATGGAAGACGACGCATTGCGTAAGCCCAGCCAGCCCATCGGCTGTTGGCAGGTACCTCTGTTGCCATCTTTTGTGGGCCCAGAATCGATCCCATCATTATGGCACGGGCTACTTCGTGCCTGTGTATTTGTTGCAGAATTTAATTGGAGTGAAGGACCAACACATGAAATAAGAATACACAGGTACACAGGTATTAGTTGCAGGTAATTTTACCTTTGGAATAATGTGGCGGGTGCTGACGGCTGAACGGAGTGACCCAATTATTTCTGGAGGCCTTACATAAGCTCATCATAACATCATCAATTCCAAGTTGGCAGCGGCGCCCCTTTAATATGACATCGAATTTGAAGTTGTCGAGGTTCATCATGTACTTGTTGTACGGACTAGAATTGCGATCGAACCTACACCAAGCTTCAACACAAACCGAACGGCTCGGACGAAGACAGTACTTTCAGCTAACCGTCAATGTCAATACTCATGCCTAGATTCAATTGAGCGCTCCAAATGACACTTCATTGAAGGCTGCGAAGCCTTCAGACTTGAGGAGCGCGCTCAAACGCCCTCCCTTTGCGCCTTTCGTCTATTCCGACCGCTCTTATCCTTCCCGAGTTGTTCGCTGCAAAAGATCATGACCTACAACCACAATGCCTTTTCTTCGCCGACATGCCCCCCTGGCCAGTGAGACTGACATTAGAAATGCCGCCGTGGGGATGTCGAGTCCCGCACAGTCCTCAATGGACGCACTGGCGGATGCGGATTCCGGGATAGAGCCGGATCCTGTGACTAACCGTCGCAAGGAGAGCTATGCCTCTGGTTCTCTTTCGATCCCGGCGCGTGCCGTTGATAACAGCTCACAAGGCTCCTCCACCTCTCAGCCTCGAGACCACACCAGCAGCCGTCCAAGTTCCCCGCCCCAGGAACAAACCCATCGACACCGCCGCTTCTCTGTCCTCAGATTCCGGAACGCGTCTGATTCCCAGTTATCGATGAGAGCCAAACATGAAGCAGAGAACCCTCCCCCTCTGCCCACACCGCGTATGTCAGATTATCTCCCTCACAATAAGAGAATATGTAGCGCACTCGGGCTAACTAGCACATATTACAGCTCCGGAAATCATCACGACTGCTCCAACCGTGGATTTCGAGGCTTTACAAAAAAGACCTTCCCGGATGAATTTAGCAAATCGCTTTCGCCGTTCCGCAGCCCCTACCAAGTCAAGAGATAAGGACATCGCCAAATCACAGCAGGGAAAGCGCTCGAGAAAGTCCACATCTGACGATCCACGGCGCCTAGACGATCCCCACTTCATACCCCCTGATGAATCCGGAGATCATGGGGCCGCTGCGGAACCTCCGGCGTATGACCATGATGACGGGACTATCGCCGCCCTACCAATTACCCGGATATCTGAATCCTCTCGGTCTGACACTGGTTCTGGCGATCCGGCCGTATATGCTAGCACCACCACAACTACAACGCACACTGTTCATACGATTACCACGACGCTTTTTCGATTGCCGCGCCGAAGGAACAAAGCCGGGGAGTCCTTGTTTCCTCTAGGCCATTTGCCTCAAAAGGGCAATGCGCCAGCGGGCCATATGTCCCAGAGTACGATTTCAGCATCATCCCTAGCCATTCCGAGGTCCTCGTTCGGCACTTCCGAGTCCGGTGCTCCCTTCTCCGAACCCGGGACGCCGAGGGCATCTACATCTCACAGCGGCACGACGCCAAACGTATCCTCTCCCGAGGCGCGGACGAAGCACGCCACATCCCCCGCAACTGCTCTCTGGCGACCTGAGCCCGCGCACTCCGGACGTTCATCCCCTACAAGAGGGCCGATTAGCCTCCGTGGTCGCTCTTCTACGATGAGCTCTATCGGCGGCCATTCGAATGACGAATGCCTTGCCCCTCCAACTATTCGGACGTCTTCCTCCACCGGCCGTAAGAGCTTCAGTGATCTCTTTGGTCTTAGCCGATTACGTCAAAACTCCGACCTTGCTCTCAATCGGCATGGATCCATGACACCCGTGACGCCGGGATCCGCAACTTCCAAGAACAATTCTCTTCAGCTAGTTAGAGAAGAGCAGGTCGTTTTACCTGAGCGTCGAGACGACGATACGCCTGCAAAATACCTCGCTCGCTTAGAAGAGGTAGTCAGTCGTAGTGTAATCCCTAGTGCGCTCTCGCGCGGTTCGGATCAGTTTTCGACTGCAGTGATGCGCAGCTACATGAGGAGCTTTCGTTTTTTCGGGGATCCTATCGACATGGCCCTCCGAAAGCTTCTAATGGAGGCAGAACTACCTCGGGAGACTCAGCAAATCGACCGTTGCCTGCAGGCCTTTGCCAACCGTTACGATGAATGCAATCCCGGCGTGTATTCAAACCCGGATCAGGCATATTTCATAGCATTCTCACTCCTCATCCTTCATACAGATGCTTTCAACAAGAACAACAAGCGCAAGATGCAAAAGCATGACTACTTGAAGAATGCTGGAGGTGAGGGCATCTTTGACGAGATTCTCGAATGCTTCTATGACAATATTACATACACGCCTTTTATTCATGTGGAGGACGACCTTGATATCAATGGTGAACGTATAGTCGCTCACAAAGCGAGAAGGAAGCCGATCTTCGCCGGTGGAGCGACCGAAGTCGTTAAGACTTCGACAAAGGAGCCCCTCGATCCCTATACCCTAATCATCGACGGTAAACTTGATGTGTTACGTCCGAGTCTCAAGGATGTTATGCACCTAGAAGATCAATATTCTTATCTCGGGACAGCCAAGTCTTTGGATCTGAAAGAACTCCAAAAGACGTTCTTTAGAACTGGAGTTTTGCAGATAGTCTCGGCCCGATCCCGCCCGGATGCATTTATGACAGAAAAGACCGCGACGAACCCCGAAGAAGCGCATCCCGGAATCGTCGATATAAAGATTACGAAAGTTGGACTCCTTTGGCGCAAAGACGCTAAGAAGAAGAGGACCAGATCCAAATGGCAAGAATGGGGTGCGATCTTGACAGGAGCTCAGCTGTACTTCTTCCGCAATACGACCTGGGTAAAGAGTCTTATGCATCAATACGAATCCCACGTCAAGCAGGGAAATGACGGAGTCCCTGTTATTTTCCAGCCACCGCTGGAGCAGTTCAAGCCCGATGTACTATTCTCAACTGATGGTGCTGTCGCTCTGGTCGATTCTACATACAAGAGGCACAAAAATGCATTCGTCTACGTCCGGCATGGAGGAATTGAGGAAGTCTTGCTTGCCGACGACGAAAACGAGATGAACGATTGGCTAGCAAAGCTCAACTATGCTGCAGCCTTCAGGACCTCTGGGGTACGGATGAGGGGCGTTGTAGGTGGGCATTATGATGGTCAAAGCCGTCGTGGCATTAGGAGACTCGATAGCTCTGATGCTACGCAACTTATTCAGACCCCGACGGGTGATGTCAGCATAGCCCGTGGCCGTATTGACCAGAAGATGGCAGAAGACATTCTCGCAGCACGCCGAGACATCATGGTGCAGAAGGTTGCAGATGCCGCGGACAAACTAGCTTCTGTTGAAAAGCAGCTAGAGGCGCAGCTAAGAAACGCAAGACACTTGCAGATTCTGGCACCGATTCAGACAAAAACACGTGAACAGGTTCTATTAGCAGCTGCGCGCATGTCGGCACAACTTAAATGGACTCGAATGGAGATTTGGAAATTGCGGTGCCACCGGGACATCCTTCTCCAGGACCTGGAGGAGGAGCGGAACGGAATGGAATACATGGCCAGCACGGCCGTGAACACACCGCCCATGGAAGCACCGCCACAGCCCGTCAGTGCATCACCAGGCTTGTCTACAGATTCCACGGTCCGTCTCGGTAATGAAGCTTCCCGACCTAGCGGCTCAGTAGTTCATGACGACTCGGAATGTCCAGAACGACCCAATAACCCAACAACTGATGCTCCTCTCCAAACTCCGCCTAAAACTAGCTCTCGGCCTCGCAGAAGGTCGGACACGGCAAGTCTCAGAGCAGGTTCGATCTCTAGCAGCATAGCTTTCCCCAGTCCCCAACCCCCAGTCATTCCATCCGGCAAGCCCCCGAATGGTAACGGAGAACTGCCGAGCGGTCAGCCACGTGGTGGCTCGATACATGACGATATTGATGATGGCGAACGCGACCTTTTGGAACAGGCTGGTCTTATCAAAACCAGATCGAGAAGAGTTTCTGACAGCTACGGATCACCGTTTACCGCTGGTCCCATGGGTGAAGCTGAAGAATGGCGTGATAATTCGTCTCCGGCTGAAAAAGTGGAGAGGAATAAACTCCGGAGAAGCCTCCAGCGTACCCTTAGAGATAGCGCCGGACACCTTTCCCACCAACGTATCAAAAAGGGGAAGGAGATTCTGGCCAGCGGGTCGTTGGAGGATGACAATGTCGACAGTAAGCTCACCCGGTCAACGGGAAGCTTTGTCGTCCATGGAAAGAAAGCATCCGTGATCAATTTCGGTACGGAGCTGCGGGCGATATCACCAGACGCGAAGATACGGGCTAAACAGCAGGTATGGCGCGATGATCAATCGCAGCAACAGCAACAGGGACAGCGCTCACTGCCCCGCACGAGTGGAGAGCATGACTTTTATTCTGTTACCGAAGATGGTCGAGAATGGAGTGAGCGGAGGGGCTCTGCTGCAAGCGCAAGCACGGCGACAGCAAGAAGTTTCCGTGAACTTCATCGAAAATACTCAAGATCAGCATCCGCTGGCCGTCTCACTGCGCCCTCCGATGAAGACAGTGAAGTAGCTCTAAGTTTCTCTGAGGGCAGGCGCACTCCTCTCCCACCAATCGAGCGAGATGTCAGCGAATGTGAGGATGATCCGGTCACGAATGCGGCGCAGCACCAGTCCCAGCACGAGACACCAAGTTTAGGTCCAACCACCCCCACCTCGGAGAACAGTGGCGTGGATCACTGATGAGCCTGCTTTCTCTAAAGTTTTGGTTTTGTGGCTTCAATGATATACAATATACCCAGTAGTCATGTTGCTCGCCAGTGGTGGGGTGGTGTCGGGCCTTCTGGTTCTTCTAGATATCTGATAGATTGTGGGGGCCGCTGGCTGGACCGGGTCACTGGATTTGCAAATGTAATTTCAACAATACAGGCCATGATGAAGACAATTGCAGTCACATCAATCTGTACACTAGGGATAGTTGTTACGTTAACCGTGTATTTCTGGGATTGTTCTATGATTAAAGTGCCATCCACCCTCTCTAGCAGTAATACTTGGTCGCTCGAAATTTCTATTTTCTCCCCTTCCTCTTTTTCTTCTGCGAAACAGGGGCAGCTTTTTCTACCTTAACAGCCCCTGCTCCGCCAACAAGCTCGATCGTTTCTTCCTTAACAATCCCACCTTGCGTAGTCTCAGCTGCCCGCTTTTTACCCTTTTTCCCTCTTGGCCGATAGGAGGCGCGATCCCGAAGAGGAAGCCATCGTTCGGGGTCCAACTGCTTCCCCGATTCCACATCGCCCACCACTTTACGTCTCCTCTTCTTGGCTGGCTTTTCCAGATCACTTAAGGGTTTGCGTTTCGTTTGTATAGTGGTAGATGAAGGCAAAACCACCCCCCCGCTTAGGAGTGACTGGACCTGAATCCCATCCACCAAAGGACCTACGGGGGAAAGCCGCGTAAGAAGAGATTTTCGGTTATTATCCCCGGAGAGCCCACGGGAGGCCACAACCCCTGCGACAGCAACATCGTCGGATGGCTCTTTCTCCAGTAGGGCTTGGAACGCGACTGCTGCAGCCTGAAGCTCCTCCAAGTCATGCTGCGACATGATTAGACTCAGCCCGAGCTCTCGTAAAAGAGATGCATGGAGTTCTTTTGCTGGTGTTTCGCCAGAGGCAAGCAGTTTCGACAACGCAACCGGGATAGACCTTTGTCTGCCCTGCGCCTTATATAGGGATACCAAAAGAGCGACCAACCCAGGCGTAAAACGAAGTTGTCTACGTTCGCGGGAGTCCGCTTGAGCAAGCAGGGATATGAAGTTCTCCACAAGGGCGCAGGCGGCACTCAGCTTATGTTCCTGGACGCAGAATCTCACCGTCGTCAACAGAAGGCCAATATCCCAGGGCCGCTGTTTGAGCAGTTCTCGACAGGTGCCAACGGTAGAAACGCCAGCGTGTAGCTGCAAAGACGCAGCTGCATTCAGAACGGAAAGCCTGTTTACTGAGCTCGTGATACTTGGCCCCGACTTCGAAATGATGTCTGCGGTCCTTTTCTGGACTCCTTTGAAACTTTGACAGTTTAGGCTCAAGCTGAACCTCAACTGATCCAGGAGATCCCTTTGGTAATTGAAGAGTCCAGAATTTTCGTTCGGATGTACTGAGTCCCGGATTATCCGTTCAAGGAAGAACGGACTCGCTGTATCGGAAGTAACAATCGTGGAGTTGAGCTTCCGCAGAAAAGCAGAATCCGCATCGCAGTTCCTAAAGTTGCAAGTATCAGTGACTGTGCGGCCGTCTGAGGCAACAGTGAGAAGCGCGTACAAGAATAAGTCAATGGATGAGTACACATCAGCCGCGGCTTTTTTGAGACCCATTCGAAAGTAGGTATACCCTAGTTGAATGAGGATGGGCAGAATTTCTTCCTGCTTCTCCTCATCTGACAAGTCTTCAGAGGAGTCGCAAAGCTGTTTTGCGAGGGAGAGGGACTGCACAGCCTCTTCGAAAAACCCGTAGGAAAGGTATATACAGGCCGCATTATAGGCCACCTCGAACGTATCCGGTTTGTCAAGGTCCCGCTGAAGGCACCCGAGGATTTCGCGGCTCTGCCAGCCGAGTTGCGCCAAAGCCGCTAGTTCGTTGATCTTCAAATCATGGCTTTCCTCGTGATCTGGATATTTGGAGGAAAGAATGCGGTATGTCTTGCTCGCCTCGGCGAATTTTTCGGCTCGGTAGGCGACCTGGGCGTCGAGATGAAGCACCCCGCGGTGGCCTGTAGAGAGGGCAGGCTGTAAACATTCCCTAGCCTTCGAGAGCTGTCCCGTTTTATAGTATGCGTATGCACTTTCAAGCAAGCATCCATGTCGAAACCCAGCGTCGCCCTCGTCTATCACACGTAGAGCATCACCAAAGCGGTCTAACTTTAGTAGTGCAACGACCTGAGTTTGTCGTATGTTATGGTCTTGGGGACAAGAATTGAGAGCCGTTACTGTAGTCTTGAGAATCTCCTCATGGTCATCGATAGATACGGCTTTCAACAAAGTATTTAGCGTCGCCGCAGAGGCTCGCGCCGTCATGATTGCGACTTAACGGGAAGTACAAATTAAGAAACTGATGCTATCGCGGGGTGCCTTACCCCACACACAACTTCTGAATTCTGACCATGTTGCAACGATATCAAGACGTCCCAAAAATGGTGGATGATTAGTCATCTGCAGGCTTACATCAAGACAGGAAGACAGAGTCACCTTTGGCCTCGTTCGACGATAAGTCTTCGATTCATGCATTAATCGTCATCTGTCCTTGTTTGGGAGGTGCTATCTCGATTCTAAGATGCCGACTTCCCATTGAGGTTTCATCCCCCCCTGTTAGAGACTTTTTTTTCCCCTTTTCTTCCACAAAAATGTCAAGCGTCGTGGGCTTGATGGTGGCAGTATACCGGCAAAACATCGGCGGTGCCACCCATTAAACAGGCTCGCATGAACAATCCAGACAACGGGAAGCTGCTTCCATCTGCATATCTTTCACTCTCAGCACGCAAGAGCCAAGAGCCAAGAGTTCAACATGGATTGGGACGTGGAGATGGAAGACACGCCTCAGATGGGCAGGGACCATTCTAACTACCACGACGAGGTTTGTAACCTACATAGCCAGCCGCGCTTCGATATTTAACTAATTAACATGGGCGCGGTGCTCTCAGATTCGTCCGACCTCCGCCCCTACCCAGGAACAAGTGGCGTCAACTGGCTTACAGCAGCAAGAACACGCCGAGATCGATGACAACGTCTTAGTCCCAACTAAGGTTCATATTCGCGGCCTCGATGTCTTGACCACCGAGGACATCAAGTCATATCTTTCGGAGCATTTTGGCCCCGCCGATAGGATCGAATGGATCAATGACACATCTGCGAATCTCGTATTCAATTCTACGTCTACAGCCCAGGATGCTCTGGCTTCCTTAAGCGCCATCGAGATAGCAGATCCCACTCAACTCCCCATTCTTGAATGCGTCCCGGCCAAGTCCTACACTGCAAAGCCGGAGGTCGAACTGCAAGTTCGCTTTGCCCTCTCATCCGACAAAAAGAAAGCCGGGGCATCATCTAGGAGCCGATTCTATCTGCTCCATCCTGAATATGATCCCGAGGAACGCTTCCGACGTGAGCACACCAACCGAGCAAAATATCGCGACCGTGACGGCGCAAGCGGTAGGCGCCGCCGGGACATGGAGAGGCGGAGATTATCCCAAGAAGATATCATCTTCGACGAAAGCTTTTACGATGACAAAGAACCCGAAGAGACCACTCGTCCCTCTCATGGACGTAGCCAAACCAAGGAACTTTTCCCCGGGCGGCGCCGCGGGGATCGCCTCCGTTCCAGGTCAGCGTCACCGTCCATTGCGGATGATCGGTCAAATCGCAACAGGGCGAGGGCGCTGCAAGTCAAGCAGCAGCTCATCACAAGGGAGGATCGCAGAGAACTCTTCCCTTCGAAGATTTCGACGTCGAGTACCAAACTAGCCCAGTTAGACCAACTCGAGGCCGCTACAAAGGCTACATCACTCGACAATACAGCCGCGGACCATTCGTTGCACATCCGAGGGATCGCCTCTCAGGGAGGCCCTTCCGCTGGCTTCACCATTAAGGGAACTTCAACAGTCAAGGTCAAGGAACTCTTTCCGAACAAATTCGATGGCGGTGTTGGCAACGATCTCTTTGCGGATAAACTCGAAGGTAGAAATCGACGGCGGCAAAAGGCTGAGGACTTGTTTCACTGATCTATTCCGACAATCTTATTCTCGACCACTGTGGTCTACGAGGTCTATCCACCCCCAACCCTACGACATGCGTGGCCCGCACATGAAACAATGATGATCGGAATTCGTCCTATAGTGTGGTGGGGTTCGCTCGAGGCTAGGTGGATGTACAACACCAAAAGGCAGCAGAAGAAGTGTGCCTTTATTCAGCTCAACATGCCGTTCCATGAGGCCCTGGACGGATGGTAAAAACATGGGGGATGTTGTTGACGGCCAACCACAAACAGCTTTTCTTAGACCCATGATTTTCCAGGGAGATAGACTTGCCTCGTCCTACCTGCTATCCTATGGCTCGGTTAGCTTGCCGTGCTCGTCGACTCACTTCTCAGAGTATGGCTCATGTCCCCGCTTTGTTGAAATTCCTAGAGTCAACGAAGACCAGGAAGCGGTCCATTGCTCTCACCCAAATGCGCCGCTAAATACATACCATTGGTCTCGTACTGTGAGACACACATTCCTGTCAGGCATTCTTGCATCCTCGCTGGCGTCGATTCCGGCGTGATTGCTGTCTGGAGTCTGCCGCTCCAATGCCGGGCGTTTCCAGTGGACCTCTGAGGCTCTGTTTGTGGGGAGTGGGGCGGATGCGGAACTGCGAGATGTGCTGGCGACCAAAACGAAAAAAAAAAAAAAAAAAAAACCTCTACTTGGATTTTTTTTCTTCAACTCTTAGGCATGCTTGCGTCTTTCTATCCAATTTGCCTCATCCATTTGCCGGCTCTGAGTTCCTTCGAAGAAAAGGAGAAAAGAAGATGGGTGTTTCATCAGGTACCGAATGCCAACCGTAGCTGTGACCCCTGTCCTCGATGCGTTGGACTAATTTAAGTGAGCTGGCGTGGGTATCGGAACGATGGGGCTGGAGCTGAGCTGATCGCTGCGCAGCAGTTCTCTGGCATCAGCAAGTTTCAGGGAAATTTCTAGGAAAAAGATAAAATAAAACATAAACCGAAAAAAATAATTTCTCGGCATCCTTGAAAGTTGATGGTCGCTATTGCGCAGTGCGTGAGTCTGTTCCAACATTGAACCCAAACTCCACCCTGTTCCGCACAGTGCCAGCAATTCGAGCTGATGCCTGCGAAGTAAACGGAATCCATCATCAGGAACCCCTGTCCATTATTGATCCATCACTCGATCATTGATCCATCATTCATCTTGTCCAACGGCAGCGCAGCGGGTACCTCGGAACTTGTACACTACATTGCGCAAAGATCCCAGTGTGGGGGTGCGTTGTCTCTTTCTCTGGTTCCGGCTAGTTTTACTTGGTCCTCGCACAGGACGGATAGCCGATGGCAATTTCGAAAGGTCGTTCTCAGGTCAGATAAGCGAACACGGCTGGCGATCGGATCGTTCAGCTAGTGCATGCGGCTGATCCTTGAACCGATGTGCTTGTTTACATGTATGTACCAAGCAGCGCTCCTCGGCAAAGGATGATGATCCTCGCATGGCCGCAGGCCCAGGATAAGTAGCATCAACAACATCATGTTCGATTCCAAATCCATGAAGTTGTATTACCCGGACGTGGCGTGGAATATGTACTCGCCAGTAACCACGCATTGAAAGCGACTTTGTACTTCGTAAGGCGAAGGAGAAATTGTACGAGGTACAGATTTGTCTACGAGGACGGATAGCGACCTTTATGATATTGTTCGAAAGGCAGCGACCTGTAGGAGACACGAAACATAATGCAACGGTTGCCGTGTTTTCCAGGATCCGAACGAAGACATTGGGGTTGGATCGAGATCGATCCGTGCAGGACCGCCTGCCTTCGTAATACATTACGGCATTCTTACCCATGGCGAAGCCGTTGGCACATCATCAATATTAAAACTTTAAAAGCAGCTTAGCTCCCGGCAAGCCGACCTTGAATGTGAGGAAACCCAATGAAAAGGATTGCTTCAGTGCTTTTTTTTTTTTTTTTTTTTTTTTTTTTTTTTGGGTGTTGTCTCCGGGGAGGGGAAACTCTACGCTGCGAAGTACACTACTTCGTACTACTATAGACTCCTAGTACACAGGTACACGACATGATGTACCCCCCCTCCTGCACTTCCATCCGGGCTGAACGTGCTAGACTAAGTTGGTGTGGCAGCGTGCGTTCGACCACTAGCGTAACGAGATGCCCACTTCGCCGTTGACTGATTTGATGGATCTTAGCTACTCGTACATTATAGCCGTTGATCGTTGATCAGGTCAGTGCACCAACTAAAGTAGTGTACATGGAGATACAGGACGACATGGGCGGTTTTAGTGCTGGAGATAATACTACGGTGCCTTTGCACAGTCCATACAAGTACATGAACTTGAAACGAACCGTTCTCGCTTATCTCCGAGATCTGGACCTGCAAAACGTGAACAAAAAAATGACTTGTCAATTCCACAAAGTAAGAATAGTTTGGAGGGGACGCGGCGCGGACGCCGGGAAGCCAAACTCCATGGTGCGGATTGGGCGAGCACTCGCCATCGTCTACTTTATTCCAAGGTACAAAGGTAGAGAGTGCAATCGTATCAAAGGCAGGTTCATTGTTGCCAACTTCAATGTTGCATTTCATAATCTTCCAGTCAGCAAAATGGATTGTCGGCCCTCCTCATAGGTCACCAAATAGCCGCACTCGGAAAAACCAGCTGGCCAGTAACTCAAGGTACGTGAACTGAGGCAATGATTAAATTACTTCGTACATAGTACTTTGCACACTGCAGCAGAGCCAATGCACCGTGCGACTCGTCGCGGAAGTAAACTGTACTAAACCCTGAGGTATCGCCGCAGGTCGGGCCACCCACCAGGGATAGGCCCGGGTCCGGGTTGACAGCCCGAGCTATCCTGTAATAAGTGTACATGCAATGCAGCGGGCTTTCGCCACTGCTCACTCGACTCGAGCACTGAATGACAGGAGGAGCAGTGTCAGCCCTCAGAACATCACGAAAGGAGCGCTCATCCGGCGCACCGCTCTTCCCGTGTTCCCCGGTGATTCACCCATTGCCCATCTGGTATACAGCAGTCCGCACGTTCCTCGTCATTCCTGGATCCTTCCTGGAGCTCGAGGGTCCGCATTCGGTGATGGGCAATGGCTCCCGCGGCTCAGGGCGGTCGGGTTGCTGCAAGATTCCAGCACGGATTGGACGGCGACAGAGTAGGGGCAAAGTGATAACCCTCAAGCAAACATATGCCCTTCTTCCCCGTAGCGACCATCTGAGATATGGGTCCATCGATTTTACCGGCATATCAATGATGCCATTGCCATTTTAGAGTTCTTCGTGTTCGGTATTGTGCCCTCGTTTGAGTTACTAGTTTTGGGAGGTGCTGGTAGAACGGTGTGGATGCCTGGGAGTTGCTCGACGAGGGAAATTGCTGAAGCGCGAAGCCGAGGCTCCTCCCAGCCTTGGATCGGCGGGAGTTGCGGACCGGCTTCGGGTTTTAGTCGCGGACTTTCCGTCCGAGATGAGAGGCTTCTCGAGAAGCCATTATCGGGAAGCATCGACGAATACGGAGGTGAGCTTATAGCATCACTTTCTGGTGAATTTGTGCTCTTGGGCGATGGCGCGGTCATGTAATCGTATTGCGGGGTGGTATCTCGTACGGGTGCTGGACCAAGGAAAGGGTTAACGTCCGCAGACGATGACGACGATTCTGATCGTAAGCTGCCGTGCGTTCTGTGCGAGGGGGGTGAATGGTGATATCCTTGATCTGGAAGAGCGGGTGGGCTGCGATATCGCGTTGTGTAGGCAGCCTTTAACTGTTCGTGACGGCTCAGTTTGTTTTGCTTCCCATTCCACCAATTCTTGACTGTATTATCACTTCTCCCAGGTAGCCTGCGCGCAATTTCCGCCCATCGATGGCCAATCTGACTGACAAGCTTCTCGATGATTTCCGCCTCCTCCGGTCGGATGGGGCTGTGATCAAGTGTCGGCTTCAAATTTTGGTGGTATCTTTCTCTGCACTGCTTGGCTGAGCGAGTGCCGAGGGAATGGGCAATAACAACCCAATTGGAAGGTCCATGGGCTTCGACGAGCTTCAGTAGCATTTGGTCCTCCTGGCTGGACCAGGGGCCTCTCCGCAGAGTGGGCTGCGAGCCGCTTGCCATCTCGTGGCTGAAGCTAGATTCTCTATTTGACACCGACGATCGAGGTGGTCTATATGCCTTTGCCGTCATCGCCTCCAGGCCGATACTCGTGTAAAAATGCAGACCCGAACTGGGGCCTGTAGTCGTTCGGGCACGTACTATCCTCCGTTCACGACCAGCTCCCCGAGGTAAGCCGGCCCACCAAGACCACCCAAGCTTTCGGGCCTGGATCCAGAGTTGCTCTGCCGAGCTTGTAGCTTGTCAAGCGGAGAAGACAGTAAAGGGTATCGATGAGGGGGGAGAAAGAGAGAAAGATTTAACCTGAATCGAAGGATTTCAAAGGATGGCGAACTCGATCGTAGATAAAAGAGCACCGGTGAGTGCCTGCCGAAACACTATTGTAAGGTATGGATAACCCACAGCACCAGAGGGATCAGGGCTGGAAAGAGAAATCTTTAGATGGGAACCTGGCAGGTGAGAATAGGTCGCACGATGTTTCTTCTGAACAAATTAGAAATTAGAAAGAGGGTTCGATGGATAGCGGTGCAGTCCGTCGCGAGCTGTTGGTAAAGAAGAGAGCTCTGGCACAATAGGGTCGCCGAGGGAAGGCGTGGTGCTCTAATATGCACATCATTCATCAACCCGAGGCTTTACAGGATGCGCGGCCTCAGAAACTAAAGGGCATGGGTCGGGTTACTAAGGGTTAATCAGAAATACATCAACTAAATTCCTCCTCCATGATGGCATTGTGGCCCTGGCCCCAACAGCCTCTACTTGGTGGAGAGTGTATACGAAGTGGTGTTGGAGAACCGCCTCCATGCACCAGCTTTCCCGCTTTTCTCGCTCCTAGACCCCATCAGGGATCGGGGCAATCCAACGGCGAATTCCGTGAACCAGGGTCTGGGCACAGTCCCTAGCCGCAGCCCGACAATGTGGTAGTGTCCGACGCCGTTTAAACAGGATCGGGTGGCAGGGGGGCCGCCAGTGGGGAGTGGAGGAAGTAATAATATTTGATAGGACTAAACCGGGACCGCGGAACCTAGTGTAGATGTGCCCTTCAGGGCTGTCTGCCCCTAGTTGAGACCCGCCCATTGCGTCTTGCGTTTCTGTACTTCTATGTACTCAGAGGTATCCGTACCAGTATACTGGAGTGAGAAAAGAACCCCAAAGCCTTGTTTTAAGACTTCCCCGCTCGCCACCATACACGATCCTACTTGGTAGAACTTGTATCGATGGAACTACTTCGTAGCCAGTGGGAACTCCCCGAAGCGCCCTCACCATTTTGGCACGGTTCACGTCCGAGTGGTCGGCGGCGGGGCAGAGGGAGCTGAAAACGAGGTCCATGCTGGCGGATCTTGGTTCGGGGCCATGCAATGATCATGGCATCATAACAACACACCGGTACCACCTGCCTGCACTTGACTCTGTCAAGTCACGGAGGATGATCCCATCGGCCCTCTATCGCAGAGTAGGAGTCAGTTTAGGGTGCCAGTACGTAAGAAGAGACGCAACCTCAATTGATTCGAATAATAACAACAAACCATCAATGAATTGATAATATTGGAAGTTGGAGGCGGACAGTTCACAGTGCGTGGTTTAGTGGACCCACTGTAAATTCTCGGCTGAAAACATGGGTTAAGGGCTGCAAGTTATCTGCATGGCAGGACTAGCCTGGCTGTCTCGAGTAACCTTATGTACTTCGTACTTATACTTGGACTGTCGTGTACAGCACGAACGAAGTACTATACGCGGTGCGAGGTTGAAAATGGTCCTCGGCGAGAATTGCGTTTCTAAGAGCCAAAGAACGAACTTGTCGAAGTCATGATCTTTTTAAATATTTTAAAGTAAAATAATTTATATTATATATAATATTATAAAATAATATTTAATAAATAATATATATTTTTAAAAATATTATTTATTATTTTATTAAATTTTATTTACCAATTAAATAATATCTTAATTTATTAAAATAATTAAAAAATTTAAATAAAATAATATATATTAATTTTAATTATAAATTTATTAATTAAATAATAAATATAATTAATTTAATTATTTTAATAATTAATAAATATAATAAATTATTTATTATAAAAATTTATATATTATTAATAATAAAATTTAAAATATTAAAAAAAATTAGTTTATTTTAATAAGTCTATAACTATTTCGATTTTTAAGTACTTATTATCTATAAGGTGCACGCACGTCTTCATCGAGTAATGTTAAGCTTTTAATAGTAGTGCTTTCTGTAGTGTTCGCAATCTTCAAGACTAGAGAGCTCTGACCGAATCTGAGCAGTGAAGTTTTTTTTCCTGCTTGTTAAACACGTTCAATTTGCCTTGTCATATAAAACCGGCCGCTTACAAGTCTACGTCGGGCACGATCTTCCTTTGCTGTTCCTCTTACGAGACCTCTTTTTCTTTTCATTCTCTCCTCCTTTTCTTGTCTCTTTTCAACTTCGTTTACAGCATTTTATCAGAGGAGTTTGAAAGCTTTGTACGATTAATAGTCACTCGGGTTAAAAGAGATTCAGTTAGAGGAGGCGCATCGAAGCGCGACCGTGCCACACAGGTCGAGTCTAAATTCCTGTGGCACCGAGTTCAGGATGTGGAGATTTCGTGGACAAGACGAGCCAGCATCATGTAAAGCATTGTCCAAAGTCCTGTGTAGTATCGAATAAAGGCTTGAGATCCGACCCGCTACAGATAGATGTCACCGGCTTCACCCGACACCCATCTCCGCCAGGCTTCTTCATATGCGCGCTCCAGTTGCACTACCCATCTCCTGGTGTTAAAAAGTGGACATGTCCATCGGTGCTGGTAAAGGACCTGCCGAATCTCAGCTAATCTTCCGTGCCCAATGCCATGACCGTCGGTGCTCATTCTATAGGTCAGCCCTCTTGCAAGTGTGATTGCCTTCTTCTCATAATCTTCGTCGCTGTCTGCGATTAGCTCACGTGCTATCTGCGCACCGTCGTCCGTCTTAGGCAGAGCGCCCCTGAGGATGGATGCAGCCATACGCGAGCACATCTTGTAAGGATATCGGGGCAGCGTAAGCAAGGGCGTACTAGACCATAGAATATCGGCAGCTGTCGTGTGGGCGTTACATTCAGGGGTATCAAGGAATAAGTCGCAGACCCGAGCGCGAGAAATGTGCTGATCTTTAGGGGCAACATCGGTAAAGACGATCCGACTCGCAACATGCGCACCTGCCCATGCTGTTGCCGTCCGCCTCAAGTGGCTCTCGCCGAGCTCAGGGAATCTAAGGAGCCAGAGAATTGCCCTTGGCACATGGGACAAGATTCTGAGCCATGACCGGAATGTGGTTGGGTCCACCTATCTAGAACGTGAGGATAGGAACACGATAACCACTTGGTTAGGGTACAACATCACCTACCTTATAAAGCTGATTGAAATTTCCGAGGATAATGGCATCATCGGGTAGGCTGGGAAATAACATCTGTCGCATTTTCCACCTTCGGCGCTGTTCGTCTTCCCATGTCATTGCTCTGGAATGGGTGTCGGAGGACTGTGCATGATCACAGCAGAAGAAGGTGTCCTTGCAGAAAATAATGTTTTCAGAATAGACCCAATTGCCGCCCTCATCCTCGTTGTGGTCTCGGAAGATGTCTACTGGGTCTCTATTACTACGCCAAGGCCTCAGAGTTTCCAGAGGTATGGCGGTCTCATCCGCGAGGATGTAATCGCACCATTCGGCCCCGAGGGTTCCAGCGAAGCCCATGAATGACATCTGTATTGGTGCCGGACGTGCAGCGAAGATTTCGTTTCGAGCTCCTCTGGTGTACCCATTCAGATTGACTAGTATGTGAACACCATCTTGGACGATTTGTTGAACGAGTTTATCAGCGGACCAGCCGTTTACGTCGCGAAATACGGGAGCCTCGCGCTCAATCTTTTGCCTGTGGATGGAATTGTCGCTTGGCGTGCTGGCGTAACAGAATGCCTTCACCCTCGAACGGTTATGCAAGCCGAATACTGATTGCATCCTAAAAGAACTAGATTAGCAAGGATCTAACTGGGCATTTAAGCTGCCTAGAGGAGACCGTATGGCCAGAAGAGCTCCTACAGATGCGCTAGGGGGTGATTGTTGAAGTCCGACGAGACGTAGCCAACATTAAGGTGTGGATTTGGGGGACATGGAGGCGGATAAACTGAGGTCGGTATCCAGGAAGACCTCAGCGTGGAGCAGGATATCCTTATTGCATTCCGCTGAGAAATCATGCGAATCTCTCTTGCCGTCAAGGGGCATGTGAAAGTATGAAAAGGTAATACAGTTGGTGCGGCCGGAACAGTTAATGTGGACGGGAGACGAGGCCGGGGGTAACCAGCGGGAGACTCGGATCCGAGTATATGTCTGTCATGATACCAGAGCCATAGCATGGATCGCGTGATTCGTTCAATGAGTCGGACCAACCGCGTGCCTTCCCAGGGGTTTCTTGACCATTTCCGCAGCTCGGAGCGAACTTCAAACGTTAGGCCCTCAGCATCGCGCGTGAGGACGTTCATTTGTGTCTCAATCATGGAAATGATGTCATCCTGAATGACCCCACAGCCCCAGCTAGCAGAGTCGTCTAGTTGTCGCCGGACAATCGACACAACCCGATTCGTAAGGCCGGTTCCTTGTCCCTGGTCAAGGGCATCATGAAGCATGCCCTCTTCATCGACATGCCAACGATCATACTTCCCCCCAACCAGGAGCACACCGCCACGGCCTCTCCAGTCGCATACGGAATTAAGTGCCGAAGCGAGACCACACACAGCTTCAGCAAAGTCGGGATTGGCCCCAACTGCACGCTTGTAGTACATGATGGCGTCGCCTATTCTCCCTCGATCTTTAACTGCATTGGCGAGATTGGTTAGGGCGATATCAAAGGTGCCATCGCAGGCCACCGCTTGCTCATACATCTGAATGGCAAGATCAAGCTGACCGATGTCCTTGAGCAGGCTCCCAAGATTCGTGTGTAGGTGAACATGCTTAGGGTCGATGCCCAGTCCGTAATTGTAGTAAGCCAATGCAAGCGACAGTCCGCTCCCTGGCACAATTCCAGGTATGTGAGGGTGGTGGTGAGCCTCGAAAACTTCGCGCGGGTAAGGGCTGGACGCTTGTTGAACACTTGCCAAAAGAATTCCAACATTATTGGCCGTGGACGGACTTTCTTGCAGGGACAATGACAAGTAGTAGAGTGCAAGGATATCCCCGACACCGAAAACATGTTGGATGCGCCCAATAGAAGATGTCCCAGTGGACATAGCATCCTGAAAAATCTTCGCCAAGGAGAGAAGTGAGTTGCTGGTGGTTTGAATGGCGGCCTTTCTGGGACTGCCCTCAGGTACGTAGCGAAGCCCAGGTAGCTCGCCGGATGCTGGGAATACCAATTGCGCAGTGTGGCGAGCTCGGTGAGGGGGAAGGAGCAAGGGAGTGCCATCGAGAGTCCCCGTTGTCAACTCCCCGGACTTAAGGGCGTCCGGCGTTAGAACGTATTGGATTTTCCGCACGAGATGATTGATACAGCTTATCCTCCGATCCGTGCTGATGAGGACGGCTTCTTCAAATGCCTCGGCCGCCCCCCCAACATCCTTGAGGCTGTAAAGCATTGTACCCTTTGCGTGAATGAGGGCGAGCATTCTACCGTTGTCACTGCCAGGGATTGAATAACCACTTGAGCCGAATCCGCCAGACTCATGGCAACAAATCCCGGGAGATAATAGTGCTTCACTAGTCCATCCCGAGAACTCCGTGTTCGGCACATCCGGAAACTCGAAGTGCCCGTCCATGACGGAGAGCCCATTCGAGGACGCAGGTCGGGGAATAACGAGCGCCTGTTGGATGTACTGGATGATATCAACAGCTTCCTTGCTCCTTCTTTTATACAGAAGGCCTACCAAGTGCTCAACGGCTTCTAGGCACTGAGGCCGAATGCGAATTACCGCTAGCCAATACTTTTCTGCCTCGGCCTGCCTGTTGAGACTGTAAAGGCTAGCCGCCATGTTCAGCAGAGCCTCAATATTGCTGGCTTGTGTTAGATGATGAGATATATATCGACAACCCTTGGGGAATGGCGAAAGTACCTGGGGTCTATTTTAATAACTCTAGAGAACCACTCCAAAGCACGCCCATAATCCTCGATCCCGTAATGCAAGCAACCTCCGAGAAGGATGCCATCAACCCACGACCAGTTGCTCTGCTCGCATAGATGGTGGAGCATCTCCACGCATCCCCGAGCAGCTGAGGTCAATGACTGAGTTTCTTGTCCAGCCATCGGATGGGGTATGCTCCCAGGATGCTGTGGAGTAGCTAGCGGGGTATTTGGTGTTAGATTCGGGAGGAGAGGGTGACCGCGTGGTTTCTCATAAAGCAACGAGCCGTAGTTCTCCGCATGCGTTGAATGCACGCCTGGTGCTGTTCTCTTCATAAAGGGGGAGGGTTGATGGTGGCCTGATAAATGGTGTACTCCTCCGGAGCTAGGGAGACTTGGGGGCAGGTGTGGATGAACGAAACCTCTCGGCAGACTACCGCTACGATTGGAGGGCTTTCCAAAATGACTGTATCGACTATTTTGATGTGAGGCGACCTCCAAATATACAGCGTGGGCCTGCATCAGGACTTTCTGTTGGAATCGATGCTGGTTAGATCTTGGAGGTTCTTTATACTGCATGCCGCCTGCCGAGGCCTCTAAAGAAAGGGACGCGAGCTTCAGGTGAGTCGATCGGAAAGGGACATTGTTAGAGTGGTGAAAATTAGATCCTGTGTGCTCACACGTCGACACAGATGATCTCTGAGCATGGCTCTGTAGAGTGGCGTGAAGAGATATGTTCCTGGACTGGCCTTCATAGGGCCGAGGGTCGTTCACAGGGATGGGACAGTTCGCCCCTCCAAGCAGTGCCCCCTCGAGCGAGAGAGTTTGAGCCATCGTAGTCGTATTTGATGGTGAAATATGCTGATACTCCCGTGGGGGAAGGGCAGGTTGTGGTACATAGCCTGCCTGCGGTATATGGGCTGTCTTCTGACCATAGACAAGACCTTGCTGGCCTTCCAACCGGAAATGATGGAGCACCGGTATTGGCGCATCCCTTGTAGGCCGGCAATCTAGTTTCGCCGTGTTTTCGATCTCGGTTATGGTGGCTGGCCAAGGAGAAATTCGGGGCACTATCACTTGCTTGAATGGCGGCTGCCCTGGAATCATCCGCGCTGGAGATCCATCGTAGCCGTCGTCTATAGTGCCCTTAGGTGTTTTCCGCCGGAGCTGATGTTCTGGCAGTTCGACTCTACCCTCCAAAGTCCCAGGTATGGACCAGCGTTTCGAATCACCAATCCTGTGATTCGAAACCTGGGTGGCTTCAGGTCTGTGAACAGATCGCCGTAGCGACGGCCGTGTCTCTGGCGGAAGGGGAATATGCCCGTGAATCCCAAATGCAGACGGGTCCGGTCTCCCGATGCTTTGTGGGAAGGGCGCGGGCGGGGCCTCTAGGCTTTGGTGAATTATTCGAGGTTGCATTGCTGCGAATAACGAAATACTTGAAAAGGAAGACCGAATCAGGGCCGATCATATATCAACGAAGCGATCCTGTCATCGCCCACTATGGAGAGCATGGCCGATGTAGAATCGTCCAGGCATTGGGGGCTATTGGAGATTTCACAGGAGTTGCCCTAGTCAAGAGCAAAAACAGGATAAAGACGGAGGCTAGAGTAGACCTTCTCGTTCCTGACTATCCCGTAGTATTCATCGGTCCTTTCGTGAGGTTGGTACAACGATAAGTTCGTAATCGAGGAGATCAATATCAAGGCTGAGAGGGGGTTTATCCGCGAGGTTGTCAGCAGCAGGATTGCTGAGTGTTTGGTGCACGCGTGGGTATTCGTGTCTAAGGTACTTCGTAATTAAACTCCAATCAGAATAACAGTTGCCGATTACAGTGTTGTGTAGGTACTTGGCATAATTGAAGAGTTCAAATATTGCGCTCTTTGGGCGATTTCTATGTCGGATCAAGTTGCCCCGCAGCCGCACGAGCACACGGTCACAACCCAGGGAAATTGTACCAGCAGCCGACAAATCATTCCCATTGCAGCATTGATACGAAAGACGCTTCACAATGACGGACTAGTGTACTTCTTAACGCCAGGACATATTTCTTTCTTTTTGTTTTTCACACTCATGCCCAGCAACGAGGAGACGAAGAGGACCGGCGGTAGGGATCAGAGAGTAAACAAGATCACCTCTCGCCAGTTTGGTTTAGAGGAACAACCAGGCTGCTCGCCCAAGTTGGATGAAAGTTGCCAGATGGAACCCGTGTGATAAGAGACTGGATGTTGGCTTATCGCCTGTAGCCCACGGATATGGACCCCATAACCCACGGGCCGTACACAGTAGTGTACAAGGGTATAGGGTGAGTAAAGGGCCTGTCCTACTGGTTTCTCTCCCCTATTACCAAAATTGAAATAGACCATTGTCTGCGGCGTATTCCAGAGTGTAGGTAAGGGTGCAGTCCGATCCGATAACACACCAAAGGAACCCGAACCATGATTCAAGTCCATGACCCTTATTGTAATTGATCTCGAAAATAATTGTTTTTAAGCCTGTCCTCAAACTCCAGACCACATCAAATCTAAAATGTGTGTTTTGATAGACTACTCGTCGGGAACTAAACGACTTATTAGATTTGGCTTGTTCTAGAATCGTGGAGAAAAGACGGGAGGACTCACTGTCTATCTCGCCTGCCTCGATGGCATCGCTGACAGCCTTAGGGCTCTTTCCATCCACCTGGCATCCGACACTGAACGCCGTGCCAAGGATCTCCTTTACCGTTCCCTTAAGCTCCTTCGAGAAAGATTTATGCCGCATTGTGCGCGCGATCTCAATTATCTCATCGAGGCTGACTGACTTGTTGTGCTTAATGTTCTTTTCCTTCTTGCGGTCGCGGGGGGGTTCCTTGAGCGCTCGGATGATCAACGAGGAGGCAGTGGGAACGACGGAAACTTGTGCTTGGCGGTTTTGGATCGTAAGTTTCACGGTGACACGTAGACCTTTCTATAGGAGGACATGTCCGATTAGTTCGAGTATCAAGGCTGGAAATCAAAAGCCGCATCTCAACCGGCTCGCAAGTTAAGGCCATACCCAATCCCCGGTCGCTTTGGCGATATCTTCACCGATCTTCTTAGGCGACAAACCGAGAGGTCCGATTTTAGGTGCTAGGGCAGAAGAGGCGCCTACCTCACCTCCAGTCGCGAGGAGGTAGCTGGAAAGCTGGTCAGTAGGGAACACAATTCAAATGACTGGTTTTTGACGGACATGACCTTGACCTCATTGGGATCGAACTTGGGAGCTAGATAGTCGTGATGTGAGCGATCTGGTCTATAATGTTAAAACAACAATTCGAGGCAATAACTTACGCATTTTCTCTGATTTCCCTGGCTCTCTTCTTGGGTTCGATCGAAAGAGAAGTGTGGATGTATTTTCAGAAATGTGCGGGATGATGTGTTTGCACCAACCGTGGAAAAAAAGCCCTACCTTAACAGGTTCTTTTCTAGGTGGGGGTGCGAAAAGAAAGGTAGCCAATGAGAGGGCAGTAATTGCTTATTCATCAAGGGAGGAGCGGGCTTGGTTTTCGAGTGTACGAAGTACATTGTAGTCTGAAAAGTGTGGCATTGCGAGAGAGAGCCATCCTGACCCAACCAATCAATGCTTACAAGTGCAGGGAAAAGGTGTCAGGAGCTGCACGTTCAATCTTAACGAACTCATTTACTTGAGATTGGTATTCAGCATTGCCTCTAGCTGTGGAATACTTCGACGAAGGCCCCGAGGTCCTGGTCACGGTCGCGGTGCCCATATCCCAGTCCCAGTCCCAGTCCCAGTTTCAACCGACCTCCTAGTTAGTGCCACTGACAGCAAGCCTTCACGGTTCGTTAGCTACGGACTTAACAGATCAACGGCGCGGGCAACTTACTTCATCAAATGCTCCATGAATGTCTGGAGGGATACATCATCTGTGAAAATGGTCTGCGCATTCTGTGCACCGACTCCACCATAAGCTCCCGACGTATGTGTCGTCGAGGGGTTGAGTTTTGAGAGCAAAAACCTCGCTTGGGACCCGCCGGCGTCACACACAATAAACCGGGGCAGGGGAAATCGATCCGTAATAAGGTCCTAACTAATGTTAGTTACGCTGGTCAATGCTTTGTATGATAGGAACTTTACGCACCCGAGCGTCCTCCTTCGGCTGCTCTAACAAGGCGGCGAAGTTCTCATAACCCTCTTGGTCCTGATACCCAGCCTTGCGCCATTCTGCGATCGTTTCTCCATGGAAAATTAGGATGTGGAAGAAGGTATCCAGGAGGAGAATATGCGTTGGTTGGATGGATGTCGAATCGAGAAGGACAGGGCGGCCTCCGTCTTGCTCGAAGGTATATGAGTCCAAGGTTGGTTGAATCATGACAAGCGAGTTATTGACATCCTCATGGTTCAGGACATGTCTATAAAATGCCGTCTCATCGGGGGAATTGTTAAACACTTGCAGGAATTGACTCCGACGTAGGTGGAACATAAACTGGGGGTAGAGAGTGAAATTTTTCTCAAGTCGGAAGGAAGTTGGGTCATCCTTTCGATAATCAGCAAATCGTGAACACAGCCGTATCAGCATCCTGTCGACCCATCGAAGTACGTCTGGCCCGTCGTCCACTTCGGCTTTGAAGACAGCTATCCGAGACATCAACACAGCAGCCGCTTCCTGATCGAAAGAGTGCGCAATGGCAGGGTCGCCAGCTGGGCCACTGAGTTTCCTGCTTATGGTGGTGACTCGTAAGTGGAATTGCCCAGAAGAATGCTGGTAATAGGTGAGGAATTGAATCATCGCCGCCTGCTGCGCTTGCTGGTGGCCGGCAGGGCCTTGGTTCGCAACTTCGAAGTACACGCCATAGCTTGAACTAGGGTCAATGCCGCACATCTTCCATGCACAGGTGTTTCCGATGCCGCATTCCGTTTCACCCACAGATGATGACTTCTTATTAAGGGAGACAGCGTGCCCTATAAGGCCTGTCACTTTGAGCTCTTTCGTGGTTAGGACCTCGAGGACCGCGTTGAATCCCATGAGAAGGTTCTCATCGCCGTCCTTCTCGAAAACACGAACGAACGACTGCTTAAACATGGAGGATGTAAAGCTGTCAGTGAGGATCATATGGCCCCCGGTGGAGTTGCACAATCCCTTCATTTCGAGCAAGCCAACTTGGTCAAGGCACCCGGCGAAGATGTCAATAATGTGCCCGTTATGTGCCGTCCGCTTCGCGAGATTATCATAGAACTTGTCCACAGGTTAGTGGTCTATCGCAGGCACGGTGCCAGTCTAGACGTTACCTTGAGTGCCTTCTTGTAATATTTTACGTTATCGCGATCAATATCGTGATGCGAGCGGATTGGCTCTCTGAGCTCGGGGCCAACAACCATCCCAGGGCCTTCGGTGGCAGGCCCGCCGGCGAAAAGCATTATCCGTCCACCTGCATTTTGAAATGAAGATTCTAGAAGACCAACAGCGACACTGAGAGCCACACCTGTGCATCTGAGGCTTCTTCGATCTCCAGCAACAGGCCAGGGGTCCTTTTGCAGTTGCTCGAGGGCCTTCGTGAGCTGGAATTCGCACTGTTGGACAGGTAGAAGAAACCTGGACGCAGGCCCTGTCGGCATCAACGGACGGCCTTGTTGCTGCTGTTGCGGGATGCCTGGGCGCAAGGTAGGGGAGAGGAGACCCAGCATCTCTTGAACTTGTTTCGCAGGGTAGTCTTTGCTGCCGCGAAACACATATGACTTAGCGCATTCCGTATAGCCGATTTCGTGCACTTGAGTCTAGTAGCAGAGTTAGTTCATGAGCAGTATCAAGACAGTTGGGAAGTGCCATACCATAGTGCCGAAGGTGATCAATCCAACGAGGGCGTTCTCCGGCAAGAGACTAAGGCTCATCACCAAAGACTCCTTGAGTGCCACCAGGCTATCCTCTTCTTGGCAAGTATCAACGACATAGAGAAAGATTGGAGGTGCCGGCGCAGGTCTTGAAAGCCGATATTCAATGGTTGTGTTCGAATTGTGTAGTTCGGGTGGGATTGCATTTGCAGTAATGTCCTTGTAATGGGGCGGCAGAGGATTTCTCGAGAGGCAAAAAGGGCAGATCCAAAGTCGCGCGCGAACATCGACTTGGCTTCAACGAAGTTAGTTAGCAGAAGCAGATACATAATCTCCGTCGAATCACTCACCAGAACGGGTTCAAAATTGCGCGGCATGGTTGTTTGCAGGTCACCGGTTCGAACTGGAGGAGTGGTGTGTCCGGTTTTTCCTTCAACGGCGTATAGAGGGCACCAATAGGAACCACAAGACGAGATGCCTCCTTTTACAATTAATTAGTTAGTCGGCTGCTATGAAGAAAAGGAACAAGAGAGAGCATACCATCCGAGAACTAGGGAAGACATTCCAACTGAGCCGGACACCATCCCGGTCCTCCACTTCGCTCCATTGTTCTTTCAGCGCTTCGAAATCCATAGAGGGGGCACTAGATATAATTGCAGAGGTGAACGGTACTTTGGATGTTAGGTGGGAAAGGGTAATGCGGTGAGGTCGTAAAGTCCGAGGTTGGTGTTTTATGGCGGACAGAGCCTAGCTTGATATGTATGATACGCTCTCTCTCTGGTATTTGCTAAAGGCCAAGTTGCTCATGCCAAAGGTACAGCTCATGAAGGTTGGGGCTTATTAAGCACCGCACCCCACTATGGAAGCCTAAGAGCAGCGAAAGAGCTTGGGGGGGGGAAGGTTTCTGGTTATATTTCGTACATTATTTTTTTTGCATCCCCGCTTGGTATGTATTTATCAATAAACAGATCGCAAAACCCATCCCCGACAATCATTCAACCTTCTCATTTCCAATCTCGACCGCAATACGTTCAATACCTTAGCGAATATGTCGTTCGGAGGCCACGCCCCGACGATTATCGTCCTCAAAGAAGGTTGCTACCCCTCCAACCCCCCTTTCCTCGTCAAAGGTTGCTAGCTAACAGGTGCTCACCACTTTCCAGGGACTGACTCCTCCCAAGGCAAAGGGCAGATTTTGTCAAATATAAATGCCTGTGCAGCCGTCCAAGCAACAATAAAACCAACCCTCGGGCCGTATGGTGGAGACCTTCTAATGGTGGATGAAAATGGCAAGCAAACCATCACCAATGATGGTGCCACAGTGATGAAGGTTTGTAGTGACGCAAGAAACCAGCTCAGGATCAACAGGTGTCGTGTACTAAGCAATTATCTACACTCTAGATGCTAGACATTGTTCACCCGGCCGCCCGAATCCTCATCGACATCGCTCGCTCCCAGGATGCGGAGGTTGGCGATGGAACAACATCGGTAGTGGTTTTGGCCGGTGAGATCCTGAAAGAAATGAAGGAACATGTCGAGCAAAACGTCAGCTCCCGGCTCATCACTAAAGCCATACGAAGAACGTCCGCCCTCGCCGTCAATAAAATCAAAGAGATCGCCGTGCCGACCAGTGGTGCCAACAAGAAGGAGACACTAGCAAAGCTTGCAGCTACCGCCATGACTAGTAAACTTATCAAACGCAACTCCCATTTTTTTACGAAGAGTATATCTCCCTCGAAGGAAATAGCCCTGGCAAGAAAAAAATACTAACCAGATAACTAGTGGTGGTTGAGGCAATACTGTCACTCGATCAAGACGACCTGAATGAAAAACTAATCGGCATAAAGAAGATACCCGGCGGTTCACTCACAGACTCTCAATTTGTCAATGGGGTTGCCTTCAAGAAGACTTTCTCCTATGCCGGCTTCGAGCAACAGCCCAAGTCCTTCAAGAAGCCTAAGATCGTGTGTCTCAATGTCGAGCTGGAGCTCAAGGCGGAGAAGGACAATGCCGAGGTTAGGGTCGAACAAATTTCTGAATATCAAGCCATTGTCGATGCGGAATGGCAGATTATTTTTAAGAAACTTGAGGCACTTTATAAAACAGGGGCCAAGGTCGTCCTCAGTAAGCTGCCAATCGGTGACCTGGCCACTCAGTACTTCGCCGACCGCGATATTTTCTGTGCCGGTCGAGTTGCTTCTGAGGATATGGAACGCATCGTGGAGGCAACGGGTGCGACAGTTCAGTCAACCTGCTCAGATATTCTGCCTGAGCACCTGGGAACATGTGGTTTCTTTGAGGAACGCCAGATTGGCGGTGAGCGCTTCAACTTCTTCGAGGACTGTCCTGAAGCCAAGACCTGCACTCTTGTCCTCCGAGGTGGAGCCGAGCAGTTCATAGCTGAAGTGGAACGCTCCCTTCACGATGCGATCATGATCGTTAAACGAGCAATTCAAAATAAGTACATCGTCGCAGGGGGTGGCGCCGTCGAGATGGAGATATCCGCGTACCTACACCAATTTGCCGACAACAAGATCCTGGATAAACAACAACCAATCATCAAGTCTTTTGCGAAGGCCCTTGAAGTCATTCCCCGCCAACTCTGCGACAATGCCGGTTTTGATGCGACAGATATCCTTAACAAGCTCCGTGTTGAGCATGCTCGTGGAAACATCTGGGCGGGCGTCGACTTCGACAATGAAGGTGTCGCTGATATGATGACGAAGTTTGTCTGGGAGCCCGCGCTTGTGAAGATTAATGCTATTCAGGCGGCGACGGAAGCGGCATGCCTTATCCTTAGCGTGGATGAGACCATTCGGAATGAGGAGAGCCAGGCGCCACAAGGACCACCAAAGGCATTACCACCAGGCGCCGCACAGAGGGCGTTAAGAAGTAGAGGTCGAGGAATGCCACGACGGTGAGATCTGTTATTAGTAAATTAAATTTCAATACAAGGCAGCCTTCTTTGAAGAGCTCACGATCCCAGGACACAATTCAACCCATATTATGTAGCTATCTCCGACTGTTGTAAAGGCGAAGTATACACTGCTCATCGCAACGACATCTCCGTCAACCCTACCAAGATACCTTGACTACAGCTTAATGTTTATTAAAGCATATCACATCGGGTTTACTGGCTATGATTGGCACACTCTTGACGCTTTTGCACTATCCTGACGACAAGTGATCAAATGGATCAGTTGCAAACGGGTAGCATTGGATGAATCGTCTCGGTCCCTATGGCGGCGAAGAAGGTAACAGTCGGCGCACCTTCTAGATGTAGAAGTCAACAGACATCCTTAAAAATACCCCTCTTCGCAGTCTTCTCTCTTCTCAACAAAACATCAACACCACCACCGACACCATCAACAACACCATCAACACCAACACCAACAACACCATCAACACCAACAACAACACCACCAACAGCACCACAGCAGCAACAACAACAATAACAACAACTACCAAATGCCGAGCCGAGGCCCCTCCGCCCGCCTCGCCATCGCCAACGCCCTCGACAGGGTCTTTGCGGCCGGAGACGCCGTTGCCGACGCTAAGGAGGCCCGAGCCCGTGCCCGCGAGGCGCTTGCGAAAGCAGAGGAGGGGGTGTGGCGGGCCGTTTTCCGCCAAAACGCAGAGCGTGTAGCGCTCGAGGCGTTGCAGCGCAACCTCGGCGGCTGGGGCGGCTCCAATTAGTTGGTGAGTAGATATATTTCTTTACGTCTTCTTTTACATAGCACGGCACAACACAGCACAGCACTAGTATTCTTATGGGCGGCGAAATCGGACTCTCAAGCCTCCCTGTGGCGACCGCCTGGATAGTACCAGCCGTAAAGTTGCGGAGAGAGACGTACTTTAATAATATATTTTTATAATAAATAAAAGTTTTAAAAGAAAATATATAAATTAAAATTATTATAAATTTAATATAAAAAACTATTTTAAATAATATAAATATTAATATTAAATTTTAAATTTTAATAAATAAATAAATAATAAAATAATAATTATTAAATTATTAAGACTTTAAAAAATAAAAAAATTAAAAGAAAAAATAATTATATAAATTTAATTATTATATTAAAATTATATATAAAAGAGTTTTTTTTTAAAAAAAAAGCTAAAATAAAAAGAAAAAAGTTTTATATAATTAATTTTTTATAAAAATTTAAAAAGTAATAAGATAAAATAGTATAGTATTATAACTTTTAATATACTACCTAATTATTAAATATAAATAATAGCTTATAATTATAAAAGTAAAAAAGTATAGCTTACTTACTTTAAAAATAATATCTATTAATAGATTACTTATAAAGCTAGTAATTACTTATATATTAAATATATTACTACTAGTAAAATTATATATTAGATTTTTTAATTAAATAAGTAAGCTATTAAGAAAATAAGATTATTACTTTTTTCTTAGTAAGTAAGTATAGGAATATTTACTTTTATATATAATAATATAA